TGAATTTTCACGAATAAGAAAAGAAAAGTAATCGATTTTTTTGGAAAATGTTCTAACGATTAACAATATATATATATATATATATATATATATATATATCGAAACTCCTCGATAAGATGGAAAAATTGAACGAAAAGAATTTACTTGTCCAAGGGCTTGCTATTTGGAAAAAAAAGAAGATCCTTCATTTTTATTAATATACCACGCCATTGGACTATAGATCCAACGATACTTACAAGTCTGCCACGCCCAACTTACCATCCTTAACTTCCTGCAACACCTATGCGAACCCTTTAAATCCCCCTGCCGATTAACATACTCCTCCCTTCGCCCAGTCTTCGAAAGAAGGGTTGTCCAAAAGTAGAATCTTTTTGTTGACATTTTTTCTCCCGATTTACTTGTACACTCTCTGACAAAAACTTGAACCTCCATTCTATCATGATTTTCGTCATTGAAGATTATAAGCTGACTAAACGAGCGAAATGAAAATTCCTTTACGTGAAAAATTTACTTGAAAAATTTCATGATCTATTATCAAAACGGAGCAATTCGACAAAAGCAACAAGTAATTTATTAATTTATAAGGATTACAACAATTTCAATGGGCACTCAATTTCCAAAGAAAAAAAAAAAAATTACAAAATTTATAAAATCATGAATGATTCGATGATGATATTACGAAGTCTTACTAACGATAAGCTATAAAATCGTTCGATATGTTTCTTTTCTACACATACGAATACATACGAACGTACACACATATACACACACGCGTGGCCTTTATCAATTTTCATTCATATTCACATAACGAAATGCATTAAAAATATGAAACGCTCAGCTTTTGAATTACAAATACACCCTGTCCGGGGCATTACGATCGATTCGAAATTATCCGACGGACCTGAATCGTCTACAAATCGAAATAGATGTAAATTGCATTTCCTGAAGAATGACAAAAGTACTAATTTGGGATAGAATCGAACGAAGTAAAATGAAGGAAAGAATACATTGGCCAGTTGAAAATATTCGAAGAGATTTTTAATGAAAATTTGAAGAAAAAATTATTTTCATATGGCATCCGTTTGGAGCATAAATAATAATAATAATGATGATAGAATTTAATAAAACGCAAATGTCGACGACTAATTTAATTGACAAATAAATTGCATGGAGAAACAATTTAATAAAATTTCTCATTTTGTCTCGCCAGATGTTATTTAAAAGCTCGAGAAACTGATTAGGATGATCTCGGATGGGGCGAATTTGAGCAGCAAAAGAAAATACTCCGACTGGGAAAAGAGAAAGACGAAAGAAAGATAAGCCAACGGCATTCCAATTAGCATTCTTACTCCTTACAGGTCCGTTGGCAAATGCCGGCCTTGGGAGGACGCGAAAGAGCAACATAAACCGTGCGATAAAACGTTGCCAGCCGGGCAACATACACATATATCACTAGTGTCACCACCAAGAGACCAACACATAGATAGCAAAGCATCAGGCGACGTGCTCTCACCGCCTGCTCTTTTATTCATTTTACTTTTTCACGCGGCTCCCGTAAGGCGGTAAAGTTGAGCGCGGTAAAGAAACACGTTCGAAAGAGAAAGAGCGTACGAAAGAATTATAGAGAGAGAGAGAAAGAGAGAGAGAGAGAGAGAGAGAGAGAGAAAGAGAGAGAAAGGAGAGGAGAAGAGAAAAAGAGAAGTTCGTAATGCTTCGTATGCGCTCTGCTTCCCTGACGACCCTCACCTCTTATGGTTCTCAAAAAATATTTTTACTATTTCAGTTTATCCACTCTTTTGTATTAAACATTGTATACATATTGTTACGATATTATATATTTAAATTTTTTTAATAATTGCCAAAAACAACAATAACAAATTATTTGATTAATATTTTTCATATTCTTTCTTCGGGAAAAAAATATTTAATTGAAATAATTAGAAACGAAAAATAATTTGTTTTATTAAAAAAAAAACTACTCATCATATCTTCCGTAGCTTTTACATTTGTCTTACACAAAGTTTAATTGTATCGAACGATCGTCCATTAATTTTACGATCTTATGAATAGTCTTGACAAGTCTGTATACAAGCTTTGATGCATTATTGATTTTATTTGATTTTTGAAGAAAAAAAAAAATGTACATCCCGAATTTTTATATCCATCGAGATTGTCGCAGGAAGAAGAAACTAAAGTTGAGAGCCACCGTGTGCAAGGAGCTCACCGTTTTTACCACTTTACGAGAAATTCACACCGCGGAGCTCTCTGAAAGATAGCATCGACCCTTCGTGACCATCCGCGAACATTTTCGCGCGGACAAAATTTTCCCGTCTTTTCGCCTATCCATCCGTCGTACCTGTTTCATCCTTCTTTTTCTTTCTCTCTTTTTCTTTCTCTCTTTTTCTTTCTCTCTTTTTCTTTCTCTCTCTTTCACTCTTTCGCAACACTTAAATGCTTCTCTTCCTCTTCTTTCTCCAACTTCCAGTCTCTAGAAAAGTACCAAAGCCGAAGAACGTAAGGATAAAATCGGTGACACCAATTTTCTCACTACTGACCACTAAATAAGTAATCATTTAATTAATATTTAATTATTTATTTAATAATTATTATTCAATTATTTATTCAACGACTTCATTTCTGCCGGATTACAACCATAGCATGGTTTCATCCCTTATCGCATTTCATTATCAAGAATCACACATAAAATTTTTCTCACGAAACTCTTTTCTTTTTTTTTACCCCCTTTACTATCTTCTAATCATTATATTTTTCTTTTAATGATCAAACAGTACAATACAATGCTATTTTAGATATTTTTAATTAAATTTTTATTTTGATATAGAATATATGCCGCTGCATACCGCGATGAAATACAAATTAAGTTTTATAATACGATCACATTTATTTAGTTCGAGTCCATCGAAAATTCAAACTTTTCTAAATGAAACTTTTTAGTTGGTCACGTTATTCGGTTCACCCTATATATCCCGATGACAAGAACGAACATTAAAGAGGAGAGACTGATACTCTGACGCTGGTGACCCTTAAAAAAATATCTTTTATTCGATCGATCGCTTGAAAACGAAATCCAATCGTATTTTAAATAAATCCATTTCGACGATTATTTAATTCTTTATTTAGAAAGAATCAATATTGTATTAAACTGTAATTCCGACAAAAAAATTGTATCTTTAAATTCTATGTAAAAAATATCAAAAATTAATAATCTATATTGAAAGTTAATTCAATGAAAATGTAAAACTTCGTTCGTAAAATATTTTTTCATTATTACATATTAGAATATTTTGATATTTACCAAGGAAATATATTAAATGTCATAAAAGTAAATCACATCGAAATATTGAATGACGCAAAATAATCTAAAATTAAACAATTAATCTAATTTTCATTTTATCAATCCAAATTTAATATTTTTTTTTGTAATATGATCAATAAATGCACTAGTATTTATAAATCTTTAAAATCATTCCTATTGGAAGACTCTTTAATATTGTCACGCTTGCAACCAAAGAATATGTCAATTATAAAAAATAAAAATAACTTTCATCGAATATCTAATAACATTCTGAAGTAATAATTAAATCAATTTGAATATTATTAGAAAATAAGATAATAATTCGATAGAAACAAAGCATTAAATAATTGTAATTTTAATACAAAATCGAATCCATACCAATTTTCTGCCGATATCAGAACCAATGCTAATTTTATACACAACGTATAATTATTATCTCTATTCCTATTCAAATTATTGCGTATTCATTGTATGTACACTATTTAAATTGAAACTAATAACATTTACACACGGTAGATAAATAAACAGAGAATCTACGATATAGAATGAAAGCTACGGTAGATAAATAAACAGTGAATCTATGGTATAGAATGAAGGCAAATCTACTTCGATTTTCTAATAATTCGCAGGAAAATAGATAACAGCAATGTTTCATATACATCGATTTTAAAATTATGATGAATGAGAAATGTAAAGTGGACTCTGAAACGATATTTTGATTATCATTATTATTTATTAATCCATATATAACAAATTTCATTTATAAAAAAAGAAGAAAAAAAAGAAAAGAAAAAACATTTGCTATAAATAAAAATTTGTTTTCTAATTAAATATACCTATTTCATGTGTTCATTTATTCATATTCTAAATTTTTAAATGTACTTCATATTATTTCACGATCAAGATCACCATTTATCTGTGAAACGTATTAACAAAGGAAAATTTTATTAAGAAAGAACTCATCCCTGATGATCTTTCATAACTGGTCGAATCGTACACGCAGATGGACCAACATCTGCCAGACCGGTTGGTCATCTCTTACTGATTTCCAGTCTCTACGTCGCGCTTTTGCATGTTTTTTTCGCCTCACGACCGGTTGATCCATTATTGTCCATGACTGGTCCATCTCGATGCTGCGATTTAGTCTTACTGACCAGTTTGTCCAGTGCTATATCAGACCGCCTCTTAATGTCGAAATAGGGTGTCGACTGGTTTAACGAAAATCTTAACTTAGATATTATATTATATGTCTTGATACGAAATAAAAGTAAAGAAAAAAATATTTCAACGATCCGTGAACATTGTATCTATGAAGAAGAAATTAAATGACGTACAATAGATCAATGATGATAAAACAAGAATACATAATCAATTTTATATTATTTGAGAAAAAAAAAGAAACATTAAGAATGAATTCTCGAGTGATAATTTAATAAAAATTTTAAACATTTAATAAAAATAATGATCTTCTCTTTTTTTTTTTTTTTGTTTAATTCTCTATTAATAATCGATAATAAAACAAAAACGATCGATCGAAAATAATATTAACAATACTACAAGTTTCTAACCAAATCTGATGTCATTGATAATTAATGAAATTAAATAAAAACAAGGATGGACAATGAGTAGTTATCATTGTAAAAGAAAACAAACTATATTACCGATAAATTTCTTGCTTTCTTGAAATCCTTCCGTTCAAACTTACTCTGAAATTACGTAGGTGGCTCTAGTAAACTGGACAATGGTCAGAATCAATAATTTATCGAAGATGCATGCAAAATGGTAACCTACGCCATCTCGTAGAAGATGGCTGGACATTTTCGTTGACTCCATTGGTTTTCAATCAATCGTTCACTCTTTTCTTCATTTTTCCTATATTTAAAATCCCTGCATTATCAGTTCTTATCTCATGGATTTTTGTTAATTAAAGTTACACTTGATTGAATAAATAATCGCACTTTTTCAGGATAAAAATAATAAAAATTATTAAATCTTACGTTTCACTAATAAATTTAAAGCAAAATTTTATTATCGATGTCATAAAGATCAAAAGTAAACAACAATTCGGTAAAGTGTCTCCCTTACGAACAACAAACAACTAGAAGGAAGATATCGTCAGATCAACGCTCATTGGTGTGAAAGTTTTGTTGAATTCGGATCCCTAATTTATAGAAAGTCGAGTGTCACGGATGTCGAGATTAATCCGTTTGAAGTCGGTCAATCTTAAGACGACAGCTGCTGCTGAAGGAATCCATTAGTAGGCTTACAGTGTTCGCGTCTTTCCTGGGGTTTCTTGGACCACCCCCTTGAGGGAAAGCAGAAAGGCGCTTTTGTTCAAGATAATAAGCCACCATTGTTAAGATAGGTGGATCTATTCGTCGACCTTATTGTTCATCGACCCGCTTTGCTTTGAATTTCTATGATAGGAGAGAAATTCTCGACCAATGTTATCATCATTCTTGTCTGTCCGAAAAAGTTGAAAATATTTTAATCATTAATAAACTTTTGTACTAAAAAAAAACATAGCAACTAATCAAACTTCTAATCGTTTTCTCTTTAAGTAAACTTATGAATTAATTATCCTGTATATTACTTATAATAAAAAATAATGTTATATTTCTATAGAAGATAAAAAAATAATTAGTCTTTTCTATTTTTCTTCGATCTCAACGCACATTGTAAGAACGTGCATAGAGACTCGTTGAGAAGATTCGCCATCGTCGTCATCATCCTTAGAGTGAGTGAGCGAGCGAGATGACCATAGGACCGAAAGCCAGCCTCGTGAAGCAGTACTGCACCCCCAGGAACAAAGTTATATCGGCTCCTGTTGCAAAGAGGGGTGAGGGACGAACGTCGATGGGGTAGCCCGTTCCTGGGGGAGCGACGAAGTTCGGTGATTACCTAGGACTCTCCTAGGAACGGAGAGTTTCCTACTTCAGCCTCAGCTCTGGCTTCAGGAACCTAACAGTCGAGCAAAGTAACTAAGGTTATTCGCTGGTTCGTAGAGAGAAGCACAGGAAACGGTGAGTATAGAAGGTAGGGGTTGAAAGAGAAGGGATGCAGCCGATATACCGTGAGATTCTGCATCGCGCTATCTCCCTACTCGACCGATCGTTCCCATGAGAATCTCGAAGAGTCGTGATTGAGAGGAAACCTCTCGATCCTTTACCTCTGACCTTCTTCCTTCGACTACTTTAAGAAAATGATCCTTGCTTGAGTTTTACCTATCCTTAGTATGATCACGTGAGATTATAAAGTATTTATAAATAATATACTAAGAACATTCGAAACGTTCGACTCGATGAAAAAACAATAACATTGGAACATTGAAACTTTAAAATTTATAATGTAACATCTGAAATTTTGAAAAAAATTGTAATGCTTACAAAAGAAAATATTCTTATTCAGCTATGAAAGAACTTCGATCTTCGAGCAGTTTTGAGTTTATATTGAAAAAGTGTAACTCGCGATCGGCCAATTTCCCGGAATTTCAAAGGACACGAAATATCGTAAGGACGGGACGTCGTAATAACCATAATTCAATATGGCTGTTAAGATGATAGGAGTCTCGAGACTCTATGTCTGGTTTGCCCAGTTCCGTGGGGGTTGCAAATGGCCTGCAGAACCCTTTCCTGCACCCTCTCCTCTATCATCTACTGCACCCTCGATATACAGATGTTATCTAAGATGAAAATCATGGAGAGGGAATACCATTGTTTCACAATAAGAAATCTCGATCATCCAAAGTTATACCAAGATTCCTTAAATTTTAAAATGTAATTTACACTATTTCGAATTGAACTTATTTTTCAGTGTTGTATTTAAATAATCGATAGACAGATTCCAGACAACCACTTGATTACAGCTCGTTATATCTAATCGAGTCGATTGATCTACCTCAATTTATGATTGAAATAAAAATCGTATAAAAATCATATATGTGTGCCTCTTTTCTCAAATTGACCGTGATGATCTCTTCTCTCTCATCGTTCTATATATAATAATCTATGTTTGTTAGAATACAATTTCATAAATATATTTCTTAATATTGCATTAATTGTATACGAATTATTAAAAATTTGTATGTATATGAAACATTATAAACTGAGATAATAAAATTAATTATCACAAAATATGATTTCGTTATGATTAAAAAATAAGAAAGAATAACGTTGACGATAAATTTAATCAAATATTCAATTATATAAATTAATCCAGATGTGGATAATGTAAAAAATTGTATAAATTTATAATCTCTTACGTTCATCCATCATCTCTTTTAAATTAATAATCTTATATTTTCTACGATTCATCTTTTTTTATATTTTATCAATCACTCAAGTAAATATTATCTCGTCAATCCTTCGAACAGACTGCACAAATACGTCTACGCAAATACACAAATCTAACTTGGAAAGATTTCCTGCCATCTTAGGCAGTTAAGATCCCTATAACTTTCCCCTTCCATTGAATCTATGGATTGTTAGGGTGAAGGATTCGAATCCCCTTAGATCAGTGTAGGCGCGGCCATATTTTTTAGGAGGAGTACAAGGGGAACGCTTTCATCGCGGGAGAAGCGGGGGGATAAACGTGATGCTGTATGGAGCAGAGATGGTGCGCGGACACCCAATCAACCCTCTGTAAGGCACGTCTTACCCTCTCTACGAAGTTATCTTTCTTGTTCCTACCACGAACAGAGTTAGGGTACTCTCCGAACTCCCAACTATTGACCGAAACACTCTCTACTATCGTACCAAGCAATTGCTTCACGAAAGTTGAATTTCTTTATACGTTTTCTGATTTCTTATCGTTCGCTATATTTTTAATATAAAAATTAAATAAATTAATAAAACTAATATAGATGTAATATAATCAATATTAAATAAGTGAATATAGTTCAACTGGAATACTTGTTATGCTTTAAACTTTATAAAATGATGTTTACAATATTCTAAAGACAGTTATAATAATCCATCACATAAACAAATGGGTAATTTTAGCGTTGCATCGACATGACCGTAATTGAAAATTACTGTCACACAATATATAAAGTACAGTGATCGATGGAAAAGAAATTTCGATAAAGAACTTTCTTCATTTTTCAACGCTATCCTTCACCTCGCGCTCGCAAAGTTTACGCATTACAAAGACATTGATTTTATGTATCCAATCATCGCGAGTACCTCGCGTCGAGATGATAATGTCAATCCAATTTCGAACTTCTAATCCAAAGTTGTTCCCCTATAAGCTTTCGCGGTCGTCCGTTTCGGTACGAACAGTTGATGTATTTTCAATCTCGTTGATTCAACAAACTTTCTCCCGTTGAGAAAAGTAACAACTATGTAGGCAAACACGTCGCGAAAATATATTTTCATTATCGCAAACATTTTACGTGAATACTTTTATAGATTTGTAAACAAAAATGATTGAAATTGAAATTCATTTTTAAATAGTCTATCTTGGATCCTTGACACAAGAAAATCAATATTTTATTAATTAATTATTTTATTTATTTATTATAGTCATAGTAGAAGTAATAAAAATATTCCTGTCGAATAACGAACAGACATCTAAAACGTTCTGAAGATTAAAGATCTTAAATAACTTTAGAGAACTAGCTTGACCTGGACCTCAGAAGATATCACGACTTTCAGTTCTACTATATCGAATCATGAAATCCCGATGATCAAGGCATAATAATTCGGTGAAGCGTCTATAATTCAGATGTACCACGTGCTGTCCCTAATTTCCTTGATATTCACGTCGAAGGGTCCTTCCGCTCGAAGAACCTAAGGATGCCAGAAATACCTTACTATCGAGATATATATTGAAGCGCGCCTTACAGGATAGGCCTAGACACTTTGGACTTGTATTAATTTCATATCCCTTCCGCCGTCTGATGCGCGGACGGTACCTTCAATCGTCTATTTATTACCGACGTATATCCAATCTTGTGCCCTCTTCGAGATATCGCCTAGATGGTAGGGAGTGCCAAGTGGATATTAATTTCGATTAGTCCGCTCTAAGGAAACTTGATTGAAAACAGGATCGTCGACCGATATGAGAAACTAATAAGATGGTACACACACACTCATGTGTGTGTGTGTGTGTGTGTGTGTGTGTGTGTCTGATCAATTTCAAATACGTAATATATTGACGCTATCCTATATAGATATAAAAAAAGAAAAAAGAAAAATTACTAAATTCATCAAATAACTATCAAATACTATTTTTGACTTTTATAATTATGAAGTCTAATAAGATTAAAAGATCGAACGAGAAGTCAAGAAACGAGAATCGATCTTTGACACGAGTAACTTTAGGAAGATTCTCAAAGGGCCAACGAAGAAGACGAGACAGGACTAGAGAATTGGAACGGTATACCTTCCTTCCACCCCCGAAGTAGCTCGAAGGAAATCGGTGCAAAGTTAAATGCGAGTTCTATTAACGAAATCGAGTTGGTTCCTGGCAAAGCCAAGTGTGGATATGCACCGCATTACTGTAACCCCGTAAAGGAATTTGCGGTTTAAGTTGCGTTCCTCGCGGAGATAGAGCAACCTTTTGCCTTTCCATAGCATCTGTCCTACTCTTCGAAGCAAGTCCTCTCCTACGCTTGTACGCACTCCTTTCTCGCTTTACTTCTCCTTCTACTGATGATTCGCGGCCTCGGTCACCCCAAGGCTAGTTTCTCCGCAGAACCCTTAAGCATAACTATCCGCACAAGTTGGAATCCGTAGGTACTTTCGCTGCGACGAAGCTACGAACTCGCCTCCCTTTTCAGAGCAACCACCCCTCTAGCTCCACTCCCAACCTCCATCGTTTTCGTTCGGGTCTCGAACGCGAAGGCTATATTAGTTGCAAAAGCAAGCTGAAAGGAGAAACGGTGGATAGAGGGCTCGAAACGGCGCTCGAAGCTAAGATCGAGAGAAGGAGGATGAATAGAGAAAGAGAAAGAGAAAGAGAGAGAAAGAGAGAGAGAGAGAGAGAGGAGAGAAAGAGAGAGAATATCGCTGTGGAAATAATAAGCCTGACGTTTAGAATCTACGAGGTTTCTAGAAACTTGAGGATTCGAAATTATCTTCCTAGTTAGATGAAATAGATTGAAATGTATAGAATATTTCAATAATGAAGCATTCAATTTTGGTATTCTCTCAAAATTTTCATTCTTTCTTCATCTCCTTCTTCTTCATCTCAATATCAATGCAAGCGAGAAATTCCGGTTTGAATCCTCAATGATTATAACGACAGTTACACATCCAATAGAACCAGTCTTGCTTAAATAATCCTGCTTTTTCTACCCTTATAAATAGCGAACCGGTAAACTCGTGATCCCAGAAACACGCGTGCCGTCTATAAGAAGAGTGTCTCAGTTTTTTAACGGTTTTCATGGACCTAACATAGGATAATAAATAATTCGGAACAAAATAACACGACAAAAGAGAAGAACGCCATCGAAAGACGTTCGAGGAATATACCAAAGGGGTGGCCAATCGAGGCAACTACGAAAGAGGGGTGGGATGGTTTAGGGTGGGAGTATATGATGGTGGAGGCAACTCGTGCTAATATCGATTCTACCTAAGATTGCCCCAGGCCGTTCTCATAAATCGAGATTGAAATTGAAAGATAGAAAAAAAAAAAAGAATCGAAAAAAGAAATCCAAGATTTCACGCAGTTCTTGTTTATCCTAAAATTAAAATTTCAATAGATGAAAAAAAAAAAAGAAAAGAAAAGAGAGAGAATTTCCTGATAAAGAATCGCTCGAATATGATAAAATTCGCTTATATTCGTATGGCTAAGAGAAAATAATTGAGGCTCAAATTGACATCGAAATGACAATTTTAAAAACATTAAATTCAATATCTTAGAGTAATACTCAAATATAAACTTAAAATCAATTGATCAAACATCCATACGAACGTTCAAGAGGCATTCATTTATTAGAGTAGTAAGTTATAAGATCGAAGGGGTCTAATGTAAGCAAATGTTTGTCATTAATTATTCTATGAATTCCATCGGATCGAAGATTCTTACGAAGGTCTTTAAGAGGGTCATAACGTGTGTTAAATCGAAGAGAATAAAAGTGAGTTCTTCGAGAGAAAATATACAATTCGACAGAGAGACAATCGGAATTCGGAATCAGCGGTGAGTCCAGGAAAGCCAGGAAGATAAGACGTAATTAAAGTCGATGGGCGAGAGGGATAAGGAGAGAACCGGTGGAAGTACGTAGATTCGCAGGAGAGCATAAACTTGTCCCAGGGGATGAGCTTGCTTTCGGTTGGCCCTCAGCAACATTACAAGGGGAGTATCACAAATGCGACCACGAAACGCAACTCCTTTGTCGGACTAGCGTCTCACCGTTTAACAGCTAGCCAAGAGAACGAGCCGGAAAGAGAATCTTGGTTAATCTTACTAATCTTAGAACGATCAACGAGTGGACTTTGCAATATCAAGAGAAATACGCTATTGATCATTCAAAAATCATGAGTTTTTGATATTACCTATCTACTAATTAACATTGAAAAGCTTGATAATTCTATCTACTTAGAATTAAAGTAAATTCTCATTTAATATCAATAATTCTAATGATTTATTTTTTCAATATCATTATATCTTGTCATTATATCTTCTTGACTGAACTTTCTGAACTTAATAATTCGACTAAAACGATTAGAACCATCAAAGTAAGCTCTGCTTAATATAATCTTTGTTTTTGCCGTACTGTCTTCAGTATTTACTATGGAGAAGTAAATACGAAAGGAGAAGTAGTACTCACTTTGATCTATTGAAATATTCAAGGATACAACACAGCAAAAAGCCAAATCGCTTTTGCAGAATGCTTGATGAAGTTACTAAGAGTATTTGAAACTTGCGGGATCGTCAAATGAGTTATAATTAACTATAGCCAGTTCCAATAATTTGAAGAATAATTTAATTTGAAATTGATATTAAAAATTAAAATTAAAAAATTAAAATTAATTATTAAACGCGTTAATTCTTGATCATATTTGCCGATCGGTGTATTTAAAAATCGAATCTATAACCGTGTGAAGATAAAAATATAGAATATCAAAATACGTAAACTTAAGTCTTATAAAAGACAAAGGTCACGATATATATCTAAGTTTATCACTAATGGTTACGCAACTTAAATGGCCCATAAATGAGTTGATTATTCTCGATAATTATGGATTCCTAAATCCTTCCTGAATATGCATGTTAGTTTTGCACGCTAACAGTTCTCATAATAGTGTCACGATAAACGATTCTATGATGAGGACGCTCCAAGTTTTTAAGTAAGACTATTATTCTATAATTGATCTTTCGTTAGAAAGAAACATCGACTATTTCATAAATTTATATAAACATATTATTGTTATCGTTTTATCGATTAAGATATAATCGCTCTCAATAATTAAATCTCGGACTATATTAAGATGATGTAGAAAATTAAGACTATCCAACCAATATCCTTTCGAAACGTGTGTGATTTCCGCAACAAATACGGAAAAAATTGAATTAAAATCATGTTAGGAAAAACCTGTCTCTTCTCTTGATTCATTTTATCGGTGTGTATCCTCGTATAGGTAACGTTATACCTCTCATGCTGTCGGCACGGGAGAATTGAAGAACTGAATTGACAATGGGATATCAAACAATGTATGATTGTCAATTTTTATAAAACATCTAGTACGAAGTCAATACGTATTCCGTAAGAAAAACATAACGTGCGATTTCTAGATAGACGTTAATGTTCTTTCATACTCGATTGACTTTACGTGCATGACTTTTTTTTGTATTTGCAATTTATTATAATAATAAATTGGTAATAATATTACTTAAAAGGAACTAATTATACATCTAAAGTAACAAAATAACAAATCACTAATAGATAAACGCGCGATAATAAACATTACGTTATACTAAATTATGATTATCACTGATTGATTATAATCAATGATATATATCTAATTAAATCTATTCATTATAGGAATAATTATTTAATAATCTATAGTTTATTTATTTGTCTCATTTGAAAACTAAAGATATTTTGCACGAGATCATAATTTTTAATTTTTAAAACAGTCTTTTGCTTGGGCAAAAATTACCTTTGAAAATTATTTTCTTTTTAAATAATTATTTTTAAAAAAAGAAACCTTCACTTTTCGAATGAGTTTTTGATTACCAAAATCGAACGAAAAATACGACCATGAAAATTCATTACAAATGTATTATTACAGATAAAAGATAATTCCCTTACGTAATATATATATGTATGCACCAAAGAGCTACGAAGCTTGTTGACTTCTTGTTTTTTGAAGAAATCTATTTGAGTGATTGACTATACAAGGCACAGATATCCACGTCAGTGTAGTCGTGTAGTGGAAGAAGAAGCTTCAACTGTTTTAACACGAACGTGAAGTAGCGCTACTGTGCCTTCATAAATTAAAAAGAAAAACAAGATTTATGGCATGAATTCTCGTGGAGAACAATTTTTATCTGATTTTGATGATCAATGACTCATTCAAAAACTAAAGATTTTTTACACGAGATTATCGTTTCCTATTTTCAAATCAGATTTTTACTTGTGTGAAAATTACTTTGGAAAATTATTTATTTTTAAACATGATCATGGAAAAGAAAATAATATATTCCAGAATTCGGAAACAATAATTACTTGTAAAAAATCTTAATCCTTCGAATTAACACTAAAATCGAATAAAAATTGTGATCTTATATGAGAATTCATAGAGTAAATTCTTGAAAACATATGAAAAAAAAAAAGAAAAATTACAGATAAAAGTATCGCTTATCTGTAAATCACTTATAAACAAACAATATTTAAATATGCGATTAAAGAAACAGATACCTTATATCAGAAAAAAATACATACATGTATAATGTTATATCGGTAAATATCTACAGGTTGATCCATTTTTAAATATAAAAATTTTTAAATATAAAATTGATTTAAATGCAAAACAAACTTTTAACATAATCATTGATTCTACATTTTTAAAGAAAGTCTTGAAATTGTTTTTAAGAATATTTACATCAAACGTTATAAAGCCTATAATAATGTCAGATATACTACGTAGAAGATGTAATATAATGCCTCAAATGGATCACCCTATATATATATCCATTCATTTACACAGAGACTGCTTCTACAAGCCGGTTGCAGACACAACGGCGTTCATTCTACTACATTCACTCATTTACATACATATACGAATTTATAACTGCGCGTGCATAATCAAGAAATCAACTACTATAGCAAGTACCTCTCGACGAATGTGAAGTCGTGTTAATCGAAGAAACGAAGACGAAAAGTTTTTAAGTTTTCATTGTTGAATTTTGCAGTTTTTTTAAACGAGTCATGTCTACATGCGAGGACGTCCGAGGAGTTATACTCTCTGGCACACAATTAGCAAAGTAAGTTATAAATCTTATCCATTTGTATTTTCCTTTTTCTTTTTTCTTTTTTTCTTTTTTCTTCTTTTTTTCTTTTTTTTTTTTCTTTTTTACTAACCAAACGCATAGACATACATCTTTTTAACGAGTAGCATATTTGTATGTTCTATTTCGTATTTAATATGTGTTTTAATGTTCATGCATAACGATGAGATATATAACGATAATTAATTTATTTATTTCATTTGCCTGTTACTTGATTAATTTGATCTAAAACTATGAAAAGTTATTCGTGTACTTTGCTCAAGGTCAAAATAATTAAGATATGTTATGAGAAACATATGAACTAACCTGTCTTACGAGTTACTGCCTTCACGTGTTTTGTAAAATTTAAGGTTATGGTGTTCTACAAAGGCGGGAAAAAAACGAAATGAATTTTATCTTATCAAATTCAAATATCATTTCGAATATCATCATCATCTGTAATTATTTTAATAATCCCACATGAACACAGAATATATATGTTTATTATATAATAAATTATTTCTCCTCATGGAAGCTTTATCTTACAGAGAAATTCGTGCATCCTTGGCACAAGATGTAACAGATCTAAAGACAAAGCTACCAGACTTTACACCTAGTTTGGCTATTGTCCAAGTCGGCGGTAGACAAGATTCTAACGTTTACATACGAATGAAAATCAAAGCGGCTACAGACATTGGCATAAATGTACAACACGTTAAACTTCCAAACACCATAACGGAAACTGAACTGATCAACGTAGTGAACAAATTAAACAATGATTCTAAAACTCACGGTATCATCGTTCAAATGCCGCTCGATACCGTTAATGAAATTAATTCTCATTTAATTACGAACACAGTGTCTCCTTCTAAAGATGTTGACGGGTAAATTGATATTTTTATTTTGCACAAATCTAATATAAATTAAAAAATATAAATTTATCGATTTCTAATTCGTTTGATTTAAAAAATCTATACGATTAATAAATTTAATGGAATGTTCAATAATTAACTACTTTCATTCTTATCACAAAATGCAATTGTCGAAATTTAGAATCAATATCATTATTTGATCCAAAACCAATACGTCATTATCGTTACTTCTAGAAACAATAAATATTTCGTTATCGTACTAGCTGTAGATAAAATTTTTTTCATATCAATTTATAAGAAATATATTTTACGAAACTCATTGAAAACAGTACGGTTTTATACATTTACATAAAAGTCAATACAATCGGCATGCTCTTTGACATGAAATGACGCAAAATATGAGATAAAAAGAATAAAATATCATCTCGCATGGAAAGAGGAATATTTTTTTATAGATCTATGATCTTACACAATTTCTCATAATAACAAAAATGTCGATCATATGTAGGATATTAAATATAATTGAAAGAATTACCGAAATAATCTACAAATCTTAATTTTAATCATGATAATTAGAATCGATATTTTTATCCGTATTAACGATAATTTAAAACATTTCAAATAGTTTAACATAACAATAATTTTGAAAAATTATAAAATATACATATGTACGTATATAACATAACATACGTAACAATAAATTGTTATTACTACGTATATATATTATATATACGTATATATAATATAATGTAATATATTACGAAATGTTATTTTTCAGTCTCAATACGATTAACGAAGGAAAAGTTACAATCGGCGATATGTCAGGATTTATACCATGCACGCCTAATGGATGTATTGAGCTCATTAAAAAGTAATTAAAAATGTAATTCTAAGAAAATTGTATAAAACTGCTTTAACGTTTTTAAACTCAATAATATATTGTAGAAGTGGTGTACCAATTGTCGGTGCTCAAGCCGTAGTTTTGGGTAGAAGTAAAATTGTAGGTACACCGGCAGCTGAATTATTAAAATGGCACAATGCTACAGTGACGATATGTCATTCAAAAACGAAAAATCTTCCAGAAATAGTAAGTAGTTTTTCGAGCAAGAAATTCGCAAATGAATTTTTTCAAAATGATATGAAAATAAATATCAATTACGATTGTTTCTCAATTTAATCAATTTTTGAGGTCTCTCAAGCTGATATCTTGATCGTGGCTATCGGTAAGCCAGAATTCGTCAAAGGGAGCTGGATAAAATCAGGCGCTGTCGTAATCGATTGTGGCATCAATTCTATTCCGGGTAAGATAAAAGGAAAAAGTTCTTAATTGCTTATATATTTAATTTAATAATGAAAAATACCTCAAATCGATAATATCGATATACATATAATAATAAAGTAAATTTGTAAGATCTTATAATGTGTATATTCAAGCAAGGCGTTAAAAAATATTTCGAAATAGTGTTTGATAAAAATCTCATCAAATTCAATTAACACATATGATAAGAATAATTATATTTCGAGAGATATATTCTCACATCAAATTTAATACATGTTTTCCAGATTCTGGAAAGAAAAGCGGAGAGCGTTTAGTAGGCGATGTTGATTACGAGGAAGCTTCGAAAGTAGCTTCATATATTACGCCAGTTCCTGGTGGCGTCGGCCCTATGACGGTAGCCATGCTGATGAAGAATACGGTGACTTCGGCCAAAAAAGCAGCTGAAAATCTTCTTAATGTCGATTGGAAACTAAGAATTTTAAAGATTAATCCACAGAGACCAGTTCCAAGTGATATAGCTATTTCTAGAAATCAGATATATAAACCTATTGTCAGTTTAGCTGAAGAAATCGGTCTATTACCAAACGAGCTAAGTCCTTATGGAGACAATAAGGGTAAAATAAGTCTAAATGTTCTAAAGAGACTGAAGAATCAGCAAAATGGAAAATTCGTGGTCGTCGCTGGTATTACGCCAACACCTCTCGGTGAAGGTAAAAGTACGACGGCTCTTGGATTAGTGCAAGCTCTCTCAGCGCATAAAGGAACAAATTCTTTTGTTACGTTAAGACAGCCCAGCCAAGGTCCTACTTTCGGAGTTAAAGGAGGAGCAGCTGGTGGTGGATATGCACAAGTATGTACAAAAATAAAATTATTAAATTTAATCTAATTATTATAATGAACTATGTTCATATCTTTTTTCCTTTCTAGGTAATTCCTATGGAAGAATTCAATCTTCACTTAACCGGAGACATCCATGCTATATCCGCGGCAAATAATCTTTTAGCAGCCCAAATCGATGCCCGATACTTCCATGAATCCACTCAAAGTGACAAGGCCCTTTATGATAGATTGGTACCTACGATGAAAGGTGTTCGAAAATTCTCCAAAATTCAATTAAGGCGTCTGCAAAAACTTGGGATCACAAAAACCGATCCAAACTCCTTGACGGAAGAAGAACAACACAAGTTCGTACGATTAGACATCGATCCACATAATATTACGTGGACAAGAGGTACATGCAATAAGAAAAATAAAATTAATTATCTTAATGTCAGTTGAACAAGTATACTTTCATTAAGACTTATCATCTTTTGCAGTGGTTGATATAAATGATCGTTTTCTACGTAAAATAACTATTGGTCAAAGTTCAACTGAAAAAAATAAGACGAGAGAGACTTCTTTCAAAATTTCTGTTTCTTCTGAAATAATGGCGATACTTGCTTTAGCTGCTGACGTCGAAGATTTGAAACAAAGATTGGGCAATATAGTAATTGGATTCAATAAGAATGGTGAACCTTTAACTGCTGAAGATTTTGTTCGTATTTAATTAACGATATTATAAGTTTAGATATTTTTATCTATTTACATTTATTCTTTACTTACTTTTATCAATTTAATAGGGCATGACTGGTGCGATGGCTATTCTTCTGAAAGATGCGATCGAACCAACACTAATGCAATCTTTAGAAGGTACACCTGTAATGGTTCATGCTGGTCCCTTCGCTAATATCGCACACGGTTGTTCTTCGATAATAGCAGATACTATTGCATTAAAACTAGTTGGACCAAATGGTATTGTAGTGACAGAAGCTGGATTTGGTTCCGATATAGGCATGGAGAAGTTCTTTGACATTAAATGTAGAACATCTGGACTCGTACCGAATGCTGTCGTTCTTGTTGCAACTGTAAGAGCCTTGAAAATGCATGGTGGTGGTCCATTAGTGACCCCAGGTGCGGCTCTAAAAAAAGAATACATTGAAGAAAATATCGAACTTGTTAGAAAAGGTCTTCCAAATCTTCAAAAACATATCAGCAATGGCCTGAAATTTGGAGTACCCGTTGTTGTAGCTATAAATTCATACACGTAAATATTTTATTCTGCATTAAGTATATCTGAAATCCATAATCAATTTTTTTTTTTTTTTTAAATTGCTTGAATACATTTTTTCTATTGCAACCAAAGTAAATATTTATTATTCTACTAGTACTGATACAGAAGCTGAACTACAGCTCATCAAAGAAGTGGCATTGGAGAGTGGTGCAGCAGACACAGTGGTTTGCACTCATTGGGCTGACGGTGGATCAGGTGCAATAGCTTTGGCAGATGCAGTTATCGCTGCAACGGAAAAACCAAGTAACTTTAAACCATTGTATAGTTTGGATCTCAGTATTGAGGAGAAGATAAACGTCATTGCTAAAGAAATGTATGGTGCTGGAGAAGTTATTCTAGCAGACAAAGTAAGTAAATTTAAATGATGAAATACTTTGAATATTCTATATATATATTTGAAGTACTAGCACATACACAGCAATAATACATTTTTACTTGTTTTTTGAATCTTAGGTAAAAGAAAAAATTAAAGTATATAACACATTAGGTTATGATAAATATCCTATATGTATGGCAAAAACATCTAACTCTCTAACAGGAGATCCATCCATCAAAGGTGCCCCAACAGGTTTTAAACTTGATATTAATGATATATTTGTGGCCGTTGGCGCTAAATTTGTCGTAGCATCTGTTGGAGAGGTAAGATTTTCAATTATAAATTGTAAAATTTCTTACATGTATGTCACAAACGACGTTTTTATAAATTGCAGATCATGATGATGCCAGGTCTTTCTACTAGGCCAAGTATTTATGATATGGATTGGAATAGTGAAACGAATGAGATAGAAGGATTATTTTAAATATAAACTCTTTTCATATTATTGGCACATAACAATATTTAACATTTATCTATTTATATTTTTCATACTCCATGTACTTTATGTATGTTCCATATAAAATATTAATCTCATAAATAACTAATAAGAATGTATTAGTAAGTTAATTATAAAATCAATATTTCGTAATTCTGTCATTAATTTATTTAACTTTAGTAATAGCTCTAAACTTTGCTGATCTAACTCTTGGATTTTTATTGACTTCTTCAGATGATGGTGTCAATACATGCTTATGCATCATTTTCCATGGTGACATGACTATATCATTTAATTCGTCAATGCAAAAACTCTTATTATAATTTAAATATTTTAATGGTGTAACATTTGCCACAAAATCTGTTATATTTCCTGTCATGTGTCTTTTAACAACAATATCTTCCAATGAATGAAAGGATATTGTTATCAAACAACCACCAATTTTTAAGTAATTTTGTGCAAGCACCATGCCATGATTGATTTCATTCAATTCATTGTTTACAAAAATTCTAAGAGCTTGAAACGTTTTTGTCGCACAATGTGAGAATCTACCTAATTGATCTTTTCTGATTTCATTATTGAGTACAGATTCAACAAGCTGTACCAATTCCTTTGTTGTCTCCAATTTTTTATACATATATCTTGCTTCGATAAGCGCGCGTGCTATCTTTCTGGCCTTCTTTTCTTGTCCATAAATTTTCAATATATGATACAAATCTATCTCATCCGCTCTTTCTATTACATCAGCAGCAGTTGGATTTTCAGGATATCTGTTACCATCCATTCTCATATCTAATGGTCCATTTTTTGACAAAGAAAAGCCTCTTTCTGCATTATCAAATTGCATTGATGAACATCCAAAATCAAACAAAAAACCATCTATACTATTCTTTTCAACTTTATGCTCGCTAAGTAATAATGGTAAATCTGAAAATTTTCCTAATAAAGGAATGATTTGTCCAGGATAGTTCTTTGATAAATCTTGTGCAATATTATATGCTATTGGATCTCTATCTAATGTAAAAATTTTTATATCAGGTGCTGATTTCAAAATTTGAGTAGTATGTCCTCCAGCACCAAAAGTCATATCTACATATATTTTACCTGGAGATGGTTGTAAATATTGTAAAACTTCTTTGATCATTGCAGGTACATGTATATTATTATTTTTAATTACATCCTGTTCTTGTATATCTTGTTGTTGACTAAAATATCTTTTGTTTATTACATATTGTATATTAATTTTTGATAGATGATGAAACTGTACTCTTGTTTCATGATATAGTTTGTTGATACAAAAAGCTTGTAAATATAATAAATTAATTTTAAATTTAAGCATTCTTACGTATATTTTGTATTTTGTTTATAAGCCTCTTAAGAAAAAATTTATTTTCTTCTTCCAAATATTTTTTCATCTCTGGACTTAGTGCAATATTACATTGCTCTACTGTTAAGCCACTTGCAGTACTTTTAAGACTACGTTTATACATTTGTCCATAATGATTTGAACTTATCCTTTTCAAACTTGCGTAATATCGGTTACACTGTTCTTTATCTATTGGAGTAGTAATATCACCTTTTGAGAAGATAAGTTTTACTTGATCACGAATATGTTGACTTAAATCTCTAAATAAAAAATATATACAACATTTATATCATATGTAACAACAAAATTTATGAAATATAAATACTTATTTACATGAGAATTGTAATTTTAATATTATACCTAACCTATCAGTATTTATATGAACCAAATGATTTGGATAATTGAATAGATATAAATTACATTTTTCTTATCAACATATATAAACATATATATATGTATATATATATACAAATAAAAGATTTTTAATATATATAAAATTACCTGCCAGGTTTTGATTTATCTAATGGCCAAGATTCTAATAATTTCATAAAATTCTTATAGTTACCAGCCATGTTTTAACTTGCATAATAGCAATTCTCAATAACCCGTTCTTTCTTTCATGTACATGGATTATTACTTATAGGTTACAAAATTATAATTCACCAATATAATTGAGTAATATATTTTGATGCCGTTTGAAACAGATTAGTAAAAACTTATATTTTTTTCAATAAAATATCATATTACATATATTGATCAACCAATTGTTACTATTTACGTTTTATCTTTTACTTATAATTGGTACATTAAAATGCAACAACACGAATTTTCCAATCACAGATAATATAACTAGTCATGTTTTTACTCGATATTAAAGTACTCAATAGTACCAATCTAGTAAATAAAATGTTGAGCGTGTAGTCACATTTTCGACTCCCCAACATTATATATTTTCATAAATGATTATAAATTAATATAAAATCATCATTGGAAATCTTATACTTTCATGTATAAAAAAAGAAAAAAGAAAAATGAAATGACTTACAAATGATATACATGAAAAATCAAGTCTCCCAAGATGGATTCTAAATTTTCTAATGTTGGTAGAAAGAAGGGACATTTCTAACAGTCGATTTGGCACTTTCAAATGACGATCAAGTCATGTAAGCGTGCGTGGTGGTTCACTCGTTCGGCGACAATGGCGGCAGATCTGGAACAATTTCAACAGCTTTTAAACACACTTCTAAGCACGGATAACGATGCCCGAACGCAAGCGGAAGTATGTATATTGTATTCAATTTTTTTTACGCATATAACAAATATATTTCCAAAAGGAAAAATGTACGAATTTCGATAATGATTCACTGATTACCCCTTGAGCACGTTGCCAACATGTCAGAGCTTAGCATGAATGATTTCTCAAATAGCTATCAACTTTTTAATATCCACTTTTGTTAAATCTTAATTCATTATTGCATTTACATCTAACAATAACATGTCTAAATTTATATCAATAAGAATCGCCAGCCTTTTAGATGAATGCTAACAAGTGTTTGGAATAAGTTAATAAAAATCCAAAATGGTGTCGCGCGCGGCATTGCGTGCTTTGGTAAATCCTTTTATTCACTTTAATATATAATTTAACATGATTATGACAGAAATAATCAAAGGATACGTCGAAAAATCAAACTACATATATATTTCCCTAAATGTATATGATTAATGACGTGGATAAAAATATAGCATACCAAACGGCATAGAATTTTTGCTGAATCGTACATCCAATGTGCTTTCCCTCCCACATGCACCCTTATTTCCAGTTCCGGTATTTAAAAATCATTAATAAGAAAAATTAAATGGAATCAAATCTGCATACGTCCAGTTTAATATTTATTTTTTCTTCCTTCAAATTCCTTTCCCCTTAGATTTTGTTGGATTAAGTATTTACACATGCGTATACGTTGGTATGATTCATATCATTCCTTTTTCCATTTCCAAATTCAATCACGTGCGATCCGACAATCGATCCTTATCCATTAAAGGCAAACGATCTTTATTTTAAGTTCTATGTATTTTTCATTGGAATTATGTATTGAATAAAAGAGATCTGTATTATATTATAAAAATATTATAACATTGTATTGTTTAACACAATTATACTATTTTTGTATAATCATTTAAATTGTTAATTATGAAGCTTATTTAATTTTTTATTGTAATAAATGTAAAATTATATGTTGTACTCAGATCATGCTTCATCAAAATATACAGCCAAAATTTAATTGTTTATGAATTAATTTTAGAAAGCATACAACAATCTTCCAGTGGAAACTAAGGTGACATTTCTTTTGACATCCATTTGCAATGCTGCCCTTGCAGAAGAGATGCGTGCCATGGCTGCAGTGCTACTGCGTCGACTTTTTTCTTCTGAATTTATGGACTTTTATTCCAAGGTTATAACCATAAAAATATCTGCATGTTATTATATATAATTGTTTTTTTACATATCTATAATACCATTTTTTAAATCATAAACGCATAAAAAATTTAGTTGATCAAATTATATGAAAGAAGCAAACTAAAATAGTTTCAAGCAAACTATATATTATGTTTAAAGTTAGTGCCAACAAGTATTGCCAATGATAAATATATTATCCATAGTTATCTTAAGTTAACTTTCTTAATAAAGACTTTATTTTACTTTATAATCTAAAATTTAAAAAAATTTTAACATTCTCCTAAATCATTTTCTTTGTGTCATTGGTTTTCATTGTATGAAATAATTTTTGTCTTCAATTTAAAAAGAATCAATAGTACATTATATATTTTTATATAAAAATTTCAACATTAAATTTCATTCAGATTCCTCCAGAGGCACAAGTACAGTTGAAAGAGCAAATTTTGTTATATGTTCAAAATGAACAAACAGAAACAATTCGCCGTAAAATATGTGAAGTTGCAGCTCAAGTTGCTCGTAATTTAATAGACGAAGATGGAAACAATCAATGGCCAGAATTTCTCCAGTTCCTATTTCAATGTGCAAATAGTCCTTTACCAGCATTAAAGGAAAGTGCATTAAGAATGTTCACGTAAGTTCATTACTTTAAATTTTAAATTGGATTTTAAAATTCAAAAATTAAAGTAAATGAAAATGTAAATGTAACAGATCCGTCCCTGGTGTTTTTGGAAATCAACAAGCAAATTACCTTGATCTTATTAAACAAATGTTACAACAATCAGTCATGGATACCACAAATAATGAGGTAAATAATTAGTTGATACAAATTTGGAAGATCGATACACGAGATACCAGGAATTTAGAATTTCTCGTCACAAAATCTTCCAAAAAAAATCTGCCTTCTGATGACTGTAGCTTGTGAAGCTTTAATTTACAGACAGATACGGGGCATACATACATATGTGTTAATTCCTTACATAATTGCTTACATTTTTATTAATCAAAACAAAATTTTGTATTCATCACTAAATTAAATACATTTTTTGATCATACAGGTTAGATTCCAAGCAGTAAGAGCAATAGGAGCTTTTATAACTTTACATGATAAAGAAGAAAACATACAAAAACATTTTTCTGAACTTTTGCCTGTAGTTGTGCAAGTAACTGCTCAGTCTGTAGAGAAACAAACTGATGATTCTTTATTAAAAGTATTGATCGATTTAGCTGAGTCTACACCAAAATTTTTGAGACATCAATTAGAAAATATCATGGAAATGTGTATGAAAATTTTTTTAAATGAAGAAATGGAAGACTCTTGGAGACAATTAGCTCTCGAAGTTTTAGTAACACTTGCAGAAACTGCACCAGCAATGGTTCGTAAAGTTGGCGGAAAATACATTGCAGCATTAGTACCTTTTGTTTTAAAAATGATGACAGACTTGGAAGAGGATGAAAAATGGAGTTTCTCTGATGAAATTATAGAAGAAGATAATGACAGTAATAACGTAGTAGCTGAAAGTGCTTTAGACAGATTAGCATGTGGTTTAGGCGGTAAAACCATGCTACCACAGATAGTGCAAAATATCCCTTCGATGTTGAGTAATACAGACTGGAAATACAGGTAAAATAGCAATGTCTAAAATTTATTTAAATATCAATTGATATTTCTTCTCTAAAAGAAGGCCACAGAATAGTCAGCGGTTATATATTTAATATAAGTAATCGCGTTACATCTGTGGCAAAGTAATCAATGAAATAACTCGTATTTCTATCTATCGTTTTGATAGATAGAATTCGGATACTCTCATTGCATGTTCCTTTTAAGAGAGTTGATGTTAATAAAAAATTAACATCATAGAATTGGAACAAACATTTTTATCTTATTAAATTTATTAAATTATTGACAATAGAAATTATTTATTTAGACACGCAGCTCTCATGGCTATATCTGCTGTTGGTGAAGGGTGCCACAAACAAATGGAAGCTATATTGCCACAAATTATGGAAGGTGTTATACAATACTTGCAAGACCCTGTAAGTTGTTTTAGTTTAGAATATTCTAATTTATTGTAGAAAATAAAAAGCCATGAATGAAGTTAATAGTATCATTAAAATTATTAAAATGATGGTGTAACATTCTTGGCAGAATAATGGAAAAGTTAATATATGCATTCATGTCATTGTTTTAATAACATGAATTTCATAATCTTAATTTTGAAGTTTCTGAGAGCTGATTGTATTGAAACAAAGATAGTCATAGTGTTGAAACATACAAAAATATAATAAAAGTTATATTTTGTATTATTTTCGTTATAAGATTTCTATCGCTTTTTTTTTTTTTTTTTTTTTTTTTTTTTAGCATCCCCGTGTCAGATATGCAGCTTGTAATGCAGTAGGACAAATGTCAACAGACTTCGCTCCTACGTTTGAAAAAAAATTCCATGATAAAGTTATACCTGGATTACTTATGGTATTGGATGATAATGCAAATCCTAGAGTACAGGCTCATGCAGGGGCTGCATTAGTAAATTTTAGTGAAGACTGTCCGAAACATATACTAACTCGATATCTTGATGCTATTATGGCAAAACTTGAATCGACGCTCACTGCAAAATTCCAAGAATTAGTAGAGAAGGGTACTAAACTTGTTTTGGAACAAGTTGTTACAACTATTGCTTCTGTTGCCGATACGTGCGAAGAGCAATTTGTCACTTATTATGACAGATTAATGCCTTGTTTAAAATATATTGTTCAAAATGCAACTTTACCAGAACACAAAATGCTTAGAGGAAAAACAATTGAATGTGTCAGTCTCATAGGTGTGGCTGTTGGTCCAGAAAAATTCATTGCCGACGCTAATGAAGTAATGGAGATGTTCTTAAAAACACACTCGGAAGATCTTCCTGATGATGATCCCCAAACAAGTTATTTAATTTCTGCTTGGGTTCGTATTTGCAGAATACTTGGAAAACAATTTGAACAATATTTGCCTTTAGTAATGGGCCCTGTCTTACGTACTGCGGCAATGAAACCAGATGTTGCATTATTAGACAATGAAGATATGCAAGGTATAGAAGGAGATCTTGACTGGCAGTTCGTTTCTCTCGGAGAACAGCAAAATTTCGGCATTAAAACTGCTGGTCTAGAGGACAAAGCATCTGCATGTGAAATGTTGGTTTGTTATGCACGTCAATTAAAAGAAGGCTTTGCGGATTATGCTGAAGAGGTAGTGCGACTTATGGTTCCTATGTTAAAATTCTATTTTCACGATGGTGTACGTACCGCAGCCGCATCAAGTTTACCATGTCTTCTTGATTGTGTAAAAATCAAAGGGCCACAATATTTACAAGGAATGTGGGCTTATATATATCCTGATTTACTAAAAGCTATCGACACAGAACCAGAATCTGTAGTATTGTTAGAATTGTTATATTCTCTGGCCAAATGTATAGAAACTTTGGGAGATGGTTGTTTGGGTGTTCAACCTATGGCAGAACTTTCACGTATTTTGGACAAATTACTCAACGAGCACTTTGAAAGAGCAGTAGCTCGATTAGAAAAACGAAAAGATGAAGATTACGACGAAGTAGTCGAAGAACAACTTGAAGATGAGGATAACGAAGATATATACACTCTGAGTAAAATAGCAGATATTTTACATGCTCTTTTTACTACACATAAATCAAAAATTTTCCCATTCTTTGATCAAATTTGTGGACACTTCGTAAAATTATTAAACCCTGATAGATCTTGGTCGGATCACCAGTGGGCTTTGTGTGTTTTTGATGATGTAATAGAATTCGGAGGGCCTGAGTGTGCGAAATATCAAGAATTCTTTTTACGGCCAATGATTCAATATGTGTCAGACAAATCTGCTGAAGTTAGACAAGCTGCAGCATATGGTTGTGGAGTTTTAGGACAGTTTGGAGGAGAAGCATTTGCTCAAGCATGTGCAGAAGCATTACCAAGGTTAATGGAAGTTATCAATGATCCAGAATCTAGATCACCGGAAAATGTTAATCCCACAGAAAATGCTATTTCAGCAGTAACAAAAATTCTTAAATATAATAACACAGCTATTAACGTAGATGAGATTCTTCCACACTGGTGAATATAATTTTACATATAAATAAATATAAAAAAAAAAAAAAAACAAATTAGAACTAATACAAAATTTCAATTACAATAATCTTTATTAATACGTTTTAGGTTGTCTTGGCTGCCGGTTATAGAGGATGAAGATGAAGCTCCCCATGTTTATGGATATTTATGTGATTTGATTGAAGCCAATCATTTAGTAGTTTTAGGACCAAATAATGCAAATCTACCTAAATTAATAAGTTTCTTTGCTGAAGCCCTTTACAGAGATGCTGTGCCTACAGACGACCCGGTTATGGCCAGGATTCTTAATATCGTTAGACAAATTCAGGTACAAAATAACATTGATATTAATAACAAAAAATTCTACTTATTGATAAATAGATAGATAGGTAGAATAATTATCATTATAATATTGTTTCAGAACAACGAATCTGTGTTCCAAGCATGTATAAATGCTTTAACGACAGATCAACAACAGGCACTGAGTGAGGCACTCAGTGTACAGACTACCAATTAGCCCCTTGCTTTCGTCGTTAAATTTCTAACACTTTAGTGTAAAGAAAACAAAAAATAAAAAAAACACCATACTCGCGTTAAGGTACCCTTATTATGGGAAAATTACCGAGATTTTAGGTAGCTAGATTGTACCTATGGGATTTTCGCTCCAGCCTAATTATCAACAAACAGACAGGTATATTAACTGTTTAGCGCATTATTAGTAATCTACTTATTGTTGATTGTATATTTCAGCATCATCAAATTCTTTAACGATATCAATTTTAGTATTCGGGATTGTTGCAAAATCAAATCGTTAAGTCGATAATTTTATTCACTGCTGACCGATGCAGTATATTAATATACGTGATAAATATACTAATGTAAAGGTCACAACTATGAAAGAACTCGCACTGACGAATTTGAAGAAAAAAAAAATTTCTATTAATACTCTTCCATGATAATTGTATAACGATATTAATCTGATGTATATACACAGGATCTTCTTTTACTAATCTTTTTGTGTCTGTTATAATTATATATTATATAAAAAGAAGACATAAATAAGGCAGATAGAGAGCTACTAAAATTTTTGGAATATTCTCTAATATTGAGAATTGAGTGATGTTAAATCTGTAAAAGGAAAATGTAGCTTTATAAATCAAATAGTGTTTACGAACACTAACACAGTTTTGTTATGCGAATGTAATTATAAGAAATACGATGTTTTTGTCACTGCGATCTCGCACATTTCTTTATTGCATCTATAGTTCTGGAACTGCACGCCGGTTCTTTCGGCAGAACGATACATCTTATTAAAATATATAAAAATAGACTGGAAGAAAGCAACACACATCGCTTTGAGATAACGTCGTGACATTGTGATTTAGATATTTTTATTATTAAATAAACAGTAAATATTATTTAATGATAATATCGATAATATTGCAGTGTTGAGGTTGGATCGAACTATATACGAATGCTTTTCGAATGAAACGTTATGTTATTGATCAATTAATTAGATCTACTACAAAATTAAATTTCAATGAAAAAAACTATACTTAAACAGATTATATAAACAAAATATTCCTTCTTTGGTTTACTAATTGGAACTTAAGTAACAACACTGCGTATATTTTATAGTCGATTAATGGTTCTATGACCATATTTATGTGTTTTATTCCTCTTTTTTTATTTTTTTTTTTCCTTTTTTTTTTTTTTTTTTTTTTTTTTTCTTTTTATAATTTAACAAAACATAGCACTGTTAAGACATTACGTTTCCTTTCATTACAGATAAAAAAAAATAAAAATAAAAAAAAACTAAACTAAGGATTGTGAACAGAGACGTTATGCAAAAATGACTGAGTGAAAAATAGTGTTAAACTCCCTGTTCTTGTTGCTATTTATTTATATACTATAAATCCTGTAATATGTATTATTACATTAAAATTTGCGATGGAAAATATACTATGAAGAAATTTGTGAGTAGTTATAACGTAAACGCTCCAAACGATGACATTTTTTTTATTATTAACGCGCGAAATAATAGTGGTATGGTCAAACGTTTATGTGTAAATACAACAAAGTATATAAATATCTAACAAGTATATAGGGTCGAATTATTTGATTATAAATATGAATGATCTATGGCAGGTATTGCCTTAAACAAGATTTTACGTAGATCAAGTCACGATTTTAATACAACGCATAATGATTGTAAAATTTATCAAAAACGATAAAAGAGACCGCTTATGCGTTACATAACAACAAAAAGAGGAATAAAAAAAATGGATACGTAAGAAATATATATCTATAATTCTTATTATATATATATATATATATGTATATATATATGTATATATATATATATATATATATATATATATAGATTATTTTAAAGTTATTATTAAGTAAAAATAAACTTCAGCTTTATAATCGTTCGTTTCTTTTCCCTACCGTTATCTACGATATCAATGAAATTTAAAAGAGTCAAGTAAAAATGAAATACGGACGATTAGTTATTAGATCTTATTTTTGATTCTATATATATGCATTGCATTTAAATTATTAAAAATAATATAAAGTATAAGTATTTCTATAGATTGTAAAATTTTATTTTACATTTCATCATTATACTTCGTAAAAATTTTACATGATAAAAAGAATTAATGACTTAATAAAATATGAGCTCTAATTACGTTTGTAATAATATAACACGGATATTCGGATACTGTAAAGAAATTTTAATTTGTATCAATCGTTGCATAAGTTATGACAGTCATTTTGAATCACGATGTATCGTTTTGCAGGTACACGGCCAGTTCAAAACAATTATAAACATCTGACTCTAATGCGTACTTATATACACATACACATATACATAAACATAAACTGTGCAACACGAGTACTTATATGTACTTCGTGATTTGATGCTGGCATCATATCAAATTGTGCAATATTACACACACACACATATATGTACCTATAAAACAATTCTTGTAGCGAACTCATTTTTTAAACGCATATAATTATAATTGCGTATATATCAATCAAATTTCTGCATAAAAGTACCGAGCAAAAGATGGATATAAATGGAAAAAAAAAGAAAAACTCTCCAAATTAAAATTACGTAAGGTTATATTGTGACTAAATATAAAAAAGCACCTAATCATGTATATATATATAATTAACTGGAATTTTAAATATTTTTTATTAAGTATAAATACATACTCGTAACACATAAGAAAAAAAACAGAGAATATCTTCTTTCTTCAAATTTTAAAAACACTATATAATCGTCGATAATATAAATGATTAATGATGCAAATAATACAAGTTTTTAGTAGGTATATAAACAAAAAAAAAGTTGATGCACGGTTGAGTAGAATTTTTTTTAGATGTCAAAATTCAACACAATACATCACGCTATATATATATATATATATATATATATATATATATATATATATTCACATAAGCGATGAATATATGTATGAATAATATGAATAAATATACACACACACATAACATATATATATATACATATATATATATATGGTTTTTATTTCACAAAAAACGAACGATAAGAAACGATAAAAAATATTTTTCAATTAAATAACAACGAAATAAAAAGTAACAAAAGAAAACGATAATACAATTTGTATTATCCAACAGTTTTTAGAATAACAAAAGTATAAATTAAAACAGTTACGTGAAGAAGCGATAAGAAAAAAGAAAGATAAAAAACAGTATGACATTAAGAAGAATCAAATGAGAATAAGAACTTAATTTTTTGCAATCTTTATCATCTAATTGTAATAGAAAAAAACGTTCTACGTAATGAATTAAAAATCTAGACTTCAAACAGACGATAATATTAAAAATAGAAAGATATAAAAAAATTCATAAAGCAATTGATTTTATCGGGCTATGATCTTTTCCGTTTAAATTCGTAGACGAGCGCACATGGAATTCTACGTTCATGACGTATACGATCATCCGATCTTACGTCATCGTTATTCCCTTCTCCGACCGCAAAAGAGCAAGCGAGAGAAAAGATAAAGAAAGACGGAATGTATCGTATTGCTGTCGCATGCGTCGACAGTCGATAGAAGTATGCGAATGAAGTTTCTTATGTGCGATCGAATTTTTCGGCTAAAGTCGATAACGTCGGACAATTTTCAAAGGAAAATTATTATTATCAAAGACAATAGATATTTGACAGTGTTTACGCATTAACATTTGACTTTATTTTGATCTGGTAAAAAAGTTTAATTCAATACAACGCATGCTCGACCCATAGAAACCGCAAAAGCGCAAGTAGTGATATTGGTCACCAGAGTTCGTGGCAAAGTTCTTGATAAAGTTCGCGGCTACTTTCGAAAGGTAATACGAAAAATCCTTTTTCTCATATGGCATCAAAATTTATCGCAAAAAAGAAAAAAAAGACGTATTTTAAATGTGTTACTTAATGTTTGACGAAATGAAATAATATCGAATCAAATATACTTTATCAGTTATTATCAAAGGATATCTATTTTATTTTTATACTTTAGATTAAAAAAAAAAAATTTTTTTTAATTATATGATTTGCTATTATTATTATATAGAAATCAATTCGAATTAAAAATCATACGATCTTCTGCGATTAATTCCAGATAAAGAAGCCAGGAATATTCAAATCAACACGATCTCGCATTCATAATAATACCGGTTTATTTTATCAGCGAATCATAAATGTTATATTTAGATAACCTACGAAAAATTATGAGGGTTGTTCTTTTTTTAAATCGTATTCAACAAAATTTGAGATTATAGGAAAATTAGGTTATTATTACTATGAAGTCAGTTTAAGTCAATAACGTTGTATATTAATAAATAAAGCATTGATTATTTGCCAAATTAGAATGTTATATTTTGATTCGAATTAAAAAAAAGAAAAAACGCGACTTTTGAAGAACAGCATATTCTAATTGATTAATAAGCTACTATTATGCATAAATTATAATCGATAGAATAAAAGAATTCATTACAAAATAAATTCTAGAATATGTTACATACATTGGTGAATTCGAAACAGTTCAAATAAAACTATGATATTTATTTATAGCTAGTAACTAGTAATAAACAATGATAATTTAATCTAATGCAATGATAATGCATATTACGTATAATGTTTTCAAAAGTAGATGATCTTATGCATAATTCTTTAACTTTAATCGATCTCAAGTAAAAATAGCCAAAATGTAAAGAACATAAACAAATGATATTTCACGTAGAATTATATAGGTTGGCGCAATGATTTCGTGAAAAAAGGGTTAATCTTGTTAAAAAGAATGCGCCTGTATTATGTTCGTGTGCATGTGTATATATATATATGCATATATATATATACATCATACATACATATATATGGGCGTGGTTAATGTGCAAGTTTTAATATTACTTTTGTCAATTAATTTATCTACATATTATTTTTTATTATGTCCAAAGTAGCAATGGTTTATCACTAGTTTGATAATATTAAAATATTTCAAATGATATTAATTATAAAAACAAATTTCATCTTCGAGAACATCAAGTAGCATATAAATGCAGTCACGAAAATAACTTTTTTCATTGTGTACACTTTTTATGAATTAAAAAAAGGAGAAGTTAAAAGAAAGAAAGTAAATATTGAGACTAAATAAAACCAGGCCGGCTTGATATGCTCTTTCGATCACGTGACACCATTTGTATCATCGGCAAATGATATCTACATTCCTAAGCAAGGATGTAATTTCACTCATTACGCTCCGTTTCACAAAATGTCTGTTTTGCGTTGTAAAAAAAAGACTATCTTATAGATATCATAGAACAATGTAGTTAATGATAATCTATTTTATATATATATATATATATATATATATATATATATATAAAATATGTATTATATGTATATATATCTCCACATATTTTTAAATGTTACTTTCTTTTTATGTTATGTTTTTTTTCTCTATCAGTAAATTCTAATATTAATGAATAAACAAATATTTTATCTCGATTGAAACATTTCAAGTTTCTAATATCTGCATAGAATGAGAGAAAGAGAGTATCTGCTAAACAGTACTTTGTTTTACGACTCCGCCCCCCCCCTCTATAGGTTCACAGTACCGTTATTCCGCCCCTGTCTCAAACGACGAATATTTCGTTGTATATGTATATACTTCTACGACAAGCGTTGTTACTGGCGTCTGCTAGGTCAGCTGTTGATCTATCATGGAGCAACAATAAAATTGGAACTTAAAAATTCCATTAAAAAATACAAAAATTTCGATGAATCACATAACAAGTATTAGTGGTAATCCTTTTTGATAATATACTTGAAGAAATTGTTTTTAAACATTTCACCTTTTCTAAAAATTTTGCGTACATAGTCAAAATTCATCGGACACAAGAAATTACGAGACGGAAAATTAGGGCGTGAAAAGGTTAGTATACTTATATACATACAAATTTTCGTTGTTTCCGACGAGGCTGAATTGTGATCATTGAAAAAATTCTATGCGATAATCATAAAATACAATACATAACCGTTAAATATGCAAGCATTATAGCTATCTTTCAATGTGCTGCTACTGCATTGTTCTTTTATTTCTAACGGTTTGATTTTGATTTTCATTCGTTTTCCTTGAAGTTAAGCGTTATATTTATATCATTAAAATTGTATATGCATAGCTTTAAAAATTATTCTAAATAGAAAATATAAAAGAAACATATTTTGATAACAAATTCAAATGGGATAACACCTTAGTCATTGTAGAATTCATACTGATTCATTGATATAGAATCTTTTTATTATAGCAAAATGAATAATTGTTTTATATGATATGTAAAGCCTATGATCAATGCAAGTCTATGTTGTTCTTTTGCATCACGGGTTTATGTCTGTATGGAATTATTTATAAAATTATATATATATGTTCTTGTAAAGAATATAATCCTGTAGTTTATAAATCTATATTTAACAGATATAAGTATATTTATAATTGGTCGCAAAATTATTCAGTCATTTTTTTAAATGGTATAATTATTTTTATGTGCAACTAAGTAAGAAACTTTGAAATTTTAAGTAGAGATATTAATGTGCTATATATACGAAGCATAATTTAAAAGATATTTTTTATTTTATTTTTGTTCTACAGCGATAAAAAATATAAAGAAAGTCTTTTCAGTTTTTATCAAGTATATTCATTTTCTACAAAAGTTTTTGATAAAAAATATTTTAGATTGCTCATACTATATTTTATATTCCTATTATAATAAAAAAATATTGTTTGTTTCTTTTCATTTTTTACATACTTCGTATAGCACACTAATTTTTCTATATCTAAAGTTTTTCCTATACTTAAAAGAAAAATTATTCAATTTGAAAAAGCGTAAGATTTGTTGTAACACTGTATATATATAAATTTTAAATAAATTCAACATATTAGATATATTTTCCAGTGGTGTTACTATACATATTCATGGCTCTCCTTTTTGTGTACGAATTTATTTGTGCACAGAATATAGTATATAAAGTGTCCTGCATGTGTGCACAGGTATGCCATTATGTAAACAACTCAATCATAGATAGAAACATACATATATGTTTTATATAGATTAAATATATATTTACATATATATTTTTGAATGTAACACAGCTTTGTATGTAACATGTACTAGTAGTTTTTTTTTCATTTACTATTCTTAATAAGTTTAAAATTAATAACATTTTTTCTTATTAATTCATCGCTTTATCATTATAATTTCTTATTAATTCATATATATTTTAAAAATATTATATATCTTTTATACATGGATGTGTGTTTAATCAATTTTAGTGTAAAGGACACTTCATGGGTTTAAATTTATTATTATAAAATCATGTCAAGGAAGCGCTGTAGAGAGGAAATTATGTTGAACTCTGTATCACATACAAATAATCATAATGGAGAAAGTACGTCTTCTTCTAGAGAAAATTCCCCCATTAATCCTGTAAGTAATAAATTTCTTATATAACACTTTGCCAAATATGTTGCTTTTGTTTATTATACAATACTCTGTACACGTATAACATTGATTTTAATCAATTTCATATGTTAAGATACAAAATGATTTTTATTTATAGATTGATTTTAACAATTTATAATATATAATCTATTTGTATATATTTACACATATCACGTGCGCCTACATTTAATACCACTGACACTATTTATAACGAAAATCACATATACCATGTCTTATTCAGTCAACAAAGAACATATACCTCATATGTTCATCATAATATCAAGTGATAACACTACGAACATGACGTAACATTGACATAAATAAGTGTCAAGTACTGTACTGCTAAGAAAATTTTACAAGTGGTAGAAGTTTAAATATATTTTTCTTAAACTTTGATTAAACATTCATTAACATTCATAAACTTTATCAAATATTTTATGTTTGATAAATGTGTAAAATGAAGTGAATTATTTGTTTTAAAAAATGATGAATTGTTAAATACAATGACTTGGGAGAATAGAAAATATAATAATAATAATCGAATGCATACAAAAATCTAATTACAGTATGGAATTTTCAATAATCATATAAGTTAAAATATTAATATAATAAATTCTATAATTTATAATTTTCAGGAATGTTCAAATTTGAATTACTTTAAATTAAAAAGCTTCTAAGTTACATTATCATTGAAATAAATTAGAAATTATATCTAAATTTATTTCAGTCAATTTGTAAAGAGGCTCCATTCAGTGATGATCCAGAAGCAATTGCTGAGAGAGATGCAAGTGATTATAATACTCAAATTACATTAAGGATGGCACGTAGTGGGAAAGGTTGGTTTGTAAGAGTATTTATTGTTCATTCACTATTCAAAAAATACAATGATAACTGTTATGAGAAATAAGATTTATGAAAAAAATAGAATATTTATGTAATGCCAATATTACTTATATGTTGCAATTTTAAGTAAACATTATCATCATAGATGTACTTTTATCATTATACAGTATTTTATAACATATTTTTTAGCACCCAGAAGAGTTAGAGTGTATGCTGATGGTATATATGATCTTTTTCATCAAGGACATGCTCGACAATTACTACAAGCTAAAAATATATTCCCAAATGTATATCTTATCGTTGGAGGTGAAATTTTTAATTCTGCTTACAATTTTTTAAAGAATATTTAAAAAATTTTTATAATTCTTTATTCATTCTTTTTTATTTTATAGTTTGCAATGATGAATTAACACATAGCAAAAAAGGAAGAACTGTTATGACAGATGCTGAAAGATATGATGCAGTAAGACATTGTCGCTACGTAGATGAAGTAGTAAGGGATGCTCCATGGGAAATAGATGATGATTTCATTAAGAAACATAAAGTATGTTTAAATTAATTTATTACAAAAAAGAAAAATTCCTATTAATCGTATAAAGTAAAAATCATATATGTATAATATATGTTCTTTATCATTCATATCAAAGTTGTAAACAATTGTTTTTATAGATCGATTTCGTAGCTCATGATGACATACCTTACATGACAGATGATGGTTCAGATGTTTATGCAGCATTGAAAACTAAAGGTATGTTTGTAGCTACACAAAGAACAGAAGGAGTATCTACATCAGATATTGTTGCAAGAATTGTTAAAGATTATGATATTTATGTAAGAAGAAATTTAGCACGGGGTTACAGTGCCAAAGAACTCAACGTTTCTTTCCTTAATGTAAGTCATTTACAAAGAGCATTAATATACTTTGAAGTTTCTGATTCTAGTTATTTAAGTTTTTCGAACTAAAACTATGAAAAAATAGTTTTTAAAAAATTGTCATTTCAGGAAAAGAAATTTCGATTACAAAATAAATTTGATGACCTCAAAGATAAGGGTAAACGAGTAATGGAAAATATAGGTGAAAAGCGTATGGACATGATTAGTAAATGGGAGGAAAAATCACGAGACTTCATTGATGCATTTCTTTTATTATTTGGAAGGGAAGGAAGATTGGTGGGTAGTATTTATGGAGGAATTATCCTGTTAATTATTTTGTATTTTATCTTAATAATTCAATATAAAGCATGTTCACAAAAGGAATAAAAAATGTTCTATATAACAATACAAATGAATTCTCTTTTATTCCTAGATGAATAATGATTTTGAAAAATTACACCTTTGAAGATCTCTTATTTAAATTTCGTTGCATACCATTGTGTATGTGAAAGTAAAATAAAATATTTCAGAACAAATTTGGTATTTATTATAGTACTTCTATCATATTAGTATACATTACTGGGAGAACAATGAAAAACAAATGCTAGTCTTGAAAAATAGATGAATGATTAATTTTACTTTTAACTTTTTCTTTTTTTGCAGTCAACAATTTGGAATGAAAGTAAAGGACGTTTGATGCAAGCACTTTCACCTCCAGCAAGTCCAAAAAGAGATGGCAGTCCAAATGGTAGTAGCAGTAGTAATAACGATGAGGATCAAACAAGGTATATTATAACATTTCAATCAATTAATTAATGCATGTAATATAGATTATTAGATATAAGTATTTTATAAACCTAAAGTAATAAAAAATATTATGCATTATAGTCCCCCACCAAAAAAGACTGGGCGCTACGAATTTTCACAAAGTACTCAATATCTAAGCGATGATTACAGTGATGATGAGGAAGAAAATTTACAATCTAAGTGATAAATCATTATGTAAATGCAATGTATCTTCTTATTACGACCAAAATTAGTGTGCTATTTTTTTTTAACATTAGACATATTTTCATACAGCTACATAAGCTGTTTATACAGAGAATAGCACTATGCTTCATAATTTTTGTATGGTAAAATTACTATACATAAAGCAAAATATTTGTTATTATATGGAAATTTAGTACAATTATGAATTATGCAAGTTGGAATATAGACATTTAAATCTACAGAAGATATGTAGATTATTTAAGATATCTATTACATCAAATTTATAATGTTTTTTCAGTTGTTGCTGTAGTATTACTTATTTGTATTATGTTCCTAATACAGCAATGAATTATTTATTTATTCTAAATTTCTACATGTTTTTACAGATATTAGTATTTATATTTTCATGTACTAAACAAGAAATTATTTCCAGTATTTATTTTTAAACAAATAATATGTAAAAAGTACTGGTCTATGAACTGATCTAATAACGATTTCTCTTACTTTATCATCAATTTTGTACAGAACGTATTATAGAATAATCTTACGTCTCATTGTACAGATATCTTAGATACAGAGTAAATATTTCATCTATAAAGACATATTAATTTTACATTGTTGCAAGTAACGCATAACCCTAGAAGTGATCTATAAAATATGTATATATATATATATATATATATATATATATATATATATATATATATATATATATATTTATATACACATACACAAAATCTTACAAAACATGATTGACCATAGAAATGATGATTATTATTAACATATGAACCAGTATGCAAGAAATAGATAAGCAATACTTCCAAGATGAAAGAAACACTGTTTTATAGAGCCTATTCATATTAATTACATTGAATCATATATATTAATTTATTATAAACACATAATAATAAATGATACATCAAAAATATAATAGTTTATATATACAGACATAGTAAAGAAATTATAAAATATACTCTAAACTGAGTAGAAGATTAAGAAGAATAACATATAAAATAGTGATCATGGTAACATTTTGTATATAAGTAATGAACGCAATATATAACAAAGTTATTTTTATAGTGAGGTTTTTAAGATTTCATTTATTACAAAAATGAACAATTTCATCTTCGAAAATAAACAAAACATGATTTTACATAAACTAAATACAATACATATTTTTATGACAAAAAAATTATAAGGTGCCTCTTTATAGATATATTTGCGTTCAATATTTTCAAAACTAATGCTTTTCAAAAACATACTTGCATACCATGTTCAATGGAAATGCTCAATCTTTTAATAACATATGTAATTGCATGCATTAAAGATTTTCCATGTCTTGTAATATACCACCTGTGCCTCAGTCTAACATAGCTGAAGTACATATATTGAGTATTATAAATGCCTTAGAAGATATTAATAAGATAGTTATTCTATAATGCAATGTCAATTATATATTAATATTGATATTGCAATATATGTACACAGGCCTATAATGCAATAACTATTACTGTTATATGAATATCACTGTCTTCATAAAATATACTTAGTATCATTTATTAAATAGGAGACTAGAAATTTTTATTTATAGTGAATTTATTATTAAACAATGAAAATATTTTTAATTATGATTTTAAAAGTTATAAACCAAACAACAACTTTATGGCAGATGGGTAAATTTTTCCATATCTTAATATCTCTTCGAAGCATGTAATCCTCTTAATGGAATAATTTAATATAAATATGTTTAAATGATTAGTAAATAATTAATATTAAATAGAATAAATAAAACTTTAATAAATAATTTTATCTACATACATATATTTCCAATGAAGAGTGGATGTTTTCTTATAATTTTGCTTATATTTGTATTTTTGTTTTTGTTTAATAGAAATATATTTATATAAAAGCATATATATACATATATATATATATATATATATATATATATATATATATATTTGTTATTAATTAAACAATAAATGACGACATAAGCGTCACTTCACTGGAAACAATCACTGGAAACTCAAAGCAATCATTTCTGTCGATGAAATGAACAAATTAAAGCTTCAAATTGATAAAATATGATACTAATGAACTATCAAGTTCCAAATCTGCTTATAAAATATACTTTTATATGTAAGACTGTTTTGTAAAGAAATACTTTATGATCGGGTCTTGATAGCTATTGATATAATTTGTATCTATTTGAAACTTTTATTTCTAAACGAATAATGTTCGTCTGACCGACAGAAATTTGCATCTTAAGTTTCTAACAATCTAACAATTACTCTTTGCTTTCATTAACAAATAATTAATAAATATATTTTATCATCATATGCGAAATATTTTAGTTGTAAAATATATTTGATTATATATATATATATATATATATTTATTTATTTATTTATTTATTTATTTATCTATCTTACCTATATATATATATGATTTACTACCATGATCACTATTACTATTTTGTTAAACGATACTTAGTTGTCGGAATTCAACGATAGAATGACTTATTATTTGTTAAAGTCGCTCAAATCCCTACGTGTTTGTTTTTTTATGTTTACATTATTACTTTTATTTAGTATACAGTAGGTTATGTTCTGAAATTAATCGCTAGGTTACTTGATGAGGATTGGTCAATGTTACTATCGATTGAGGCAATCAATCGAAATAATAATTTAAACTAACGTGGCGCGAAATATAATCTTTATCTTTTTTTTTTTTCACATTATCAAACATTGAATTTATAAAAAATATATATAAATAAATGAGATCATAACATTTTTATTTTATATTAAATTAGTCTATTTACAAAGACTAGTAGGAGTATTATAATCAATCCTGGTGCGAGAGAAATGGAACAGCTTTTAAAGAAATTAAAATCTGAAACATTTTAATTATTATTAATTGATATAAAATAAAGAATAAGATACTATTTATTTTTCATACTTTTGTCATTAGGATCTCGTACTCCGCATTGCCGATGCCCTAATGTTGCTTTTCTCTTTGACGGTATATATCCTGGTATATATAAACTTGGAGCTTCTAATTTCCCAGTCGACATTAATTTACTGAAATCTTGTTCTAATTTATTGGCTATCGGACCTAAATATCAAAATGTATATGTAAAATAATATGTTGTATCTACGAACAAAAAGCAAACTTACACAAACCTTTAAAGTGTATCAAAAATTGAATACAAGCTCCATTGTGTAATATTTTAGTTTTTCTGCTATCGATAGATAACATCCATTCAGGAATACCCATTACTTTTCTTACATCTTCTAAGAATTGTGCTCTAAAAGAAAACAAAATATAGTAAATTTGTTAAAATAATTGTTGCTATGGTTTACTTTTTTTTAAAAATATATCTACACGACAAAACGAGGTGGTTTTCTTATATTTGCATATTTTACTATATCGTAGTCCGGTTCAATATTAGCACAAGCAAATCTATTATTTCCAAAATCTTTGTCCATAATAACGATTGATTTTCCCATCGCAGAAACTGGCCCATCTAATGGAAAATTTGGATCTGTGAAAACTCGTCTTTCCATTCCTATATTGATTGGTCCCAAACGAGATGAAATGTCTCCTACTTGACATCTTAAAGGCAAATCAGGACCACATTCTTGTCTATACAGATCTTCCTGTTTCGAATTATTGTTGTTATTTAGTACGCTTGGATAATTAACGATGTATGAACAAGAAAAATACAAATAATTTTACATTCAAAGGATCTGCTAATTGAGTAAAATAAGGATTCCATATGTATCCACCTGCGACACATCTAGTATCTTTTACTTTTACAGCCGCATCCACTCCAACAGGATTAACGTATATAGCCCAATTGTGATTCTTTGTCTGTTAAATAAAAAAATTCAAATATTATGTTGTGAAATATATTTTTCAGAATAAAGAAAAGAAAAAATAATGTTATATTTTTACAATATTACGATCATGATTTCCTGGATGTCGTAACTTGACTTCAATTACTGTCTCACTTTGACTACCATCTTTATATGCCAGCTGTGACTATAACAATAATTATATATTAATTTATTTATTAAGATTCTAACTTATATTTAATAATGAATATTAATAAATAATATACCATTTTAACATAACCGTACGCAAATCCTTGTGGATGATGGAACGAAGCAATTGCTCGTAATTCTACCGCTTCAGATGGTGCATATCCTCTTTCTATCGTAGAACAGGCCCATCTACAATAATAAATAATGTCATTATATATACTCTTTTATTTCTAATATTTTACCTTAGGTTTTTTTCTTTTTTATGAATCACTACACTGTGACCAAAAATGCTTCTAGGTCCGAACAATGGAAGCAAGGTGTCGTTGTAACTCGTTATATATTTTTTTCTGTTATCTAAAGTACCAAATTTTCCGCTAAGGTCTCCCATTTCATATTGATCCGATGTACCTTCTCTAGAGCCTGGAATGTTACTTGAATTCACACCCAACGGATTCCAGTAATTATATAAAGATGTAGCTTCGCAAGGGAATTCTAAATCTATTTCTACCGGAGTCTGTGATTGTAAAATATTTTAAATATTTAAAATATCAATATTATTTCTTTTAAGAGCTACATTGAAACAGGTTACCATATGTATGTGATATCCGCTCATTTTTCCACCAAGTCCTTCAAGATTAATTTCAATGTCCGTGACATCGTATTCGCTTTGTTGAATGAATTCCAATTTTCCTCTTATATGAACAGGTTCACCATTACCAAACCAATCTTTAGCAATTGCTTTTAATCTATATAATCCACCGATCCTATAGAAGATATTTTGTTGAAATTTAATTTTAATGTTCCAATATGAAACAATGAAATTTTTTTTTGATTTACGTCGAACAAGCGAGTCTTTCTCCTCTTGCGATTGGTCCATGATCATCGTAAATTACTAAACTCTTTCCTAAAATACTATTTCGTCCAGAAAGTGGCAACATCGTATCTGTGAAGAGTTTTCGAGTTAGAAGAGGTCCATAGACCTTTTTCCCAGCAATTTCGAGTTTTCCATGTCTCGTAAGGTCACCCAATCGACATAACGAGATTTCAACTGTTGAACAATATTTCGTATGATTTGGATCCCAATCGATCTAATAAATATTTATACTCTTGATTATTTGTTATTTGTAACATTTCTTTAAAGATAATTCATTTTGCAATTATTACTTTATGAGGATTGTATGGTGCACCAGCGCTTAGACATCTACCAGTCCAATTATAATAATCCTTTCCAGGAGGATTATCGTGTACCATCCATCTGAAAATGATCGATAATACAATTTCTATCATATATGTTTCTTTTATGTACGTCTAACATTTACTACCTATGCTCGGCTGAATTATTCAGTGCACTACCATCGGCATGAACTAAATTTTCAATTATAATAGTTGTATCAGCTTCAGGATTGTTTTTTGGTTGACGGAATATTATTTTTCCTACTATTGGATATCTAAAGATTACTTGTGCCGTAAACATAGGAATTTGTCCTGCATTTTGTGGTAAATGAAGAGCAAAAGTACCACATACCCATGGTATTATACCTTTATTATCAGTTTCATTATACCTTATTAAAAAAAAAAGAAAGAAAAAAAAATTATTAACTAATTTTATATTTTATTATAAAACGTATTATTTCAATATATTATCTCACTTGTGAATTACAAGAGATCGATGAACGATACTATGAATTCCTGACAGTGGCAGATATACGTCCCAATAGATACCATGCAATTTTGCACTTCCAGGTAAAATATCAGTATGATAAGATCCTTCTTTGCGACCTTGAAGCTTTCCTGACAAATCACCAATGCTATATTGATCCTGAGTTCCTAAACCTGCTGGTGGTACTGTCTTCTCGTCGATCTTAGTCGGATTGTACATGTTTTTAGTTGTCAAACACGGTTCTCCGATATCTTCTAAAAATTTAGCTGGTTCAGGTGGTAGTTCATGTATCCTGTAATATGCTACTTTGGTGGCATAACGCAATCTCGTTTCTAAATTGACTGGTGTCAGAGATATATTGATCCATGTCGGGTTAAACGGAGTTTCTTGGCTTAATGTCATTTCACCTTTTATGCCACGAGAGCTAATTAATGTTCTGAAACATGTATTTTTTGTTTTTTACTATAATCTATGCTGAAAATTGCAGTACAAATAAATTTAAGTATGCTTATTAATGTCGAAACAGAAATGTAGCTATATTCCGTCTAATCATACTTGGCAAGAATCGGTTTGCGATGATTGATCTTAGCACAAGCCAAGAACGAGTCGTCGTGCGTAGGGTGAAAAATAACTAAGTACAATAATCGATGTGGTCCAAGAAGATCAGCCGGTAGGAGTGATAATTCTGGATCTCTATAAGAAGTCTTGTATTTTGGACTTTGTTTTACGGCAACTTTTATTTTACCCAAACGCATATCAACATCACCGATAGATTTGCCAGGACCAGCATTATCTGGATCGAAAACTGTTTGAAGTATATTGCAACTTGATTTATCTGAAACATATTAAATAAGATTATGTACAAAATTGACGAATATAGACGAAAATATATTTCATTTTTCGTACCTTTGCCAATGTTAAAAATATCAGTCACATAAATTTTCCAGTGATGTTCTGTATAATCTATTTGTAACTTTTGGTTATTGATATGATGCAAATCGGCATAAATGATAGTATCAGTGGTATTGTCACCAGCTTGACCACCAAGCCATCGGAACCAAATTGTTCCAGCTACTGGGCCGTAAAAACGAGCTTCGGCGAATTTCTCTGTATTTTTCTCAAAAACCTACGGGTCTGACATTTATTAAAAGACATCCGACATTCAACGTAAAAGAAAATTTTTATTTACAAAAATATCATGAATTACCGTGATAGAAGCACAGATTATTCTGGACGTATAGGAGTCTTTTAGTAATAAACCTTTACCCCATAATCCCTTTTCACCAGTTAGAGTTACACCTGGAACTTCAACAGAACCTGTTTCATTCCCAGGCATTTCCAATGGACCAACTAGATCCGTCAGATCGATTATGCTACGAGCAATAGATAAATTATAAAGCTAGAAGAAATATATTTAAGCCAAAATATATAAGCATATTTCAAATACCTTTCTCCAAGATGACGACGACTGCATCGATCGTCTATGACTGTGTAGTCGACAGGAAATTGTGTAATAGACCAGAACCATTGTTGATCTGGATACTGAAGTGTCGTTTGTAAAGCGAATCGAATTCTTATCGAATTCTCTGTTTTTTGTTCAAATCGGACCTCTCCATGAAGACCACCAGCGGATATATAAGCTGCTAGCTTGAGTGCATTTCCTGATATCACTGTATATATACATAGGAATGTTTTAAGAACAAATATTGTCTTTCTTCGCAATACATCTAATTAAAGTAGTAAAAATTACATCGAATTTACAACTCTAATGAAATAAATTTCTAAATTTATTAAACAAAATAAATCTGTTCCTCGCATGTGTTCCTAATATATTATCATTTTTGAAGGATGATTCACAGTAATCATATTACATATCGACGAACATTAACGCTTTCACTCACCATAACTTAATAAAAAAAGCCACCACATTATCGACAATTATTAAAGATCTTTTATAGCATTTTCTTTATCTTAAATTGATTTTTTGATTCGTTAACTCACATGGTTCGCCATACGGCAGAAAACTGTAGACTTACAACGGTGGCCAGTCAAGGTAACGCCTCGTACTTTCTTATTTCTTTAAATGGATATGGTGGGAGTCTTGAGAAGAGAACGATGACCTTTGCATAAGAAAGTGGGACCTGGCGGTATGTCATCTGGAGGAATGATTTTCAAAGCGAAGAAATAATCAACAATAATTTTTATGAATTGTAGGAAAGATTTGTCTTATTGTTCGAGAAAAAATAAAATTTGACTATCAATTAATTGCATAAATATTATTGGATATCTGTCAAAAATTTGAATGTTAATAAAATAACCTTACTTGGATCTAAAAATTAATCGTCTTATCGAAAACAAAAGGATAGAAATGATTAATAGTCAAGAAGAATTACAATCTATTTTTAATACGATGAAAGTATTTATGACTTTTGATTTTATACGAAAATTACTACGATGTATTACATTTTATATAGGAAACTGTATAGACAGAGTCGTGTGAGTAATGATATATCGTATATATTTTTATTTTAACATATTTAATGAAAAAAATTATTTAATAAATATTTTCTATTAGACATTATCAAAAAGATGTAATAATAAGACGATTAAAAAGAAGAAAAAAACGACTTTTTGAAGGTTGTAATTATAAAGACAAAAATATTAAATGTAAATGTAATTGTAGCAGATGCACGTAAGTAACAAATATTATCTGAATTGTATAAAATTATTAAGATTTGTATGTGCATGTAATTATAAAGGATGGTTCTTCCAGTAAATATAGAAATATCTGTAGCCGTGTTTTAGAAACTGATTTTATGACAAACATTATTTGCGATAATCGACCAACTAAAAATGAAATGTATGTACGATTAAATAATTATATTATATTTTATTATGCTTAACATAATATCTTTAATTGCATTACAAATTAAAAACTACGATTGATAATAATTTCATATAATAAGCGAACATCATCTTTGTTTATAATTTTATAAATATTTTATTCATATTTTATTGTTTTAGTTGTACAGACAAGGATCACGTTCGTCCATGGACATTGGAGCAGACACAACCACAGGATCACAGAGACGTATATTTTATCATCTACTTTTCATACTTGTTCTTTACATGGATCGCCTGTTTGACAGCAAAATTTATTTTTCACATAAACTGGACAGCATCCAGTAGTAGTTACAAATGTTTTTTGCTAAATGTTCCAATAAAACTTTAAAACCCATAATCCTTTAATGATAAATTTCATTAGAAATTCAATTTTTTGCATTAAGTTTGATAATGAGCGTTCGAATTAATTTTATCAATTAAAAAGATAACGATCAACGAAATACGGTGACGATATTTGAAGGAAAGCTCTCGATCTTATGGATGGCTGGGCATGGTGGACGAAAATGCAGCAAAGTACAACGCGCATGCCGTTGGTGAACATGACACAACAATCCCAACCAAATTCGTATATTCATCGGCAAATTCTTGTTTCTATTTCGAATCTTGTAATTCGTTGACTGAATTAAATGAAGAATTGGATGAAATGCAAACTGATAATTCTACAATTACTGAAGTTATCAGGAAGTACGAATTCTATTCTTTTAGTATTTTTTATTAAATTTAAAACTTGCCAATTTACGAGAAGGATAATATGAAATGAATCGATTTCCATTGATCCTGATATCAGTATTCTTTTTTTTTTAACAGGCTTTCAAAGCATACAAAAGTAGACAAATGTTCACAGTCACCTTATGAGATTTCTAAATCGGATTCCAAGATTGAATTTGGCCGAGATAAGAACTAAGTGTGTGTGTGTGTGATGATTCAGATTTAAAGAATGTCATTATATGCAGTATAAAATTTAATAATTCTGTTATTGTTTGTTCTGTAAAAAATCGCTTGTTTTGATCGATTTGTAATAATATTTAAAACATTTGTTGATGGGACAATAATTTTCATTAATTGTACTTCGGCATGATGGGAACATAACATTATGTAATCCTTATATCCCAATAACAAAAAAGTTATCATTTTTTTTAATGGTTGGGAGAAAAATGACAATATTTTATTAAAAAAAAATGTAAAACTTTTCATTTACTTTTCAATTAGTTAGAGTTGCATCTTTTTATAAATATTTATAAAATTATGAAACCGTTTTAACCTTTAATCATAATGCTGATATTAATCACATTGTTAATCTAGGAAATATATATAAATTACCCGATATCATGAAAGTGCAGTGGCATGTCGTGGCTCTCAAATATCGGGCAGTTATTTTCGGTATCCACGTGCTTTGGATATCGGAGCACAGATCGAAAACGAAAGCCAAAAATAATGAATCATCGTCAAAAACTACTATTCTTTGACTGAAATTAAAATTCTATCATATGCCAATGTATAGGAAGAACTATAGAAAATATTTATCATTCACTTCGATTTGTTTAGAAGGAACATTATATTTCTTTTTAAATAAATCTAAAACCGTAATGCGTGACGCAATACAGGACGGACAGTTCTTTTTTTCATCTTGGCGTTTCCAATCCGTAAATAAAAACTAAAAATGACTTCAGTCGAAAAGTTCTAGATTACGTATGATCAAACAATAAAAGTACAAAGAAGAGCTATTGCGTACGCACCAGAGAAAAATACGAGAGTTTCACGTGAGAACCAAAATAAACCTATAAGACGGTCGACAATATGGAGTCGCAAGATATTACTAATGGCGGATGTGCAGAAAGACAAAGAGAGGAAGACAAGTTTCTTCCTGATCGACGTATAAACGTAGCAGATCGTTTCAATCGTATACGAGGGGTAATGGAGTCATCCGTTATCTTCGTTCGTTTCCAGGGGCACCCTTGACTTATATTTTCGTTCTGAAAAGCGAATCCCGATAGCGCGAAAGAACAGGGCGGTAGACAGGCACCAGTCGCGCCGCCGTTCCTACGGTCCTCGGCAAACTGTTTTAGTCGAAACGTCGAAAGGTTCGCTATTTTGAGGTGGCTCGCACTAAATATGGTCAGATAGGCGTTGGCGTTGTACCCGGGCTGGGCACCCCTGTTCGAGCAGAACATGATGGTGGGGGAATCCACCAAAGTTACTTAGACAAGTTCACCTCTATGATTCGGACAGTTGGTTAGTTGTGACCATCTCGTACAATCCTCTTAGAAACCAACTGTAGATATGGTAAGTAGGTACCGGTGTTGTTAATGAGGTACCATTATCAACCCGTAAAACTTAATTGCGGAAAGAAAAGACAACGGCGATTTTTCATGGAATTTCTTACGAAACATAATATTCGAATTTATATTTCTACCTTACGGGAAGATCAAGGAAGAACGCAACATGTTGTCTAAACGTGATAGCTTGATTAGTGGCCGAAGAATCGATGCCAAAACGTGTCGTACTACGACGCTGGATTCCACGAGGATGATCGATCGATGGATTACGCGGTGTGTGTCGTAAATAATATGCCAAGTGACGTATCGATGAATGGAGTGCAGCTTGCAGCTTCCATGATCGCGAATTGTGTTAATGGAGTGCAAGAGTGGTCTCCGTTAAGCTCTTGGCCGTTCGCCATTTCACACTTTGGTGCCACTTCCGTTTATTTTTTCATTAGCCCTTAGAATATGGTGTACCTATTATTTATCTTTATCTGAAAAATCATAAGGATTTATATTTTTCTTGATAATTCATATGAGTTCTTAAGATATTTCATGTATTATGCTTTCGGCATTGTCCACATGTTTTTTTCAGCAAATTCGTCACCGTAAAGACGATAACGTTACATTATTTTTCTCGTTATATCAATGACAAACCTAAAACAAATTTCCAATTATAACATTGCTCTCATCTCTTTCATATAACAAATTATAGGAAGATCGTTGAAAAAAGCACTCATTACTACTAAAAATTTGATCGAGTCGAACTATAATCTATAATAAAAGAATGAGTATTTCTTCAACTGCGTGTGGCTGTTTATAAAAATACCAGAATTATGTAATGATCGTAACTCGAGAGGCGGCGTACCGTCGAGACGATCGGTCTATATACGTCTTGGCTGCATGTCGACAGTACTACTAATAGGGTGGTTCTATTTTTAGTATCAGCAAACGATATCTTCTGAATTTTCCCTAGCGACTTTCGGATCGAGTCATAGCTCATAAATTCTATCGAAGGATTTGGATTTATCAATTCATAAAAAATTTCTTTCTCATTTTTGAAATTAAACAAATACAAGAACGAGCAAATAAATTGAGTCAAATCTTGGAAACATTTCAAGGAACGCTTGGTTTCATTCAAAATCTATATGGTCAAAATATTCCGTTCTCGTTGTACACGTGGTAACAGGTTCCAATTGGATACAATACAAATTTTTGAGAATATATAAAATTATGAGAGACCACCTGTTGCGTCGGTATCATCACAAGATGATCTCTTCTGATAATTATAAATATATCGATTTACTTAATCGATTACCTTAACTCATAAACTAGTCTCATATAAACGACATTAAACTCATTTGTCAAAGAAATAAATGATATAGCGACGGAGAAGTGTTTAATTCGACAAGAAAATCATACATTTTAGGCGGATAAGGAAAAGAAGAAGAAGACCAAAAAGAAGGAAGAGGCAGCTCCGGCGCCTCCTCCTCCAGAACCCGAGCCAGCACCGGCTGAAGAAAAACCACCAACCCCGACTGGTACCCCTAAGGAATCTGGATCCGCAAGGGCGAGCAGTCGTGGTAGCCGAAGGGCTAAGCGTAGCGGTTCCAGTGTCTTTTCTATGTTCACTCAGAAACAGGTCGCTGAGTTTAAAGAGGTACGTTTGTACGAATAAAAAAGTCAAGAAAGATAGGATGAACAAATAGGACGCTTTCTTTTTCATAAATCAATTATTAGAAAGTTAAGAATTCTCAATTTAAATGAAACAAGATATATATATATATATATATATATATATATATATATATATGTCTTTTGTGTCAATCTTAAACGCAGCATCTTAAAGTGATGAGATAATTGCTGACAAACATACATAATTTGCTTTGTCTGGATCTACAGGCTTTCCAACTTATGGACCACGACAAGGATGGTATCATCGGTAAAAATGATCTACGTATGGCCTTCGACTCGGTCGGTCGTCTTGCTACTGACAAAGAAATCGATGAGATGCTCAATGAGGCACCAGCACCTATCAACTTTACCCAATTGTTAAATCTATTCGCTGTTCGTATGTCAGGATCAGGTAATTGAACAAAAACTTAAATTTTCTAAAATATTAGACGATATTTTCTTGTATATACTGATCAAAATGTTTTCCTTTTAGGCGCTGATGACGATGACGTCGTAACAAATGCCTTCAATACCTTCGACGAGAATGGCAAAATCGATGGAGAAAGGTATATAATCTGTCATTTGATAAAGAACAATTAATTTTACATTAAAATATCATTTTTACAGACTGAGGCACGCCTTGATGACTTTTGGCGACAAATTTACCGCGAAGGAAGTTGACGAATCCTACGATCATATGTACATCGATGACAAAGGTTTCATCGATACACCAAGTCTTATCGCCATGTTAACCGGCACAGGCGAAGAAGAAGAAGATTAAACTTATATTACTGACATCCGGAAAAAGAAACACATTAAATTTCTATTCATTGCAAACGAAGTCTCTTGTTACGTCAGATTCGCCGAGACCGTTTCTGAACATAACGACAAAAAGTATGACACGAATCTAACGCCTAGCATTCCCTTATCCTGTTTTCGATGGCAAAGGTTTAATTTTTTCAAAGGGACATGTACAAAGAACGATCTCAATCCGTTGAGAATACACATTATCTACCAGGATTCTTTTCATGGTGTGTGCGCTTACTGCGTAATCTGAGGATAAACGAGACTTCGAATCATACAATATTTATCATTCATATAATAAAAATATTTTAGAACATCATAACGAGACGACTCTCTTATTCTGCAGTAGTCATCATCGAATTACGAGCGATCTTGTGTGTGAGAGGAACTGGTTGTTTGTCACGCCAGTGTTATTCTTGTTCGATTTCCGAATTTTCAGACAAAAATAAAAAGTACATTTTTTTGTGGTATATTAAAATATTTCAAATACATTGTAAATGTAAAATGGTCTTTCATTTAGTGAACTACCTATTACAAAATATACTCATTCCCAAATTATTTCGAAATTGAAATGAAATTATTTTCCAAGAAAAAAAAAAACAATCAAAAATACAATCATACGAAAGAATTAAACTAAAAATACCTGATCCAAATGACGAATGTTTTCGTTATCTAATCATGTAATATGAGTTTTTTTATATCATGCTTAAAAAGACTCCTCCTCGTTTTACGCTTGGCTAAGTACCAAAGTATATGTTGATGACACTTGACTAAATTTAACTACGCCCAAATAATTAATATATACACCGCCTGCCACGAACATCACCGGTCAACTATTTTATTAAACTAACATGAAATTTTCTGGAATATCAGAGAAGTTAATAAAATTTATCTACATATAACGTGTGATAGATGTAGCAACTTTTGCTTATGATTACTATGTGTATGTATATGATATGCATCACTATATATATCCATACGTTAGTTTTCTTTTTTTTTTTATATAGAATTCATCGTACTTTATGCTGGACCAAGTTTCTCTTATGGATCTCAATATAAAATCACTAACAGATATAAAATAACTAAATTAAATTGAAAATATTAATAACACAATATTTAATTGAAACTATTAATAATATAATATATAATAATAAAAGATATAATTCTTGTTTACTTATCATCATAAAATAAATGTTACCAATAAATGATCGCGTTAAATTAAATGAAACATAACGCCAAAAGGAAATGACATTTGTAGTTCTAGTCAAATAAAAAACAAAATCAATAGAACACTAAAAATTAATCATTTATCATTATATGCTTATATATGTGAGAGAAAAATATGTTGAAAGATTAAAGAAAGGTTAAAAAAAATAAATTTCAATGACTGAATGATTTAAACTTTACATATAAATTTAATAAGCTTTAATAACGGATGGAAATAGTACGGATATCAAATGGCGCTAATTCAATTTAAATTCGAATGCAATGTGAAAATAAATGAAATAATAATATCGCGTACGTAGATAACAATAATTATAACTTCATTTTTGATAGATCTGTTTTTCAAATTATACATTTATAACATAATGAAACTTGAAAAAATTCATTTGTTAATTAATAATACTTATATAGAAAGAAGTATATTTTTAATACTATTTTAGAAAATTCAAAGTTTAATTAAAACACACAACTTACCAAATCGATGGTCCGATGATCGAAGTATTCCTCGTAGTGGATGCAGATGGAATGGAGCGGTTGTACCGTTGGAAGCAAAGTGACACATGAACGTGGTCATGAAGACAGGTGGAAAACCGGAAATCCCAATGAAGCATTTGTGCCAAGTGACGCACTTTACGTTTGGCGAGTACTCCTTTCTAAGTTTTGCGCTAATTATATTAATTAAAAAATATTTCATCGATAATATTTGTTATTTCTTTATTATCTCTTGGAGAACAGCGAGGCTTCAATATTTTATTGATAACAAAAAATTTATATGCAAAAATTACCATATCTGAACATATTAAACAATATTCCCGGGAAAATATATTTTGTGACATCCAAACAGATTTCACTGGAGATGGTATCAGCACCAATGGAGGGGGCCAATCTTAGATCTATAAAAGAGCGCGTCCTGCTAATTTCTGGACAGTATGAAAATACGATAATATAGATTAATTAATAGTAGTTATACATCTTGTCGATTATTGAAGTTTTTGTGTCATCAAAATAATCGAAGTATAATTGTTTTAGTATAGTCTAGTCCAGCATAGAAAAAAAAGTAAAAATGCCTTATCCTGAAAAGGAAGAAAATAATAAAGAGAATCAAGAAAAAAAAGTGGTACAAATATTATTTCTTAACTATACATGTTAGATTTATATATTTACTGACATGACAAAAAACGTTCAATTGTTATCTTTAGAAAAAGAAAAAATCATCCAAGATAGCTGAAGGACAATTGAAGGAGAGTGTTAAAGAATCAGTAGAAGAAAAGAAAAAGGAAACGGAAAAGAAAAAGGAAATGGATAAGAAAAAAGAAGAGGAAAGAGAAAAAGAAAAATCTGATGTAGAGACAATAAAAACAAAAAATTCACAAAATAATGTTTCCGTGGAGAAATCGATGATTTTCAACGCTGTTTCTCTACCTAAAGAAATAAAGATTCGAAATGAAGTAGGAAAAAGTGATTTGATCAAATTATCAGAGCTAAAAGAAGTAACTTATTTAACTTGTTCTAATTTTAAGTCTTTCTTATAACAATTACATACGTATTATGTATTTTTTCAGGCATTTCAATTATTTGACTTTAATTGTGATGGTATCATTGATTTAGAAGACCTAAAGTTTACTTTCATAACTATGGGCAAACCCGATGTATCCGAAGAACAATTACAGCGAATGTTATCAGAAATACCGACTCCGATTGATTTTGATGCGTTTATTACACTTTTTGGGTGAGTTAAGAAATACCACATAATGTAAAGAATAACATGAAAAAACAAGATTAACTTTGTGTGTATGTGTGTATATACATATACACAATTTATTAATAGACAAAAAGTTAGTGAAATGGACTCTGAAGAAGTTATCACTGCTGCATTATCAACTTGGGATATGAGAAACATCGGAATGATTCCAGAAAACAAGTGATGAGTTTTAAAAATTAGAGATTAATATAGATATGAAAAGAAATTATATTGTTTTTCTTTTTTCTTTTTTTTTTAGAATACGTGATGATCTTCAAAAATTTGGTGACAAATTTACAATTAAGGAAGTTGATCGTGCCTTAGAGGAAGCACCAATTTATTTGCTAGATGGTAATGCAATGATAGATTATATTAAATTTAGTAACAATATCTGTGGTTTTCAAAATCTGACCAAAGCTAGACAATATCAGAAAAATTTAGAAAATGTTTAAAAAATATAGTTCTGATATTTGTTAATATTATGTAGAATCAAATGATAATTATGAAAATATTCTGTACCCTGCAAACTCTAAAATACAATTTAATTTACCGCAAAATAAAAAAAAGAAGTAATTACATTGCATAATTATTTCGATATATTAAGTATATGTAATCCGAAGATTTTACGATAATTTAACGAAGAAAAATCTCATTTTTCATTATAGTATTATTGACCACCTTTCTTCGGTCTCTCGCCAAATATAGCAGTTCCCACCCTTACATTTGAACTTCCAAGTAATACCTATAAAAAATTTAATTAACTTGTCTGATTTATATTTCGTGTAGATAAAATATTTCACAAATTTACCGCGTGTTCATAATCGGTAGACATTCCCATTGAAAGTTCCACTTTTTTTATATCAAGTTCTAATTCTTTACATAGATCTTCTCTACATTTCTTCAAGCGTAGAAAATCTGGATTTGGGCCGTTTGAAGTATCGTATCCGTAGATACCTATTGTCATAAGACCAGTAAATTCCAATTGTTTACAGTTATCCATAATATGCTTCACAAGTTCTGATACTTCTTCTACTTTGCAACCACTTTTTGCTAAAAATATTAAACTTCATAAATAAAGTTATACACGCTCCAATGGAATACGAATGTTAGTTGTTATTTTTATTGTTATAATGTGATCAACATAAATAAATTTCTATATCACTATTATAGAAAACATTAATTAATATATTTTTTTTAATATAACCGAATTTAAATATTAGTAATGAAAAATTAAAAAAATGAATATAAATATTAATCAAGCAGTAATTTATATTCCTAAGTAATATTAAAATATATAAAATAATACATAGTAAAGTATAAAAGAGGAAATATACAAATAATGTAGTTAAGTAATAATATTTTATTATAAATTAAACATATTATGTTGCAATTATACAGAATGATGCAATTATACAGGATGAAATAAAAACATAGTTTAAATTGTTACTATATGAAAAAGATAAGATGGAAATTATTCTTAGATTTAGTTATAATAATTGAATATGATGGAGTATGACATAAAATCTTTTATTGTACCTTCTTCTTCGCTTGTATTGACCTGTACCATAATTTTCAATTGTGAGTTTTTTTCATTTACTTTTGAGAATGCATTATCAATTGCAGTTGCAATTTGTTTGCTATCAACTGTTTCAATGATATATAAATTTGGTATGCTTATAATTTTATTCACTTTATTTTTTTGTAAATGTCCAATAAAGTGCCATCGAATATCTTTGCATTTATCAACGATAGATGAATCAAATGCTTTTTCTTTTAATTCATTAACATAATTCTCTCCGAAATGTCTTTGACCAGCCTCATAAGCCGCAACAATCAACTCTGGAGGCTTCAATTTGCTTACAACTACTAAACGAGGTTCAAAATAGGTATATTCCTGGGAAAACAAATTAAGATTTTTTGTATTTTCTTTATAAAGATGTATTCGTAAATAAATAATAAACTTGCATACATAAAAATGGGAGGTCAGTATGAAACTACTATTAACATTAATTGAATCAAATACTTCACTGATATGATGATATTACAACTATTTTCATAAAAAAGGATTAGAAAGGATGTATAAAACAGTTTCCCTGTGGTATCTAATTTATTGCATGTACATTAAAACATTTATTGTGTCAAATTAATATGCAAATTAATAGTTTATTTAAAATGGTACATCAGTGACTTTTCACTCGATGTTAATTCTGCACAATCTCAAGGCCCGTACAATATATTCAGAATATATTTGTAGCACGATCCTTTTTTCAGTACTGTTGATGGCAATTTAAATTCTTCGACATTTCCTTAATGGCTGTGTACGATAGTACGTCATGGCAGTAGTTGCACTGCCTGCATCATTCTTTCAAGATTTACCACCAAACCCTCCCATTAAATTACCCAATCCACCTGCTGCTCCCTGTTGCAATTGCTTCATGATATTCTGAAGGCCTGGCATACCACCCATTTGTTGCAAGACACGTGGGTCCATCATTTTTGCCATTTGATGATTCAATTTTGCCATTTGTGTAGGATTAACATTTTTAGCCATATCACCTGCTTTGAATAAACCTTTGATACCACCCATTTTTTTCACAACAGCTGCGAACTTTGTATACTGAGTTATTAAGTCTTTCACTTCTTTTTCAGTTATGCCAGCACCTTGTGCTACTCTCACAATTCTTCCTGGTTGTTTACTAAATAATTTGGCACCATCCCTGCTGTCTAATTCCGCATCATTCATACTATCCATAATAGTCATAAGTCTCTTTAACCTGGCCATTGATTCTTGCTCAGTTCCTTTTGACATAAAATCTTGACTAAAACCAGGAATCATTCCCATTAATTGTGAGAATGGTCCCATTTTCATGATATTTTGAAATTGTTCATACATATCTCTTAAAGTAAATTGACCATGTTTAATTTTTTCAAGTAATTCTTCATTATCATCTAAGTTTAATTCATTTACTTTATCAATAAGTCCTTCTATATCTCCCATACCTAATAGCTTGCTAATAAATGGTTTTGTTTTAAATGGTTCCAAATCATCTATGTGTTCTCCCGTTCCAACAAATATTACAGGACTTTGTGTTGCTGCAACAGCAGACAAAGCACCTCCACCTTTCGCATGACCATCCAATTTTGTTATGATTATAGAACCAACATTTACACGTTCTTTAAATGCTTTAGCTTGAGCTTCACATGCTTGACCTATTGTTGCATCCATTACAAATATTATGTTGTCTGGTTGAACAGCATTGGCAACCTGTAACATCTCTTCAAATAATGATTCTTCTTGTTTGTGTCTTCCACTGGTATCAACAATAATAATTTCATAGCCTTCTTTCTTAAACATTTCTACACCTTCTTGAGCAATAGTCACAGGATCCACTTCTGTATAACTGCCATAAAATGGTATTCTTGCTTTTGTAGCATTTTGTTTTATTTGATCGTATGCACCTGCACGGAATGTATCGGCGCAGACTAAACATGCTTTCCAATTTTTCTTTAAATAATGGTAAGCCAATTTGGTACAAGTTGTTGTTTTACCCGCTCCTTGCAAGCCAACAAACATGATCACATTGGGACGGCCTTTCACAGGTTGATATGCTTTAACACCAGGATCTATCAATTTCACCAATTCTTTGAAAACAGCACTTTGTATCATACGCCGTTTATTAAGACCTCCAGCCATATCATCAAAATCAATAACAGTGCGAACATTTTCTCTTAATTTCTTGACTAACCTAATATTTACATCAGCTTCGAGCAATGCTGCACATATTTCCTTTAGCATAGAATTTAATACATCCTCGTTTATTACGGTCGCATTGCTAAGCGATCGCAAAGCCGACGTAATTTTACGTCCTAGGTCAGCTAAGACCATTTTCGTTTATTTATTTTCACTTTTCAATACGAATATTCTTGTTTAGTGGTTAGAAAATTGACGTTGAAAAAATATGTCAAGATTATTCCAATTTGGCCAACACGACATGACGACACATCCGGTTAGTCATTGATTATACAATAAGTAAGACTCTCACAATACTTCAGTTTTTGTAATAAAATATTTTAAATGCTGATTTGTATTTTATGAATATTTGAAAATGTGTAAACCCGTTACGTGAAACCTTTGTGCTCTACTTTGTTCGTATTTTGCTTTAATGATTATCATTCACGATCGCCATGATACATCTGTGTGACCGCAACAAAAAATACAAATAACATTCATAACCTCCGATATAAAATAAAATGTACATATGCATATGCATAAAATATTCGTAAAATAATGGGAATTATCGTACCGACCTAATAAAACACAATTTTCTTTTTATAGGATTTTTTAAAAGATATGTTTGTATGTATGTGCATATGACGTATAACCAAGGACAATGGGTATGATTCAAATAAATCACTTAAATTTAAAGTTAACATTATAGTTTTACGAAAAAAATATATAGCACTGGCCATATATGTATTTCTTTACGCTTTTTCGCCTTTTATCTGTTTAACAACAAAATGGCGACATACCGGTTCTCGTTCAGCAGATGCAGCGATGATTTTGTCGCGAACTAATTTCAGACTTTCAACCACGTCTTCCATTTTGTACTTTTTAATATGATTAATAACTTGCTAAAAGTAATAAAAAATTCTCAAAATTATTGCATACATTATTTAATTTATTATTTAGTTAACAATGATTCAAACTACTTTTAGAATATCTATATAGTTTATAATATACTATATGAAAGATAATGTTTAATATTTTAAATGGTTGAAAATTTATATTATATCATATTGTGAAAAGATAAAGATTTTTGAATACAAAATCAATTCTTTGTAAAATAAGTAACTTCAAATGCATTAAAAACTCTTCTATTACTTACATTCGAATTTATCGCTTTCATAAATAGGGAAGACGAATAAATGCAATCCGAGCGAACCTAAACGAACGTGAGTGAAACTAAGAGAACGTGAGCGTAACCTATCGATAACGGAAGAGAACTAAAATCTTTATTCTTTTGCGCAGATTTGCTTTCTCTGATAAAAATTTCCATAAAACTTCGTACAAAGATATGATATTGCAAAATTTCGTATGATAAAAAACTGAAATTAGATTATTACTGTTTGTTATCATTGCGTTTATATACAACTGACAGTCATATAAATTTTGATTTGTCAACAGAGAGAATCATTAATTCATATTACTAATCTACAACAAGCTGTAACGTACAGGTGATATGACAGCGTGAAAATTAATCTTGACGGATGATAACAATGTTTAAAAGTTTAGTTAATGTCATTCATCTGACGTATGCATTTAGATATCCAACTAAGTAAAGTGTTCAGTGATTATTCTATTGCTACGAACGCTATAATATTATAAAAGTATATCTAAAGAGTTTTCAAATACAAAAACGCAAGAGGTATTATCGAAGGAAAAAGTAAGGCTATTGAAAATTGTACAGATTGTGACACAAAGCGTAATATGAATTTATTTCAATATAAATTAATCGTTAAACATTAATCTTTAAGTTGCGCTGTGTAAATTTTAATGCGATTTAGAACACAACCATAAATATTGTCATGAATATAATGGATATAAAAGATAATCCTGAAAATGATAATTTTGGATCCTATCATGCTTTGTTAATCGCATTCAAAACAATGAAGGAACGTTGTCAACAATTACAAACTAGATTAGCTGCTGTAGAAGAAGAAAATTTGTGTTTAAGACTAGAATGTGGAAAGGACATGTCTACTGCGATTGTAAAAGTCAATAGTAATGACAAAGCTGTGATTCAAACTTTACAGGTTTGTACCGTTTTTCTTAGCATTTGTATTTAAATTAAATTATGTTTTTATATATTATCATATTTTACAGGAAAAAGTAGAAAATCTTAAAAAACAAAAATCACAATTAACCCATCATGTCTTTATGGTTGCTGCAGAAAATCGTCATTTATGGAACCGACTAATCAGATTATCAAAAACCAATAAGTCTTTAGAAATGCATTTCACAAAAATTTCTGATGCATTAAAACAACATCCTTCTACTCAATCATTTGATATTATGTCACATAGTTTTTGTAATATTCCATCTCCTATTAAACAAGAAACAAATAAATGTATATTGGGTATAGATAATGGTATATATAAAAATGTATAATTTAAGCTAATTTAAAATAAAATATTTTTTAAGTAACATTAAAAGCAATAAAAAACATTTATAGGTGAAAAAGAGCAGAGTTTGGAAGAAATATCACTTAAACTTATCAACAGTATTATGTTAGAAAAATCTGATCTTGAACAGCAGTATGCAGAGGTAAATATGAAGTGTTTCTTTTTTCTTTTTTTCCAGGCATTTACATAAAAATATAATTAATTATCAAAAATATTTATCATATAAAAATAATATAACAATTTTATGTATTAGATGGTAGAATTACAAAACAACGCTGACTTAAATTTACAAAATATTGGTTTCACTTATCCAGAAGATTCTGATACAGATTCATTAGAACAATTAAAACAACATGATGTAAGATTATCACAAACAAAGGATGCCTTATTAGCACAACAGAATAGATTGAAAAGAGCTATACAGAATATGAAAAAAATTAAAAGAGGTATGTAAATTTATATATGTAAATAACATCTTTTTTTAGTTATCTTTCAAAGCATCATTTTGTAAGGTACAACATATAATATTTTTATAGGAGGAATGTGTAATGGTTGCCGTAAAAATGCGAATAAAAAAGTTGTGCATATAGGAATCCAATTTAATTCAGCTGACAGTTTTCAAGAACATGGTTCAACACAAACAAGTTTACCACCAATAAGTTTATCTTTAGAAAAATGTGCTACTGAAAATTCAGATACTGATGATAAAATTTGTCCATTATGTGGATTTTTTTATGGAAAGTCTATCCCATTTGCAGAATTTCATGAACATGTTTTGAGTCATTTTACGAAAGATACATCTGTAGATGGGTTTGAACTTGTACATTAATCCTGTGTATAGAAAAGTGATGAAAAGCAATTCTATAAAATCTGTTGTCAATTTATTAATGCAGTCTAAGTTACTGTTGGATAAGTACAAGATAGTAAAATATGTAAATAATTGATAATTCTCATAGATCTATTTGCCTTATTTATAACATTGTTTTCAATCAGTGAATTCTATAAAATGTTGATACATTATTGCATCAATTATGAAGGATGAATAGCCAACAAATATTTTACTATAGATTATATATTTGTATCTTGCATACTGCTGGATATAGAAATTATTTACAAATATACTACTTATTTTCACAATAAAAATATTTCTAAATCAAATCAAATTAACATACTGACATTACAAAGATATTATAGATTGTTTAATAAAAATTAAATCTCTGTAATGATTAAAATAGTATTAAAAAAAGGAGTACAATAAATGTTCAAATAACTTCTATAGAAAATACTTTGTTGAATTGTTTTAAGCAAGTTGCGACGGTTTTATATCCTTACTATCGGAAGGTTCAACTGTAGATGGTTCAAGAAGATTTTCATGAAACCATTCAGGTCGTTTCTTTGGCATCTCTATTACTTTCTGTTTCTAAATAAAAAATGAATGGTACAAATCAGATTTTAAAATAATGTAAAATAAACATTTTTGTTATATTAATATAAATCTAAAATATAATCAAATAATTATTGAAGTACCTTCCAGAAGTCATCCGTCTTGCCTTCTTTTTCTCCTTCATAAATAACAATAACATCTTCCTCAACTGAACTTAATCCTAATTTTTCTTGGATGGCATCTTGGATTTCTTTTGTTTCTATTTTTACTTTTTCATAACAATATCCTAAACAATAATGTACATATATTATTAAGTTTTTATGTACATTAAATTATTAAAATTAAAAAATTTAATATTGAACTAAACTAATTACCACATAAAAGTCCAGCCTCGTGATGACTACCACAATTGGGACACATCAAAAGATTAGTTTTTGGAACAGGTGGTTTCCAGTTATATTTTGGATGTCCAAATCTTCTACTCATACGTTTTTCAATGGTACGTCTTATTGTTGGAACTCCCCACAAAAATCCATCTCCAATGATGTCTTTTAGAGAAAATCGACCACGATTGTTTACAGTGCATGGAAGATTTAACCCATTATAATCTATTGCACATAATGCTTCTAAAGAAATTTAAAAAAATTAGTAAGAAAAATGATTATATTTTTAATTATTAAAGAGCAGATACTGTAATGTAGGTTATGTAATAATTTCTCTTTCTTTTTATATAAATATATACATACAAATATATATATATAAGTAAATATTAACCTAAAATATCGAAGAAATTTTTATTTACCTGGAGGAAATCTACGATTAAAAATTATGTGTAATGCTTGTTCAATTTTTTGAAAAGCAGAAGTTAATCGTTTTATCATAGAAATTGCCATTATGTAAAAATTCTATGAAGAATATAATTAAACTTGCTCAAATTGCATTCGAAGCGTGCGTGACTTTAGTGATAAGTATAGACAAAATATGAACTACAAGCACTATAGGGATATAACACTGTAGGGAAATAGTGTAATATTCGTATATAAGCTTCTTAGGTTATTTCACTCACTTCACGAGTAATTTAACGATCGATTTAATGTATGACAAATATTTTGTATATACTAAAAATACTAATACATTTGATATGTAAGTACTTTAACATTTAATTAGAATTAGAAAGAAAAGATTTTGGAAATACATTACTTAAGTAGTACTTGCATTATATGATTTATGATTAAATTTTAATATATTACAAGTAATAATGATCCAGCTCTTAAAACTCATTTATTAACAAATTACTATTTGACTTCCGAAGTAGAAAGAAGAAAAATACGTAAATACGTGTCGCGAAAAATGTAATTAAAAATGTAATTATATTAAATTATCTTAAAAGAAAATAATTGTCGCAATTAAAATGATTGATAAAAATTTTCAATGATATTTTTCTGTGATTAGATATTACATTTTACTTTAATTTTTCAATAAAATGTTAAGAGAGATTAATATATTTAATGTGACGTAATGCGCATGCGTCGCGCGAATCATTTAACCATCTTTACGACGTAAACAACGTCACTACTCTATTAGTTTGTGCCAGCCAGACACTCGTTCATATCACTCTCGTTAATTACAGATAATTAATAAATTTTATCTAACGTAGACTCTCTTTTTATATATCAATCGATAGTTAAACGCATGATTTTTATGGAGTCGCGAGACGGCTCATTATCGCGTTTAAAACATTTACGAAAATAAAATTGGTCTTTGATAAATCATCCCGTGAAACTATTGCGTCGTACTTTTTCTTCTATTTTCCAGATTTATTTTCATAACATCAATATTTCTCTCGCTTTTAAACTATCTTCTGATCAATAATTTTGTGTTTATAATTTTAATCAATCGATATCTTGCATTATATTTGATTTTCATATATACTCTCTCTCTCTCTCTCTCACACACACACACAACACAACCTTAAATATTTTTTACACACATCAACCACACACTTTTAATCTTATCTGTATATATTAAATCAATAAACATGTGAAACGATGTTGTTCACAGTGTACTAGCACTATTTATACTAATTCAACTAACCCGATTATTGTTATGTGCAATAGCGTATAAATTACTCAAACTTATAAAATGATATGATAGTGCATGGCGGAGTATTTCCCGCTTACAATTGTAGTTCATATTTTGTCCATACCTGTCGCTGAAGTCACACACGCTTCGAGCGAAAGGTGAATTGACTCAACGCGGTATTTTGTCGATTTGTTAATTTTTAAATGAATTTTTGTTGATAAAAAATTATTACTATGCAATATATCAATATGTTATAATAAGTACAAAATATATTAGATTAAGTATTCGTAACCTCGATATACGTAAACATTAAGAACTGTTACATTATTTTCGTACTTATATGGATAAAATATATTTAATATTAGACACCTTATTTTAATGCAAGTTTTTAAAATTTAATATATTTTAAGTAAGTATATCATTTCATATATATTTTTATATATACCTGTATAATTTATATATAATACATAGTATAAGTAGATTGTTAAAGTGAAAATTTATTAGATTATGTGTTTAGAATTTTCTAATGAAAAATGTCAGATGCTTTTGAAGAAATACAAGCAATTAAAATCAAAAGGAATAGTTTGCGTGAAAAATTACAAAAACGGAAAAGAGAGAGACATGAATTATTTACTCTTACTTCCTCCATTCCATCTACTTCAACAGCTGATTCACCTCTTCCTGGTGGTAAAAAAAAATCTTCATCTTTTTTTTTCTTTATTAAAACATTATACAATTATATTTCCAAAATATAATTTTGTTCTTTAGATTCCAATACGTCTTTAATAAAATCTGACCATAATGAATACGAAAGGGATATTCTTTGTATATTGCACGAATCTTTACCAAATCTACCAATTACATCTGCAGAAATAATAGATCAACTTCGTAAAAATCTTAATGCTGATGTGTCTTCCTCGGATATCCATAAAATTTTAGAGAAATTAGCCGCACAAGAGATTATTAAGTTAGTGAGTTTTTGTATCATTATTTAATATCTTCCTTGAATATTTTTATCAACATTAATTAGCAAGTTATATACATAAATGTTGTATATATTATATTTATTTTAGAATCAAAGAAGTCACAGAAAATGAAGTTTTTGGATATACAGTTCTCTCTGTCGCAGAATCACAATCATCATGTCTCTCTCAATCTGATGATACAGAAAATCCTGAGAGCGCAGAGACATCCGCATCTGAATTAAATGATTATATACCTTCAGAGAAACAGATGAAAATAGATAAAAAGAATACAGAAGATATAATGTCACTGATCTCAATGCCGACAATAAGAGAAAAAGAAAGTAAAAAAGTAGGAGAGCAAATCTTGGATCTTCTGTCAAAACAAACATCTAAAGAAAAATCATTAGCTGAGAGATTTCGTTCTCAAGGCGGTGCACAAGTTATGGAATTCTGTCCACATGGAACGAGAGTAGATTGTGCCAAATTAAATGGTGGGCCAGGTTTTGCAGAAAAATGTAAAAAATTACATTTCAAAAAAATTATACAAAGTCACACAGATGAGTCATTAGGCGATTGTAGTTTTCTTAATACTTGTTTTCATATGGATACATGCAAGTAAATGCTCATTTTATATTTATATATATATATATATATATATATATATATATATATATATATATATATGTATATATATTTAATATTTATCATGTTCATATCAAACTTTTGGTAATTTATAATTGCATCTATTTTATAGATATGTCCATTATGAAGTAGATGGTCCTACTGCACAAATAAAAGAATCAAATGATTCTGATGGTATTAACAGTACTATAATTAATAAGACAACAAACGTTGATAGTAAAAATGGTAGTAGCACTAGTTGTGCAAGTAGCGTAGGTAGCGAGTTAACTCTTTATCCACCACAATGGATACAATGTGATTTACGATATCTAGATATGACGGTTCTTGGGAAATTTGCTGTCATTATGGCTGATCCACCATGGGATATTCATATGGAATTACCATATGGTACAATGTCAGATGATGAAATGAGGCAATTAGGAATACCTGCGCTTCAAGATGAAGGGCTTTTATTTTTATGGGTAACAGGAAGAGCAATGGAATTAGGAAGAGAGTGTCTTCAATTATGGGGTTATGAAAGAGTTGATGAAATTATTTGGGTAAAAACAAATCAATTACAAAGAATTATAAGGACTGGAAGAACGGGTCATTGGTTGAATCATGGAAAAGAACATTGTTTAGTGGGTATGAAAGGAAATCCACGTATTAATAAAGGATTAGACAGTGATGTTATTGTAGCAGAAGTTCGTGCAACTAGTCACAAACCAGATGAGATTTATGGTATTATTGAACGCATGAGTCCTGGAACAAGAAAAATTGAATTATTTGGTCGTCCACATAATGTACAACCTAATTGGATTACACTTGGTAATCAAGTAGATGGAGTACATTTGATTGATCCACAATTGATTAAAGCCTTTAAAAAGCGTTATCCCGATGGAAATTCAATGAAACCTACAAAATCTTAAAATCAATTATACATTCAAAAATGAACAATTTCATAATTTGTCTCACTTACATTCATACCTTATTACTCTTTACAGAAGTACAAAAATATATAATTGTACATATATTTTTATAAGAACATGTACATATCTTATACTATATTATTTATAATATAAAATAGTCTTAAAATATTTATTGTATAATAAAGAAACTTAGGAGATTTTAAGAATTTTTTATAAATAATCTAAATATTTTTTATTTCAAATAAATATTTGTTTATCTGTATTAAATAAACATCTTATTATTACATGTTCATAATTATAATTAATATTATATTAATACAGTGTGTAGTGGAATGATTCCATCACAAAACAATTCACAAGTAATTTAATATAAAATACATATATTAGTTTGAATTAAAAAATTATAAGTACTGATATAAGTACTAGTAGCGGTATTTTCCATCTAAATATACATTTAATTAATACTATTGTACAAATGTTTAAAATACACATTAAAATTACATAAAAACAATTACTTGTATTAAAATAAAATAATTGCAAAAAAACTTATTTTTATATATTGTGCAATTGTATAATTTTGTGTTATTTATCAAAAGAAATACTATTTTGTTTTTGTTTTAAAACATTTTTTTTTAAGGAAAAGGTAAAGTTTTCATATGTACTATTCCCTGATTTTCTTATAGACCGATTAGGTGTTGGCAGTATTAAACTTGGTTTATTTTCATTTTTGTTATTTTCTTTAGTACGTAAAGAATTAATAATTTTATTGCATGCATCAGTCCAATGCCGTTTACCATGTTTATCTTCTGATATGAGAAAGTAATCACCTATTTTGAAGCCAAAATCTGTACAATTCTTCTGTTCAGCACATAATGATATTTGCTCTCTTGGTATAACAGGAGAAGATAGATTATATTTTTTAGGTATACGTCTTGTAGAGCGTGTCATAGCAAAACACGTATCAAAAAGAAAACAATGAAGTTTCTGAAATATAATTAGAAAGATAAGAATCGTTTATTTATAATGGTAAAATATGAAAATTACGATTTACTTCTTTATACATAGAGTTACGCAGGTTTAATTTATATTATATAGAATTAACTTACCATTCCTCTTGGATCTTTTAATTGTCCTTCTGTAATCAATTCTGTAGCATTACTAATACATTCACTTGAGTCATATTCATTTTTTATATTGATTTTTGTTTGAGCTAATTTACATTCTGCTTTCCCCATTGTTTTATCAATATTCTGAAGTAATTCTGTGAGTTTATTAATTGATTCCTTTAAAGGAATTTGATCTAAATGATCGACAGTAGTATGTCTTAATATTTCCTTTATTAACAAAGGATATTTAACTATTCTTGATCGTGGTACATCTAAGTAAGCCCATAAATCAAGAGAATGAGGTGATCCTAATCTTCTTTTTAAAAATACCTGAAAACGTTTATTAGTTGCTTTTTTTTCTTCAAGTAAATGCCTTGCCCATACTTGTGTTCTACATCTTTCTAAATAAGGTTCTGCTAATTTTGGCAGCTGTAATAATTGTAAATAAAGATTTTATTATTTAATCACAATACTAATAACTCGTTTGTGTAATGTAATATAGGAAATATGTATGTTTATAATTCTTTATTTAATAAAACAGAATAATATAAACAATATTAAAATACTAACCCAATTGAGAATTGTAGCACCTACATTGTCTGTAAATCCAGAACAATCTCGTAGATTGATTAACTCATCTCGTAAATTACTATGAATTTCAATAAGATTTGTAAGGTCGCTAAAAAGTGTACGTATTTCTTCTGAATTGAATATATTACTAGATATCAATGGTTCATAATAATCATCACGAAGAATGATAAGTTCATCAAGGAGTAAGTTTTCTCCACAACATAATTCATAAATAGCCTCTTGTCTTTTTACTTCTTTTTGACCTAAAGTGCTATTTAATGTGTCTTTAATATTTGCATTTGCTATATCTAGCAACCAACTTCTAAGTGTAAAATTATTTGTACCACTTGAACTGTTTCTCCGTCTATAAAAGTTTCAAATAGATAATACTTATGAATATAATTTATATGATACATAAGAAATATAATATTTGCTTTGACAAGATTAAATAGCAAAATCCAATTTACTTTTTCTTTATTGTATTAGCATGTGCATCTTCATCAGTAAATGAAAAATCATCTGTGTTTTGTTGAATGCTAAATGATCTATGGAGAGTATTTCCAACTTTTATACTCAAAGTGCTAGAAGAAAATATACTACTGGCCACCTCTGTAATTCTACGTCGTTTTTTCTTTTTTCCAGCATCTGATTCTAGAGATATGTCCATGGAATTAACACTAACCACATCACTTTTTGGTCTTTTTCTTGATCTCTATCATAAAATATTAAAAATTATTTACAAAATATTTATTGATTCACTATAAAATTATCAAGTTATATATGAATAAAATAATTACAAGTATAGTGGTTAAACTAAGTAAACAGTAAGACATTCTGAATAATTAGAAATAGTATAAAATCCTTTTCTATGCATTTCAGCGAACTGAAGTTATCTATAAAAATACAAGATCTCTAGAGCGATATTTAAACTGATAAAATCTTGCGTCATATCAATGATGGTGTTATCATTATCAACAATATCGAAGGTTATGTCAACAAACATTTAGAAAACTATCATTTATAATTCAAACGCTTACCAGCCAAAATCTTTTTCGAGGTTCTTGAAATGCCTCTTTTATCGTTACGTTGCAGTCATCTCCCATTTTTTTATAAAAAATATAATAATTTAATAAAGCAGTAATTAATGCATAATGTCGATACAGATCACACTAGAATACAATTTCAATGAAGCATTATAACCATGTAATATATACCCAGAAGCGTTTATAATACGATACAATTTTTCATTTTTACATTTTATTACAAATTCTTATTCTATTTGTAATAACATATTTTACAAAAATTATGAAAAGATACAACATGGAAATTTGCTAAAAAATATAAGAACGTCAAACTTGTTACATTCAGCCGTTATTAAAATTACGACGTTGATCGATTTTATATCATACAATGCAATATAGTATAAAATACAGAATAAAGGTATGGCGCAACAGCGCTATAATCGCAATAATCAGCTAAAATATGATTTTTTTTTATTAGCTGAGTGCTCGACCAATCAAAGTGTTTCTATTCGTGGATTTCACAATTAATTGAATCGAGTCTATTCCTAAGAGATACATTGGCAAGATGCAGTAATTCTGTTAACTAAAAATTATACGTATCTTAAATATATATAAAGAAGTTAAATTTTAAATGCAGCTGTTAATTTGATATTACTTGCAATTAAATGTGTATTATATAAAATACGATATATATATATATATATATATATATATATATATATATATAATATATATATAATATAAATAATATCAATTGTGTTAAAGTTTTATTGAAGTGAAGATTGTTATCTCCTGCTAGATTTTACAATTTTATTTACCAGTTATAACTAACGATAACTGATTAGAATCCAACGGAAAACTGATAAAATAACTGTCAAAGTCATCACGTGTTTGTTGTTTACATAATCAGTTAGAAGATCTTCGAATTAAAAATTTTCATCTAATGAAATATAAACTTAAAATTATTTTATATTTCAAGTTTATTAAATAAATGCAGTATTATTTGAATCGAGTTATTGTTTAAATATAATACATTCAAATTTGTAGCGCCAAATCAGTAGTTAAGTATATCGGCACCATGATCTTCACTTTATATATATGAATATTATTGTAAACAATGATGCTTGGTCATAGGATAAGCACAGAGGGATAACGACAACTTATAAAAATAGAAATTCGGCATAGAGAATGAATTCTTATCATGAAGAATTAGTGTCTGCAGATAATTTTTAGTCTATGCTTGCATATAACCTACAATTTTTATTATGAACATTGTAATAAAACCAATATTTTAATTTTTTGTTAAGAAAACCTATGATGATGATACATTAAGGTAATGTCATGAAGGTAAAATTCTGAATTGTACGAAATGACAGATAAACAAAAAATACTTAGCTGTGGTGATGTAGAGGGACATTTTAAATTTCTATTTACGAAAGTGGAAAATATTAACAAAAAAAATGGACCGTTTGACTTTTTATTATGTGTTGGAAATTTTTTTGGTGAAAATAATATAGAGCTTGAACCATATAAAAATGGCATGAGAAATATTTCTGTTCCAACATATATTATTGGCCCAAATAGGGAGACAGATTTAAAACATTATCCTGACATAGATGGATATGAAATTTGTCAAAATTTAACTTATCTTGGTAGAAGAGGTTTATATATTGCAACATCAGGGTTAAAAATTGCATATATTAGTGGCATTGAAAATAATGCAACCGAATCCAAAACAATTTGTTTCCAAAAGAATGATGTTGTATCAATAAAGAATTCTTGTTTGAAAGGTCAACCAAGCTTTCGAGGAGTAGATATATTATTATCCTCACCATGGCCTAAAGGCATTACCGATTTAGATCCAAATAAACCTAATATCAAATATCAAGGATCTGAATTAATAGCTTGGTTGGCTGCTCAAATAAAACCAAGATATCATATCTCAGCATTAGAAAATATTCATTATGAAAGACCACCTTATAGGTAAGTATAATGTATAATTAATTGAATCAATTTTGGATAAAATAACAATAATAACAATAATACCTATTAACAAAAATCTAATTATTTCTTTAGAAATCATAGTCAAGATGAAAGTGGTATTGAAATTGCAACTAGATTTATTGCTCTTGGATCGGTCGGAAACAATGAAAAGAAGAAATGGCTGTATGCTTTGAATTTGACTCCTATAGACAGAATAAGATTATCTGAATTAGTTATGAAAACAACTGATGAAACATCTAGTCCTTATTTAAAACACCTATTACATGATGAACCGATAGAAACAAAAACTACACAATTTTTTTATGATATGGAATTTAAATCTCAGAAACGTTCGAAAAATTCAGATTATTCTTATAAGAAGCTTAAAACAGAATTTGATCAAACAAAATGTTGGTTTTGTTTATCTAGTCCTGAAGTATCTAAGCACTTAGTAATTGCCGTCGGTGCAGAAGTTTATGTAGCGCTTGCTAGAGGTGGTTTGGTTGAAGATCATATGCTAATTTCGCCGATAACACATCATCAGAGTTTATCAGTTTTACCACCAGATATTTTAAAAGAAATGAAACAATATAAAGAAGCAATAACAAACTATTTTGCAAGTAAAAATCGAGTACCAGTATTTTTTGAGAGAAATTATAAAACATCTCACTGTCAATTACAAGCTGTTCCAATTCACAAAAATCAAGCATCTATAGTTAAAGAAATGTTTGAGGTATATTATTATTTTTCCTATTATATAGCAATTTTGTTTTTGTCTAAAGAAAATTTTTATGTTAAACAGGAAATAGCAGAATGTAATAACTTCAAAATCGATGAACTTCCACATCACACGGATTTACAACAAATTGCAAAACCCGGTGTTCTGTACTTTTACGTAGAGTTACCTGATGGGCAATCATTGTACTATAGAATTAAGAAGGATTTTCCATTACACTTTGGTAGAGAAGTATTGGCATGTGATAGAATATTAGATGTTAATCATAGATCAGATTGGAGGGATTGTCAATTGGATAAGGATGAAGAAAGTGAATTGGCCAAAAGAATTAGAACACATTTTAAACCATATGATATAGATAATTAAAGTAATTTATATATATACAAAATATTTTTACATTGTGATATAAATATGTTCACAAATTTCAATAATTATTAAAAATAATTATTATTTGCATTCTCTTATTATTTTATGATATTTTTAATTCATTAGTTTGATAATGGAGTTCATACTCTGCTGGAGTTGCTATTGGATTAAGACCACACTGTTTCATTTGTATGGCAACATCAAATAAGTAATCATAACATTCAGTCCTACAAACCCCATAAAAAATATTATTTATAGGTATCATTATATACTTTGCAAAAATACGTAAAGTAAACATAACTTACATTGTTTTAGCTTGTTGCCAAGTATCACCCCAAACATAAACACCATGTCTACGTACTAAAACTGCACAAGTTTCTGGATATTCAATGATTGCTTTATCTAATTCTTCTCTTAAATCTTCTTCAAAAGGTGTATTCTCTATTATAGGTACCACTAACTCTTCGTCATAACGATAGGCTCTCCCTAGCTTTTGATTTCTTATACCTATGAAGAAATACATTCATTCATTGCTATATGGAAATGATCTTGTAAGAGATATCTTTCGTAAGAAGATATATACCTTTAATCATTTCAAGATGTGTGACTCGAAATTCTTTTCCAGGCCATAATAAAGTAACCATCAAAGCTACTTTAGAATGAGTATGAATGACTGCACTAGCATTTCTTCTAAGATATGCACACATAAATAGTGGAGTACATTGTGATTTTTTCAACTTTTTCTCAGCTGGAGGTAGTTCTAAATCTTTTCCATTTATATCTTGAACAAATATGTCATCTGGATTTATTCGTTCTTTTTGTACACCTGATGGAGCTATATAGATTTTGTCTCTGAAATAATGGTAAAATTTATATTTTATTTTTATACTTTTATTTTATAGTTAATAAATATTATAGATTTACAAACTCATGCTTGATGGATATACCCCCACCGGTACCAGTAACCCATCCTAGATGATAAAATTGCTGACATAATTCAGGTATCAAATTTCGAGGATGTTCCTATAATATCGAATTTGATAAAAATATGATAATATAATATTGTAAACATACATGTATACATTTTTTAAGTATGTATTAATACTGAAAGAATATAATGGAATAATATAATATACCTTTGATAACTTTTTATCATTGGAAGACATGTTATAAGCTTATAATATTATAGCAATGGATCTGAAAATCATACGAAATTCTTATCAATTACTACGGTAATGAATTAAAAAAATTTGAACGATTCTGAGATGATTATTATACACAGGTTGTTTAAACAGACTGTTAAAAGAATATGTTTTATTCTTATATGCTCATTAACCAATAATCTGATGATCTTTGTCAAAGCGTATAAATATATGTCAATAAAGAAAAATATAATTACAATTTCTATTGTTGTTTGTACTAAAAAATCGTGCGGAAATGACTAAAGTAGTAGGTGCCGCCAAATAAAACAACACAATCAAAGAAAAAAAGAGGAAAAAAAGGAATATAACTTTAAATTATAGATGTCGCATAAATAAAAAAATTCTTATTACTTGTTTACTCTACTTTTATCAAACATGATTTGGCATAAGACTACTGCGCAGACGCACAAGATAACCTTATATAATAATATATATGATGATTATTAATATATATAATATTTAGATAATATAATATAGATAATAGTTATAAATTGAAATGATTAAAATAGCATATATCATACTTAAGGTTGTTCATCACTTTTGATTTTATAATGGTTTGTAGACAATGAATATAGATATAATTTTTGATTGATTTTAATGAAGAATATTTCATTTTAAAGATGAAGATTTAAGCGAGTATGGCTTTATGGAATTCTTGAAAAAGTTTTATTTTCTTTGAAAAAGATCATATCAAAAAATGATATTTTTTCGAAAATAGTTTATGGATAAAAATAAAGCGATTTATTTTAATAAACATTTTAATATCATTATCATCTTTTTCTTATATATTAATTAGTTTTATCTACGTTTCATTGACAATTGCAACATTCAAGATATGCATATACAACTTTCTTTCTACTATTATTTTTTATATTTTATCTTTTATTTTCTATGTATTCCATCGCGAGTAATATTGAACTAATGGCTGCTTAAATACATTTTAGTTATTTGTATAAGTTTAACCAGAAACAAAAAATATAAAGTTTATACAATTAATAAATATTTTTCAATTAATCTATCTTCAGATAAGTATAATCTAACATATAGTTTTTTGCTTTTGTTAGATGTATTATTATTTTTACTACATATTAAAATTTCTGTTACATATTAAATTAATTGTTAGGTTACGTTTGAAAGGGGTGTAACCTACACAAACTTATAAACTTATACACCGACACAAATGCGCACAGTTTGGATTGTGTTTCTTTTATTACGTTTGTAGTTCATATTTTGTTCACACCTATTGTTGAAGTCGCATACGTCACAAACGAAAGATGGTAAACAGCCTTCAGACATCGTGATGGAAAGTTGGGTTACCATAACACCTTGGTAAAAATTTCATTAACATTTTTCTTACTGTTATTGTTTACTTTGTATAAATATGTATTAATTTTTTTTTTATTTTTTCAGTCTTGAACAAGGTTTGAAGATTGCAAGTCGAATTGATAATGGTAAATTTCGATTACTTGTTAATCGTATATGTCAAAATTTACAATCCACTAGTAATGTAAAGCCATTCAGTGAAGAGGAAGAAGAAAAACTCTTAGTATCTTTAGAACTGAATAAAGAGGAATTAACCTTTTTGTTAGATGCAGTAACACTTATTTATAAACAAGCTGCCTACAATGTAGTTAAGTCGGCAGAATTCGAATCTAATTTAAAAGATATTTGTAAATTAGATGAAAATAAAACGTTGATTTTTGTTAATTCATGGTTAAGTTATGGTAAAGGAATTATTGAATGTCTCAGAAAAAAATCTATATTTCCTACGCAGGTATGTTAATAGTTTGTATTAGTTTTGATTATTTTAGTGTTAAATCATTTTCTTTCATGAACCAAACTTTAAAATTTATTCTTTTTTTTTGTTCTTTTTCAGGTAAAGGACATTAATTGGTGTTTAAATATACAATCATCATCTTCAACAATTTCTAAAGATGCGAGTCCTGTGGCATTATTTCAGTTAGACTTTGCAGGTGAGAAAGACTCAAAATTAACTATTGAATTTGATAAAAAGTCCCTCACCGATTTATATATGAATTTAGAAAAAATACAAAATCAACTCGATGCATTAAAATAGAGCAATAATGTAAAACAATTTTATATTTTATATAAGATATATTTTTCAAAATTTTGGTAATTTTTAGAACAGTTTACAAGTATACTCTACCTACTCTTACAGACTAACTTACTCTTACAAGTTAACAATGTTTTTAATAATGTAAGGTAGTAATAGGTTTGAGGAAAAAGCATTGATATTTGTCTTTGGTAGACATATATAAATTTACAATCCAAAGTTTTCATATAATTTTGGTGTTACAACATTATATTTTTCTACTCTTTCGTACAAATGTGGACTTCTGTTTGGTAAAATATTATTACTATTAGTAATATTACTGCAATTATCATGTTCTATTCTTCTGTCATTGGTGCATTGTAAATTTTGTTTTCTTGAAGCAGGCATTGTTTCTAATATTTCTGGTGATCGACGTACAAAAAGTCGAGTTTTACAAACTACTACAACTACTACAATAATTATTAAAAATAAAATAATAGCTGTTAAAGCACCAACAATCCATCCAAGTTTTTCATCTATAATATCATAGGAAACACTTGTAATTATTTAGAAATAAGAAATTAAAAATGGATAATGTAATGTTACAAACCAGAAAATGTATTAAGTAAGATGAGTGTTGCATTTCCCAATTCTATGTCTGTATTTTGGTTATCTCTTGTAAATTTACAAGTCCACTTTCCTAAGTCTGAATAATTAGGTTTGAATTCTATTGTGCATATCCCAGTAGAATAATTCATTTCAAGATTGTGCCTATTTTGAAAATATGCGAGAATACATTACAATGTTATATAACCAAATTATTGTAAAATTTCACCTGTCTTTCTTTGCTGAATTGGTAATGTTTTGATGTATATAAACATTTGGTGCATGTATCCAATGACATTGAGCTCCTACAGGAACTCGTCCTAGTTTACAAGCCAATTTGACCATTTGATGGGGAGCTGCCCAAACAGTGACTATCACAGGTTCTATAAATCATTATCCACTGTGATTGTCTTTTTCTTTTTTTTTCTTTCTTTTTTTTTTATTCTAATCATTGCCCCGTTCACCAGAAGCTATGCTGTTTTTCTGATGCTTGTGAATAGTACATCATTTTTCAATATGTGCAATGTGTACAAGCGTGTTGAAGAACTATGTGCATAAGTGATACTAAATGGCACATTTAATGCACATTGATGAAAAAAATGTATTTTAGTCAACCTAACTGGTACAGATAGGTGGTGATAATGAAAAGGCTGGTGCACAATTTTAAGATTTCCATTTATTTAGTATACCTGGTTACAGTAATAATATTTATAATATTTATGGCCAATATATATATGAATCATTGAATGCAGATTATTTTATGTGATATTTATTTCATAGAAGCCAAATAGACTTAATGGCACACAGAGCATTTAAGCATTTATATTGAAAGATATTTGTGGCTTATAACTTATTTAATGAATGAAGGATTTTGCAAAATTAGCGAAAAACAATGTCGCATAGTGTATGATATCTATATAATGTTAAATTCTTAATATTAAAAATTAACTACTTAATTTTAATATTCTATAAAATATTGTTCAATACTATTCGATTCAATCAAGATATCATTCTATTTAACCTTTCTTACACCATCTATTGCAATCCTTCGCTTACAAAAGAAGTAACACGAACTAATAAACATCGAAATTTTAATTATAGAGTGCAAATTATTCTATGAGAGATGAAATATCAGAATTTAAAAACAGATTTGTTAATTTAATATACAACGTACGACGAAGAAAAGAAATGAGCGAGTCTTTAATATGATTGTTAATAATAGAAATAGCATTACTAATACGTTGACATTGTTAATAATTTAAAGGGTTCAGGTTTCTGAGACTTCTTAACTTATAAATTAAATGATTAAATTACAAAAAGTGTTTCTAAAAGCCTCTGGAATTAATTTAAAAGAAACAATACAATATTTTTTTTCTCCCTTTCACGCACACGCACGCATTTGCTCTCACTATGCAAAAGAGATATAACCGCATTACTGACGTAATTAAAGTAATAAATAATACGAAAATGAGAAAAGATGTAATTGAAATGGTACGAACGATAAAATATACAAACGTATGTGACATAAGCATCACGTACTTTTTGATGTAATATTAATTGTTCTAAATGCGAAATTGATTTAGCGTATGATCTTGGCTGATAAACGTCGTTTCTAAGAAGAAAAAAAAAAAAAGAAAAAAAAAGACGCACCGTGCCATTGTAGTAATAACATGATAAATCGATAAATCTTAAATACAATGATTTAATGATTCATCGAATATATGTGAGAGATGTAACGAAGAAGAATATTGTATGTACACGGCGAGTTATAATTAAAGTAGTATGGTCCGATGCAAAAAAGAAAATGCAATATTAAATTTGCGTCGTAGTAGCACCGTTTAATGAAAAATGCATGGTAACATCGATGTGGTGATGAGGTAAAAAATAAAATAAGACACTTCCTGCGGTTGTGTCGAAAACAAAAGGGGGGAAAAAAAGAAATATTTTATGAATAAAGTCAAGGTGCTATCTTACGGAGCGCAGCAAAGTTTTTCTGCACAAAATTTAATTTTATATTCAGTCAAAAATCAATATCTACATCAATATCTACGATCGATATAGGATCGATTCAGGAATTTATCGATCGTGTACTATGTGTACAAAACGACGATAGGAAGAAAGAAAGAAAAGTTGCTTATGTGCTCTTCCGAGACCCATATTAAAGATCACAGTCTAGGAACACCCGTGTAAAACTTGACCTTTTTAATATACCAAGATCCCATAGTTTCACACCTCTTAGTCTTGCATGTCTTCACCGTCACCATGAAAGATACTCGAACGACATATATCGTGGATTGATTTTTATTTCTTACCCGCTGTTGTGGGTGTTTTGAAAATGTTATTATCTACATACATACCTTACTCCATAGAGAGAACACACATCTTAAGCTAGAAGCAATTCAATAATGAGTTACTAATCTCTAAATATCGCCAAGATCGCCCCATCGACAATTTGTATCAATTAAAAAAAAAAAAAAATGAATACGCGTTTAAATCCGAATTCGATATAACGTGAAGTCGAGACGATTTTTACTATTTTTATTGTAAATTAAAACGTTGACTTTAGTCCGTTAAACGCGAAGAAGCGATATCTATGGTCGTACGTAAAACGTCCAAAGTCAAACGGAATAAGAATTGTTCTTGTAAAAATATCCGCGATATCATTCGATCGGATATCGTTTCAAGGTCGCTACGTGGAAGATCGAGGAACGATCGAAATCGACGATAGGGAGTGCATTCACCCTCGACCGTGTGTGCAAGGAAGGGCGCTATGCAACAAGATCGTCTATCCTTCTCTCAGGATTCGATGATACCTGGCTCGAGAAGGCTTAATTTCGCTGGTGGTGCATCAGTATAATTCTCACGGCCATGTATTCTGGCACCGCAGGTCCAAAGACCTTCTTGCTCGGCCAGGGCATGACTCAACCTGACGCTGCAATCCCTTGACTCGCTTCCGGCTGCTGGGAATTGTTTCACCACTACGGTTGTATTAGAATTCACTGGTGTCAAGGACCATCGACATTGTTCTACTGGCAATGATGTTACACATCGTAGAAGTATGGTACCACCGGATGATATTTGAATGTCCTGTGAGAGCTCTGAAAATTTCACTTCGTCTAAAAGAAAGAGAAGTATTATTTAACAATTATATATGTTGACTTTTTTACATGTCTCTTATAAAAGCTTACCCTGTTCGAATGTTAACAGTTTGACGAATGGAGAAGACAGCATCGTATTAAGTGACGGTATGGATACCTGACAATTCCACAATCCTTGTTCCTCGGTACGAACATGTGAAAGAACGAGTGAACAATCCCTCCCAAGATCACCGTTACTTGGGAATTCTCGAAGCACGATCTCAGGATCGTTTCCATGAAGTGGTTTCCAACTCCAGACACATTTCTCTACGCGGCTACTAGTGATACATTTTAAGGTAACTTCGGTACCTAAAGGTACCGTGATATCTGTTGGTATTTCCACTAAATTTACTTTAGCTGAAATGTATAAAAAAAAAAAAAAAAAGAAAAAAAAAAAGAAAAAAAAAGAAAAAAAAAAATAAAAATTAATAAAAATAAAAATAAAAAAAAAATGTAAAAGAAAGGAAGCTCAATATCGTCTTTCTTGGATTAATAAGGATGATCTTGTTCCAATGCTTACCCGATGGTAAAAGACTCACAGTTGCTGATGGTGCTTCATGGAGTATACCGTCAGGTGACAATCGAATTCCACAAGTCCACAGTCCTTCTTCCTCGTAAAGGATGTTTTTAAATCGTACGGAGCAGTCGTGATCGGCATCTTTATTTGGAGCGAACGTCTTTACGAGTAAAGGTTCCTTACTTGAGTTCGTTGCTCTCCAGGACCACTCGCAGCGTATTACGGGTTTATTGACCAAGCACCTTAAAAGCACGGATTCACCGGCAGCTACTTGTACGCCGCGAGACAACTGTACGAATTCAACTGAAATAAGATATCAATTTAGAAAGTGACATGAGTAAGAGGAGCAAAGCAAACGCGTAATGAAGAAATAGGATTAAATTTCCTAGACTATTATATTTTCGCATACCTTCAGATATTAAAAATCGAACTGGATTCGATCGTACAAATGACGAATTTGGATCTATACGTGCACCACAACTCCAATAGCCTTCCTGTTCCGCTAGAACATTTTTGAATTTGATGCTGCAATCGGTGCTGTCGTTTCCAAAAGCTGGAAATTTCTTTACTTCTAAATTCCAAGGTTCGGACTGGTTCAATCTTCGCCAAGACCATTGACACTCGCGTACAGGTAATTTTGTTCTGCACATTATTTGTGCGAAGGAGCCTGCTACAACCTCTATCGCTTCTTCGTGCTTAACGAAGGTAATGAGAGATCCTACGTGAAACATATTTTCTTGTTGTATTTTAATATATCGAAGTTTTTCGATAGATCTGTTTTTATACGTTGAAAAGCGTATCATATCATCGTTTTCATTAAAAAAATTTATTTTTATTTCATTTTCATCCTTACTTTGTTATTCTATATAAAATTGTAATATCAACATTTTAATTAACAACGTCGATTGCATCCATCATGATTCGACAAAAATTTATTTTTGAAGCAGAATAAATAAATTGTTAATGCCACAATAATTAAAACAATGCCGCGTAAATCGCGATTATTTTGTCTGCAATTTTCGATTATGTCGAAAACAACACGGTGGGACAGCGCCGTATTCGTATCATACGATGGCGTATATATTTTTCGACGGCTACGTAAGAGACCATGGTAATCAAACATACTTTTAAAAATTTAGCGATATAAAAAGATAAGATACAAAAGACACCTATAATTCTTGGTAATCGAAAAACAATTGTGCAAATATTATTTTCGAAAGCTATATATTAAGTATACGCAGTATATAACGTCTTTTTGGTCAATTTTATTACGCACGATGCGTTTCTTATCTTTCGATAAGAAACTCTTGATGCGAACGGTGATCCTTCGCGATTCGTACCTTGATCGTTAACGATGGTTAACTTGGCGGGTACCGTGGCGGTGAAAGGATCGTTCGTTGAATTCCTTGCGGCACAAGTCCAGTATCCAGTCTGTTCATGCTTCATACTCGAAAATCGAACGGAACAATCGTTACTGCTGTTTCCAAAAGCTGGAAATTGTCTCACTGGCAATGAATGTGCCGTTGGGGTTGACGTTGTCGATGTTGGTGACGTTGTAGTTGCTAAAGATCGAAATAGGGAATTCGTATGTAAATGTTGTTTTATCGATAAAAAAAAAAAAAAAAAAAAGAAAAAAGATGCTTTAGAAGACGCGTAAAAATATCGCGTTATAAGATCTCCTTGCTTATGTCCTTTTATTCATTTAGATAATTCTATTATAAGAAAAACGAAACTAACACATGGAGTCATTTGGACTCTCACTGATGTCTGGAAGCGGCAGATGAATTGGCGGTAATGGCTGCCAGGACCATTGACATTCAGCAACGGGATTCGTCGTTCTGCATGGCAAAAGAACGGATGAGCCAAGCTGCGTTTCCGTGTGTTTAGGCACATGAAGGAAGTGCACGGTTGTTGGTGATCCTCGGAGGGTATCGTTCGTCGATTGATCTCTTGTCTCGTTATTTTCTAACGTAATTTGTTCAACATCTGTCATAACCGTTGCATTTTCTCCAGGTACTTCAACAACGGGTTGACCTAGAGAAAATAAAAAACAAATAGATTTTTTATGTCGCGATGATGAGGAAAACGATCCAAGTACTTTAACATCGTATGTACAGTACCTAGAGAGAAAAATATGAAAAAGAATTTTTTATTTATATCATGATAGAGAGACAACGAGAAAACATCGAGATTCGTGGAGTCTCCGATGGAACGCGAGTCTACCGAGCCGAGTGACATCGACAAGCGGATATGTAGGACACATCGGGCAGGAAGCAACGATGGTCACGTAGACAATCGCCTTGCGTTGCGCGTCTGTCACCGTCCGCGAGGCGGATAGAACCAGGGACGGATGTCTCGAGAGAAGCTCTCTGAAAGATCGATTATCTTCAAAACGAATAATATAAGAACGATTCCTTGCAAGCTTTCTTTTATGATCAGCTTGAATTTCATTCGAAACTTTTATTCTCCTTTATCTTTAAAAGAACAGATAAGGTTCGTTTTCTCAAGGAAGTTCTTTCGAAAGGAACAAATAGAAAGTATGGCATAGTTACGAGAGAAAATCAAAGAAAATGATTCCTCTCTTCGTTTCGTTAATTAGATATTTTTTAATTGCACCGTCCCTGTTCAGAATCATGTGCTTTTCATATGACAAGTTTGTCGTCGATTATAATGTACGAATGGTATATGTACGATGATCGAGGTTGATCCTCGAGTACATCGAGTCACAACGTTCACCAACTTTGTAATACGTAAACCATAACCGCAACGTTCTCCTCAAGACGAGTGACCCGTGGTCGCTGACACTGGAAGGTCGTTTCCACTTCGCATCGACATACCTACTCGTTGTAGTCTACAGTTTTATGATTCTACTGGTTGATCCTATGATTCTTTTTATCAAATTTCCTCCTGCAAGGTGTTCGAAAATATGATAATTATTGGATGAAAGAGCGATTTTATTTTTTAGAAATATCTAAGATAATCAAGGTCGTTGCTTCCTTTCTTGCAATACTTTCTTATTCTAAAGAAGACCGTGATGACCTTTCACATATTGCCTTTGAATTTAATATGCTGAATGCCGTAGTGTTCATAGATGACCGATACTTGATTCTATCAATGTAATCGATGATGAACGATAATGTGATGCATAAAATAATGACAACTGATGAATTATGTGAAATAATGAACAATGACGAAATGTAAGAAACGATAGAAAATAAAATTATTATATTGATGACATCGATTTTTATAAAAATAGCTTGCAAGTTAATGCGTTAATGAAGAGAAGGTATGAGACATCGTATCGAAGTGGTCTAATCAAAAGTTTGGTATTTCGATTGAATAGTGTCGCTACCTGATAAATTCGTAATTGAACACGATATATCGTCTCATACGCAACTTTCTGAGGAGCTTACGGCGTAACTAATACGACGACAATCGAATCCTATTGAATGGTATTATCGATTCGTTCATCTTCTTTGTAAACCAATGAAATAGAGATTTCGGAAGAAAAAAAAGAAGAAATAAAAGTAAAAAGTTTGAACGAAGGTGAGCGAGGCAAATCTTTGTATTTGTTGAGGTCGTTAACCTAACTCGAGCGAACTCCAAAAATGGAATTTATATATGTACACCCACACACACACATGTATATACACAGGATGTTGCTGAATTATAAGTGCAAACTTTCCAGACTGTTAGAATTCATTAAAAAAAGAAATCTTATCAAGATTTCTTTGGAATTGAATTTAATTTCCATTGATATTTGAATATATTTACTTATTTCAATCAAATAAAATTAAACATTTTTGAAATCGATAAATTTTGAAATTAATGAACTTTATGAAGCTTGTACAATTTACATATGTATAAAGTAAAAAGGGAAAAGGACACAAGAGAAACTCAAAAAATGAATTTCAAACGAAATAGTTCGAAGTCTTACTCGTTTGATGAGATCTTTCGATTGGTATCTCCGAAATTTATTAAATATCGGAGTACTTTTTCTAGATCATCGATTTATTTTATTTTTTTTTCTATTAAACCGAAAAGGAGACCTAAATCCGTGACATTCTTAACGAATGATATAACTTGCAATCCAATCACTCTGTTCCTTTACCCGAACACTTGTTATTCAAATTCAAAAGAATCAAACAATTTCGATTATCGAAACATCGTTCGATCTTCTAATAAAACACGAATAATTATCGTATGTCACGAATGCTAATTGCATTATGTACGTCGTAGGTATATACATACAATACTCATGAACGTACAACGTTGATTCATCCTTGACAAGGATGTAAGAATTAAATCCGGAAATGTTAATGTTCAAACGACATTATCATCGTTACATCACATTTAATAACGGATTATGATCAAATTCTTTTCTACCCTTCTTAGATTCTTAATCGTAAAGAACAAAAGAGATATTACGAACGAGAATTAGTTTCATGGACTGATTCGTAGCGTGATTCGTAATGATTTACTCCCATTAACCGTAAATTCTAGAAAAGTTTTCTCATATATTTTTGTATATCTTTACATTTCTTCGTTATTCTTAATAATTGGGACGTTAATTGGATTTCTTTAATTAGTCTTGAACATTCTTTATTATCGTGAGGAGGCAACTTAAAAAATAATCGCCGTGAAATAAAAGCCGAGGAAATATTATTTCTTATCTTTCATTAACGAAGATCACATAAGGATACCTTGAAACTTAAAAAATCCGTAAACGGCATCGAGTTGTATACACGCCTGTTTGGAGAATATGGTATGGTGTCAAGGAAACATAAGAATGTTTATCCTTCGTTCGTAGGACTTGTCCGTGACTTTAGATTATTATTTCAAGAGAATTATTTTAATATAATATTTTTGTTAGGTAAATAGATCTAAAAGTTTCGAATTTAAATACCTTTTACAATAGGATACTTTTAAACAAACGATCGTAGTTTTCTTCAAAGTGCATATAGATAGTTTAATCATCCCGATCTTTATAACGTTTCTTCAACGACATACTTGTCCTAGATAGATGATGTGGGATGTTAGTAACTCCGCTCAGAGTTCAGGCTAGAGATTGGCTAACGCGTAACCTGCATACATACATATCTAGTAGATTCTTGTATATTATAATCATCAATTAATTTTCGTTACGGCTCGACGCACGTTTGATATCGATCTCTCGTACCTATCTCCACTTTGTACCGTATCGATATATGTACGAAGATATCGAGATCGATCGGTTGAAAGAGAAAAAAAGAAAAGAAATAATAATAATAAGAGAAGGAAAAGAAGAAGAAAAAAAAATAAATAAAAAGGTAAGAAAATTCGTGCAAATTCCATGGTCGGGCAGTTTAGCGTGGCAAAGAGAGGTTCCCACGCAGGTTTCTACCCTCCCTTCAGTGTTTGCATTCCTACGCGATGTTTCACTAAATGCACGCATTGCATCGGGTTTAACCACCCTCCGAAGAAGAACCAGTTCTTTCGGCGGCGTTCGCTTGCTCGCTGCGATGCGGTTGCCGCGCCGGTACCGGTGCTTTACGAGATGGCATGAAAAAAGAAAGGACAAAGATGATACGCGTTGCTCGAGTCTAGACGTTAAACTTCAACATACGATCAACTCCTTCTTTAGCCTTTTCTTTTTATCGAAATTTTATTCGAAATTATAGTATCGAGATTTTATGTTAAATCGATGCATCGAATTTTTTTTTTTTTTTCTTTATATATATATATATACGCACATATCCGTTCTTCACAACGAAAGAGTTCATTGTCACGTTTTCCTTTTTGCCATAATTTTATTTTTTATATTAATTTATTATGAATTTTTTGTCGGTATTCAACAGTTTATTATTATTTAATATCGAATATCGAAGATTATCAAGAGCTCATATACGTGGTTTTGGCATTCCGGAGAAATATTTTAGGAATTTCGAGACGGGTCCCGAGATCAAGGAATTATGCGCGTATCGACAGATTTTAAAAAATGTAAACGCGCGATAGGTTTACAATGACTAATATATCGCAAACTTCACAACGAGCACGGCGATAATTTGTTCAATGATTCACGGTACACGGTCCAAGTACGTGAGTATGTCGAATCGTTTTTAAATCCATTAAAGCGATCGGACACGGAATGACACAGAGAAGAATACTTCCTCCCTTCGATGTATCTCAAAAATTTTACACGAGAGCTTCGTGGACATGAAATATAATTGTTATTTCGTTGAGAAGCAAGGACGTTTCCTTATCGTAACTCGAATGTACTACGTGCGATGAATGAAGAATGAGTCGTTGCATAGCTCAATTGTATTACGAAATATTAGTTAGTACTCTGTTTCGGTCCCTAATTTTTTTTAAATGTTTTCTATCGTTGTATGGAGCAACACTCGTTATTTGTTTTTTAACCCTTTATGATTCATCGATATCTAATTCTTTATAATCTTCGTTCATTTTTTATCAATCTTCTATCTTACATTAATATATTAGTAATAATATTATTTTAATATTTTACTTCAAATAGAAAAAAGAATTTCTACACACGCGTTCTATTCTATTTTAAATCTTTCTCATATTCGTGAAGCATTACGATTGGAATCCTTTTATTTTTATTCAAATGTTTTAAGTGACTATAACGAATGATATACAATGAAGCACGCATCAGGAAGCGAATGAACGCCTATATAAGCTACCGGTTCGAATAAATTTTACAGCAAGACTTCGTTCCTTGATGAATCGTTAGAGATGCTCTCATTTAGAGATTCGCTGAAAGGAAAAGGATTTATCGATCATTCGAACGACGAGCACACGAGGGACTCGTCGAGCGTGTCAATTTTCTTAGTATGATCGATCAATCGCGCCCGATTCCTCTTCACTTTTTTTTTTATATATAACATTATCATATCTGTTTCTACACACACTCGAATTCTTTCTACCATCGTTAAGCATAATCTCGTAGCATAACGATTCGTTCAGTTATCGCTTCAACCTGCTCTATGAAATTATTTCAATGTCACGCGATTTATGGTCAACAACAGGCGGAGAGAGAGAGTGAGTGAGTGAGTGAGAGAGAGAGAGAGAGAGAGAGAGAGAGAGAGAGAGAGAGAGAGAGAGAGAGAGAGAGAGAGAGAGAGAGAGAGAGAGAGAGAGATCAAAATAAGCAGAGAAAGTTTTATCGTTCTATTTTCTCGTTGTTGTTTTCAATGATTAAAGAGAACGGAATAATAATGCAGTTATTGTTTGGCATATTTTTTTTTTCTAGGATATGTTAGCAAAAAAGAAAAGAAGAGAAATAGAAAAAGTAAAAGATAGAAAGAAAAATATTGTTCCATCAGGAATGTTCTCGAGATTATCGAGTCGTAAAATTCAGATTTTTTTAAGAGGTCGATTGATGTTATCGATGTTCGACGGTGAATGCTCTATGCCTTCGATATGTTCATTCCGAATGCAACCTCGGTATAGTCATTTAGTGGCTACGTGGCCCTTGTCGAGGTTAAGGCCTTCGCAGTCGTAAAAAAGATGACACGTAGCATATTAATTCATAGTTTACGGCTTATTCGAGAATTCTCTTTTGTTCACACGAAGGAGGAACTTGTTCCTTTCATTTTACGCGTCTTCCCATTTAATCGATGACCACTTCGATCTTCAGACTCGCGTTTTACTTCCAGTAGATAAAAGCTTTGTAAGTAATAGAAGGTAAAAAGATATAAAAAGAGATAAAATTCTTGAAGATTGTATAACGATGCATAATATCTTTTAATAATATTGTAAATGTGTAAATGTCGAAAACGAGAAAAACATAGAGTATGAAAAAGTTTTAAAGCTTTTTCTACTTAAAGAAAAATTACGAATTACTAATTTACTAAATTACGAATTTAAGATGAAAAGAAAAGTGTTCGACTTTTTTATTTATCATCAAGGATTCATTTATTTTTTTTAACGAAAGGATCTACGAACAGCGGTAATTCTCATATATTTTACTTTTAACGTTACATGTTCTTTTTTCTTTTTTTTTTTTTTTTATTCATAAACTTTTTTTAAGATTCATAAACTGAAAGGGTTTCACGAAAAATTGCATCGTTCGAACGATTATTGATATTTTTCTCGTTGCTTTAGGAATGAGTGAAAAAAAGAAACAAAAAAAAAATGAAAAAAAAAAAAAGAAAAAAAAAAGAAAAGAAAAGAAAAGTATTTAACTTACCTTTGCAAAGGAGTAGGAGGCAGAAGAAGACGATCATTTTGGAGAACGCGGTCGGCGTCATTCGCGGCAGTACCGCATTTATCACCGCGTGTCCTTGAAGAAGAGTCGAGACGTTCCGTATTACCAGCGCAGGGCCGACGTAGTACGTCGTTGCGCACGTGTACTGTCGTCGGGACGTCGAGGCGCGTGCGATTTGTACCCGTGCGACGATGACGCATGTAAAACCCCCTCCGAGTTGCCGATTTACGAACGTCTAAACGTTAACTCAAGAATAGAAGCAAAGCTTCGTAGAAGCTGTTACGAGGAAGCTGTAGCTGCTGGCTCTTCCTTTTCACTGTCTCTCTCTCTCTCTCTCTCTTTCTTTCTTTCTCTTTTTCGCTCTCTCTGTCTCTGCCTCTGTCTTTCTCTCTCTCTCTCTCTCTCTCTCTCTCTCTCACTCTATCTCTTCCTCCCTACTTCTGTTCTTGCCAGTTTGCGCTTCTCTTCTAAGGCCTCTTCTTCTTCTTCTTCTCTTCTACCACTTCCACCAACTTCCCTCTCTTCCCTCTTGATACTCGTTTCTCGTATACTTTTCTTCTGCTTCAGACTCGGTCGCTTCGAAAATACATTCAAAGATAGAATTCGCGCGGCAAAGGATAACGACGTGCTTTCTTGTAAAGGAATTTGTGGTATTCCATGCACGCATACACACGTACAGACACACACACACACACACACACACGCACGCACGCACGCACGCACGCACGCACGCACGCACGCACGCACGCACACATACACACACATGCTGAGAAGGACAGACAGACACAGATACGCACACAGATATACACGCATGCACGCGCGCGCATACACACACAACACACACACAACACACGTACACACAAATACGTCTAAGCTGTAAGCATGTATATACACGTATTTAAGATAAGAAATAATCCCTACCTGTTCAAAAAATATCTTTTATATGGAGAACTTTTTGTAATATTCTTTATGAAAATAACGTTAATAAGGGTAAAAGATTGGATTCGATAATTGAATAAAATAAAATACACTTTGAGAATCTTAGTTTCAACGGCACTTTTTGAAAAGATACTAAACGGAAGTCACGAGATCGGAGTAAATCGATCGATCGATCGATCGTAAACGTCGAGGGTGTCGCTTCCTTTCGTTGATTCGCGGAAGGCAAAGAAGACGTCGTGGGTAGCAATGGGTACGTCGGTAAAGGCCTTTGAGTACGCGCACGCTCGATTCTCGATATGCCGGTACGGACAAGCAGGCAGGCAGGCAGGCAGGCAGGCAAACAGGCAAGCAGGCAGGCGCGGCCAGGTGCGCCCGTAGACGACTGCAGCCGCGGACGATCGCGAGCTTGGTACCCACGTCTCGCTCGCACGCGCGCTCGCGCTTTGAAATCGCGGCCTCGTACGCGCCAATAGATACGAAGGAAGGGAGAACGGAAGGCACAGCCCGGAAGGCAGGAAGGAAGGATGAGCGATAATCCAAAGAGAGACGTGGTAGGTCTTCGTTTATTCGTTGACGCGACGATAATTTTACTCCTTTCTTCTCCGGTCTTCCTTGAAATTCGATATTCAAGAACAAGTTTGTACTTTCAAATATTCCATTGTTATAAGAAGGATTTCTAAAGATTCAAATTTGTCTCTTTATTATATATATATATATATATATATATATATATATATAATATTTTCCTGAACTTATTGATTTATTATAAAAGATTTCATGAAAATTATATTTTTCGATATATTCGTTTAGAATAATACAATGGATATCTTACTAATGTATATCTTCCGTGTTAAAACTTACTTTTCCTTTATGACTCATAATTCGAATTTCGTAAACGTTTACAAATAGATATCGTATAAATTAAAAAATAAATTCATATGATTAAATGCGTTAATATATTTTATTTCGAAAACAATAGACACTCTTACGTCTATTTCATTTTCTATTCTCTTAAAACATCTGAAGCTGATGGATAAAGCCCTTTGAATATGGTACTAGGTGGTACCGATAGGATTATTTCGTACAATTAGCCATGGTAACGTAAAAGGATCGATAGACTCGTTCGTAGCGTTATCGTCGAGTTATTCGATACACGGGTGTCACCGGTGTACCCAGGATCGATGTCTACCAAATACATATATACGTATAAGTATATGATTATTTCCTCTCTGCCTTCATCGATCGGGATTGCGAGCGAGAGCCATGACCTCGACACAATCGATCGATCTCTCATCTCAATGCAAGTGAATCATGTAATTCTCTTATTCTGTGACGGCTAATCACCTTTTCTACATTTCTATCCTATCGCGCTTTCTCAAATCATTAACATAATATTTCGGGAACAACGAAGCTGACTCACGAACAAGTGTCTGACTAATTCCGTTATTTCCAACGACCCGTAGCAACTTATGACATCAACCGACGCTTAATTATCAAAAGATTAAAAAATATACGGGAAATGACTGAAACCGGAGAACCGCTTCGTTTTCCTTATTTCTTGTGTATTAATTTGTATCGTAAACGGAGGTACGATACGATTTTGTGATAACTATCGTAATTACATATGTATGTACGTGTATACATACGTTTCGATATGGCTGATGGAACAATGAAAAACGTCCTGGATAGTCTCTACGTTTCTACAAGCGTAATCATGGTATTTGCACACTCGATGACCTTCAAGACACATCCAACACGTTCATATCGGACTGTACATCCTTGAACTTGTACGCTTAAGAATCTCGCGAACTACGTGGAAAAGGATCGGATTCGTTACTTTTTTGACTTCTTCTTATTCTTCTTCTTCTTCTTCTTCTTCTTCGAGACCGATAGAGACGAGTGCCGTTTGTAGAATCACGGTTTGAAAAAGTGTGAAAGATGCGGCCTCGTTAAGTATGCTCGTCGTACCTTTTGCGATAGTGTACTTGAAAAGAGAATGTATGTAATTCTTTCCGCTCGTTGTTCTTTATAATAACGAACGTGGAAAAGATGAGTCGATCTTTGATTCGACGAATCTCATTGGAAATTTCGAGGATACGAATTTTAATTGGGAAAATACGCGACGCGATAATTTCCTGATAGGTGAAACGGCGCCAGGTGATCGTTGGCAATTATGGCGTATCGATTATACGACCAAATTGTAGTTATCGAAGCAACGATCACGTACTATTAGATTCGCGCGTGAATTCGGTCGACGATCGTCGCCGACGCCGACGTCGACGTCGTTACAACGATAGCACACCTTCCTGCTTACATAAAGACAATGAAGGTCTCGTCGAGGATGTGAAAGTAAACATTATCGGCGGACTGCCTGCCCCTTCCCTCTCCTAGAATTGTGATAGCGTTGAAATCATACTTGTAGAATACTGACATCGAAAACTTCGTATCGCATTTCGTACGAGCTCGTACGGAACTCTTCGCGCAACTTTGTTCCGTTTCGAAAACCGTTGACACCGTTATTTAGAATGGTAAAAGTTGTAAGTATTGTAACAAAGAGAACGGACCATGGATGGTTACGATCGGATCGGAGAGAGTGATTTTAAAGAGAAGTGAAAAAACGGAAGAAATATTTATGTAATCGGGATAGAGAAATCTTTTAAATATTGATATTTCAATAAAATTTCTTATCCCTTTTAAAAAGATAAGATCGAATATGTGAATTAGTGTATATGATTTATGATATAATGAGGGTACTATTAACTATGAGAATTTACTCATTATTCGTTGGATAAATTTCAGGATTATTTTGTTGGATCGATACAGAGATAGTGGGATGAAGCAAAGATTATGTCCAAACGATTACTCGAAGAGTAATATATAGTATTAAGGATAGTTTTGTCCGAACCTTGAATCTTTGCACGAGTAATTTACTTGCGAATTGTTTTTTCTCGAGAATGTATACATGATTACGCAAGCTTTGCCCGGAAATACTTGATTGGCACGAAATTAATCGCATTGTTTCATAGAGCCGATATAATGGACGCGCGCAGATATAGCGTTAAAAGGTAAAGTTGTTAATTATCTTCGAAGCTAAGCGTTTGTACGTAATACGAAAAGTGAAATTTTTTCTCGAAATAATATTCCTTTATAAAGTGCTCTTTCCATGTTTATTCATTGTTCGTATTTTTTTAATTTCACGTACACGATCACCGAACGAACGTTTCAAATTTCGCGCTTAATTTGAATCGAAAGCAGCGCCATTACCAGATGGCAGCATTTACCGTTACCGTCACGATACGGTTCGTGATATCTGGTGATATCGAATGTATTTCTACCGAATCGTTTACTTTTGATCGTACGATAAATTCGCAATCGTTTCGAATCGTGCCACTTGCAATCGTTTCTCGAGAATCGAAAGGAAATAGTAATCGCGCGCATTTTTATTAAGAAAAATTAATGCGTTTGAAATGTCAAAGGGAAATGAAATACCTAACCTATCGCGTGATTATTTACATGCCTGTCAAAACGGAGATTTGTTAAAAGTTAAAAATCTTACTTTAAAGTACGATGTACAGGATTGGACGATTTTTCGGCATTCGGTTTCCGGTGACACTCCTATGCACGTTGCAGCGCGCGAAGGTCATCTGAACGTTGTCGAGTATTTGTGCGATGCTTTCGAAAGGCCCGACTTTAAAGTCAACGTCGTTAACAAGGATATGAAAAGGCCGCTGCACGAAGCCGCGCAATTTGCGCGTACCCACGTTCTCCGATACTTGATAGAAAAAGGTGCTTTCCAAAGCGAGCTGTGCTTGAACTTTCTCCTTTCATTTTTATATATCTCAGAATATATATTATAAAATTTATTCCTCTAATATTCGCTAATAACGATCAATCTTTATTTCGCGATATCGTTTTTGTTTTTTTTTTCCTCTTTTCCTTTTTTACGTTTCTTTTTATTTTTTTCGTTTTTTTTTTTCGTTTTTTTTTCCACTGACCCTTTCTTCCTTATTTTAGGTGCAACCATCGACTGTTTGAAGCGTGCCGATTGGACGCCTCTGATGTTAGCGTGCACGAAGATTGGTAGCGAGGCGTGCAAGTGCATCAGGATATTACTCGAAGCAAAGGCGGATCCTTTGAGAAGGAACAAAGACGGTTGGATACCTGCGTTTATAATTTGTCGTTCTGGTGACGTTAATGCACTTCGATTATTTCTGGATTTCTCTCCTGAAAGTATTGGTCTTCGAAGTAACAACGGCCGTAGTTCTCTTCATATAGCCGGTGATTATACACATATCTTTTTACAATATAGATAAAGAACTCGAATTTAATATCTTTTTTAATCGTTTAACGAGTTTGTTGATTTAAGTATACGTTTCAGGGTCCGATTTAAAATCTATTTTTTTTTTTCTATGGTATTTTCAACTTTTATAGCTTTCAACGGACACGAGGAGTTAATCGATCTGCTCTTAACTGTGGATCCGGGTCTTGTGAATGCACGTGATTCATCAGGTGCTACGCCTCTTCACGAAGCCATTAAGGGCGGGAATTTAAACGTGGTAAAGCGTATGATACAATTGGGTGCGGATTTTCGCGCCACTGATAAGGTCGGCCAAACCATCCTACATGTTGCTTCCTTGATAGGAAACGTGGAAATGATGGAATATATTTTAATGAATAATTTAATTAATATACACGAGAAGGCATTTTTTGATGTCACACCATTAATCGCAGCTCGTCGAACCGAACAAATCAATGCGATCGACGTTTTAATAAAATATGGAGCAGAGAAATAATTTTTATTGGAAAATGTCCACTCTAATTTTCATAATTTCCTAAGACCATATTTCCTTTATTATTTTCGTAATCGAAAACAGGGTTAAAATTGAAGATAAGATCAATGATTTTTCTTCAGAGATTGTTACACATTTATTTATCCTTTTTCTCTGTATCATCGGACAGTCTTAAAGAAGCAATACAAAATCAAGAAACGAAGTTTCTTATCCGATTTGGAAATACCTAAGTTTTACAATCTTGTCGCATCTGCGTTCCTAATGCGCGCAGGCAGGCAATGGCGGAAAGATCTTGGCGGTTCGCGATAATTAAACGAATTCATATAGAAAGATAATCGTAAAAAAAAAGGGGGATAAGATCATAGAATCGTTAAATAAATCGAATTTTGTTATTCGGCTCTCGAAGATCGCGTATTCATGACGATGGCTGTCTTTGGATATACATATATAACTATTATGGCGTCGAAAGAAAGTACGTAACGCTTTTTTTAAAAAATATTTCGCTTGATGTATTTTAATTTGTTTGCATTGTTTCGGCCATTTTATCATTATTTTGAACGTGGACTTATTATTTCGTAAAATTTTCATCTTCTTTTTCTTTTTTTTTTCTTTTTCTTTTTCTTTTTCTTTTTTTTTTTTCTCGCAGAAGGGAACTGGGATAAAAAGCAAAAGTGTATTAAGATGAAAGGAACGTTCGGATAATGCGGTACGAATATAAGGATATAACGATCGAAGAAAGATTATTGTGATTATCTTCGTTTAATCGCGGAAAACAGTATGGACGGGGAAAAGAGGTGGTAGGAAAGCAGAGCGGAGACGTAGGAGAAAGGAGTCGAACGATGGAATATACTTTATAAAATAGCCGCGGATCGAACATGCATTGCTCGTATATCTGTGTTCATCCTATTAAACGTTTCTCGTTTTTCATTTCCCTCTTCTTTGTTTCTTCTCGTTCATTAGCGATTTACGTGTTCACAGAACGAATCGCTCATTAATATCCGTTTCCCTTCCCTTCGTCGAAACTTACGTTATTTCTTTATTTTTATCTTTTTTATCTCTCTCTCTCTCTCTCTCTCTCTCTCCCTCTCTCTCTCTCTCTTTCTCTCTCTCTCTCTCTCTCTCTCTCTCTATCTCTCTCTATCTCTCTTTTTTTTTCTTTTAGCGGATTCATTTATAAATATCCAATGATTATTTGAGGTTTTTGTCTCATTTAATATTTTACTTCCTCGTTTAATTTATTTACACATTAACTAATTTACGCTTGGGACTTAAGTTAAACGCTCCTCTTACGCTTTTTCCGCCGTCACAACGATAGTTTATGATGGTTTACTACTTATTAATTAATTCGCTTATTTACTTACTTTTGTTCACATTAATCGTTAGGGTGCGCCGTATCTCACTTTTTCTTTTTTTTTTCCATTTACATTAGAAGTATTCAACATGTACAAAGCCTTATATACATTATTTACAACGCTTTTGAGAGTTCTCTTTCGTCGACGATTAATAATAATAGAACGCCCGCGCGTCATTTTCTTTTTCGCATGCACACACTCTCGACTTGGCCGCTTTAACCCAAACGTCTATCATAGATTGTCGACTCGCCAAAAGAGAATGAAGGATTATTAAGTTTTCTTGCATTGAAAACTCCTTGCTTATCTCTTGGCTCGTCTATTTAGGCTGATGCCTCTCTTTCTCTCTCTCTCTCTCTCTCTCTCTCTCTCTCTCTCTCTCTCTCTTTCTTTCTTTTTGTTTATTCCTTTTTGTTGCATTTGTATCCCTCAATTTTCGATTTACGACACGTTAACGGATGGAATGTGGGTGCCTTAAAGATTATCTGGCAATATGTATTATTATGTCGATAAGATCTATACGTTTCGATCGTAGAAAATTATAATTAGTTTTCCACGCTTCGCGACACTGCCGGTCCATAGTCACAGCTTCCTTTTTACATCGAATGTGTATCTTTGTTTCTTTCTTTTTTTTTTTTTTTTTTTTTCTTTTTTTTTTCTTTACGAGAGGAACGAAGTCTTCAGAATTTTCAAAGAAAGAGAGCAAAAAAGAAGAGAGAACGTTCGACGTGAAAAGATAGTTACGTCTATGGACCATTAACATCGAAGAATCCATTGGTAATTTCGTTCGAAATTCAAAAAAAAAAGGATACAAGGACTACGCGAGGAATGGGTAGGGGCCCTTAATCACTATAAAAATGTTGCGATTCGCATAAATCGACAATGGCTTCCCTTTAATAATCCATCATTATCCGTATCGTGAGGCAGCAACGATTATTGCTATATCGATGCCGTCGAATTGTAGTACAATATAAAAGACAAGACGAATCGATCGATTGCTAAGATTTTTTTTTCTTCTTCATATACCGCCAAAACGAACATTTGAAATATTAAAAGGGATAGAAACGTACGCACGCATATATTCATCGTTTCTCTCTCACGCATACATTGCTTACACACAGACAGACGTACAGACAGACAGACAGACAGACAGACAGACAGACGCACGCATACACACGAGATCTCGCTCGTACATTTTACTTTTCTTGCATTTTAATAGACAGCTGTGGTACCTTTAAACGCGACTAATCGCTTTTAACGCCGATTTTCATCTAAACGCGTTCTCTTCTCTTCTTTTTTTTTCTCTTTTTTTTTTTTTTACGTTTTCTTTTTCTTTTTCTTTTTTCTTGACGAACGGTCGAACGGTCGATCGAGCGAGAAATAAATATAAAGCCACGGCGACGGCGATGCTATCCGTGTTATATCCGAGGCGAGCATCGATCGATATCAGATATATTCATTATTATTATTATCATCATCATCCATTAATATATAGTTCGCGTTCGTTCGATACTCGTCTCGCGAATATCATCTTTATATAGACGCTCTCTTTCGCGTGAATCGCGAAAAATGGCGGGAGAAGTTTGTCGTCGCGACTCGACGATAGGAAGGAAAGAGGAACTCGACGAGACCTGCTTGCTTATTTCACGAAAAAGAGTTAGGACCTTCCGATCGTCGGTCGACGATCCTGCGTCGGCTGTGTCGCGCGTATTTTAACCGAGAAACGCCTTTACGAGCGATGATAAAAAATAAATAGCGAACGCGTGCACGCGCGCTCGCGATCGGCATCGTCCCTTAGTTTTACACGTATTATTACGTTTTTACGACACTTACGTTTCCTTTAAAAAATAGTAAAAAACAGTGACTAAGTTTCATTCGCGAATTCTCCGCTTCGCTTGGAAAATCGCTTTTATATCGCCTACATACGCGCACTACCTGCCCCCTGTGTTCGATCATACGCAAATGCAAATATACACATGCATACATGTAGACACACACACTCTCTCTGTATCTCTTTTTCACACACATACACACACACACACGTATACACATACTCGCCGCGTATATATATGTATATATATATACTCGCATACATCAATCCCCTGTCTTCCTTTCATTTCATTCAAGAACATCGTGTTATTGTATACATACATATACATACATACATATATATATATATATATATATATATATATATATATATATATACTTTTTTTATTTATAAAAATAACATTCTGGGACTAAAACGTAACATTTCAAAAGCAATGTACAATGAGGAGTTATGGTTGGGTGACCGACAAAGGTACTTACGACTGTAGTACAATTATGATTTCTTCTTCATTTCGAATTCATAATATTATTATTAAGAAATTTCATTTGCTTTCTCATTGCGTAAACATTCGTAAAGGTATATCGTTTTTCTCTTTTCAGAGAATAAAATTGAATTCTCGGTATCTTTTCTTCAACTCAAAATGTGCCGACGTACTTGTATTGAAAAAGTACGTGGAAGGTCAAAGAAAATGATAATAGAAATGCGCGCTCGATTATTTCTACGAGGAAACTTAGGCGCGTCGCGATCGAGAATTCACTCTGCCTCTCTTCCCGCCCAAAACCCCCCTAAAACTCTCTCTCTCTTTCTCTCTCTCTTTCTCTCTCTCTTTCTTTCTCTCATTCTATTTTTCTTTCTTTCTTTCTTTCTCTCTCTCACAGGCAGTTGCTCTCCTTCGTAACGCGATTTTCAAAAGCGATTGTTACAATCACATGCCACACCTTCTAAAATTTCCGATATGTCGCTATCCTAAGCTATCCGTTCAACGAGAGTCTATATTATACACAAAAGGACGAAAGAAAAGAAAGAACAAGGTGACCTAAAACAATGACTTAAAAAATTTCCAGTTCGTGGACGAGGAGTACGTGTCGCGATATGTCTATTATACAAAAGAAAAAAAGAAAAATAACGTATCGCCGACGCGATCGTCTCGCTCTCTACACAATATTTATTACTTTTTTTTTTCTTTTTTTGTTTTCGCAAGGATCACACACACCGTGATTAGTACGCGTAGAGCAAGGAAGGAATCTTTCGGCGCAGAATGTCGATCGTTAAGTTTAGTTGTACACGAACCATCGCGTAGGTTCGCCAATCGACTCGTGTGGCTTTATAACACGCTAAAAAGCGAAGTAATATCGTTCTAGCCTTTCGTGCTTTTTTGTGTTTCTCTTCTTGGAAGGACCGTCATCGTCCGTTTCTCATTTTCACGATTCTTCTCCGAAATCTTAGCCTTTGTTCGTCTCTCTCCCCGTTCAACTGCTTTCATTCATAGGAAAGAAAAGTCTTCTTGTTAAGAGTAAAATCTCTTTCTGACAAATCCAAGAGAGAATGAGAATGAAAATAAGAGAGTGAGAGAGAGTGAGAGAAAGAGAAAGAGAGGAAGAGAAAGAGAGAGAGAGAGAGAGAGAAAGAGAGAGAGACGTTATGCTGAGCTACAGTGGAATCAGAGAGAGATCGGAGTCGAAGGGCGAGTCCTACGAGAGGAACAGAGTCCTACCCCAAAACGTGGGGATGATGGACGAGATGGAGGACGAGACGATCCAGCCTTGACCTAACACTCGCTGTAGGAAGGCGGTGGCATTCCGCGTCCTGTATACATGTCCGTTTGGGGTTGAAGATGGCAGACGACGGTATGGCCGTCGAGAACAGCGACGGTTCTCGTATGATCCTGTTGAGGTGGTAGTCCATAACCTGCAGGGAGTCGTGGCAGTTCACCGAGCTCGTACCTCGCTTGTTGCCTTCGTAGTTTCTCCCAGCAGGCATTTATGGTCCTTTCAACGGTTGGACCATATTCCGTTGGATCGTAGTGAGTGTTCCCAACACGATCGCTCATCGTTTGCCCGTAATGGAGCAGGTTACGATCGTTAGCAGGTGAATATGGAATCAATGGCCTATGATCACCGTAGCTTCTTGAAGATTGTCTACTCATGTCGCTTTGTCGTCGACCATCCTCGTCAGACATGTCTGACACTTGGATCTCTCCGACAGTTCCACCGGCGCCACCTCGTTCGATTTCCTCGTAAACAGGATCATCTTCGTTCGTTAAACCACCAACGTTGCCAACTCCGCGATGCGTTGGAAGATGTACATGCTGGCCGTGATGAGCATGCATCTGATGATGCATACCATTTCCACCGTTTCTACCATCAACGATTTCTGTGTAAGTATGATTATATGGCATGGCAGCTCGTCGTCCAGTTCCCACCGAAGTAGTTGCCGTTGTCGTTGCTGCTCTTCCACCGCTCATCGTCTCGCTACCATCATTCGAACCAATGATGCGGTTTCTATCTCGATCTCGATTACGACCTGAATGGCCCAAAGTTGAAGTGTTATGTGTCCTTGGTGAATCTTCTTGTTCTGATCCACCGTGTCCAGAGTCCCGGGAGTACGATTTAAAAGAAATGTTCTGTGGGTGGAATAGAAATTGATATATTAGATATTTTTCTTAAATTGAATTGAAAATGATTTTGCTTTCTAAGGGAATTAACGTGCCGTTTTGTCTTTCAACAGGATATGACGATTTTTTAATTCGCCAATAGAAAAAACACGGCAATTTTGAATTTGGATGTCGCGAGTCGAGGGAAACGGTCGTGGCTGCGCATGCACTGTGTAACGGGGGAAAAGCCGAGAAAAAAGTGTTCACATTTTCTCGAATCATTGAGTGCGTAACTCGTCTCTAATCTTATTTTATTCAGGGATAATTAAAACAAGAAAAAAAAAAAAGAAAAAAATAATTTGCTATGACCGAGGCTTTTTAACTCGCGCAAACATCGTGCCTTTTTGATAATTAAACGAGAGAAGCACACACCATGCACGAGAGGGCGGATCTAGCCAAAAGTTAGACAATTAGTTTGATGATCGTAAGAAAATGCTAAAGAGAAAGAAAAAAGCATTGACATATAGCATGGACCGCGTGTCCCACACGTTAAACGTCTTTGTTTGTAACTCTAAAATATAAAAAGTCAAATAACCCTTTAGCAAAATGTATTATTACATTTGTGTATTAACGATTATTAAAAGTACGATTATCTTTATTGTGGGACAACGCAATCCGAGTTTATACATATGTCGATGGAAAACAAAGAGAAGAGTTAAAGGAAACAAAGAAAAATGAAGGTGTTTTTATTTTTTTTATCTGTGCTAAAAACTAGCAACTAGAGTAGCGACGAGAGAATAGCGTTAAATAGCGCTTGCGAGCTAGCCGCCCAGTTAGTTACCTTCCACATGAGGTTTTTGTTAAGGTGGCCCCAAGTGGCGGTGGCAGATTTGGGGATATTAGGAGCTGAGGGTAAGAATGCGTGACGGGCGTACGGCAAAGTGGCCACGATGTGAGCCTCTGTGCCAGAGGATTCACTTGGCACAGCGACTGCCGGCTGCCTATCGACTATCGCCCAGCTTCGACCGGATACCAAGTACTGGAAAATCAAGCATTGGTCGTGGCTGTTAATCCTCCGTTTACCTCCATTCTCTCTCTCTCTTTTTTTTTTTATTTTATTTTTCTAAATTTTGTCTTTCACTTTTACTCGTAGAACATGTTAAAATTGGCTAAATCTTTTACAGAGAAGTCAATGAGGTAAACGAAGGATCGTACGGATCTCCGAAGGTAGCTCGTTCCTTTGGAAGGTTTTTTGGACCTTTTTTCAAAAAATGACAAGCAAAATCAGCCCGTGAATCTATTCCGAACGTCGTTTTTATTTTTTCCATTCGATAACATGGGAAACCGAATGCCTCGGAGATCGTCATGTGAACCACCTGATTCGCTGCCATTCCCAAAGTTTGTGTTTTACGTCGAGGAAGGATTAAACGCCTTGGTGAGAAATCAATCAGCGATAATAGCAAAAAATTATAACCTGAATTATGCATTGTGCGTATTGTGCAAATCTATATATTCTAGAGCTGACGTTATATTTTTCTTTTTTCATTCTTTTTATCGAACAACAACAATAAAGAATTCGTTTCTTTTGTTGTATCAAGCGAAGAAGCTCTTTTTATTTACCTTTTCTTTTTTCTTTTTTTTTTTTTTTTTTTTTTATATTTATCCTCACGATCAACCCCTCTTATAACGTTATATTTGTCTTAGATTGTTCTCTTTTACAACTTACCTTATTTCAATTTATGATATATAAAAAATCATGCGATCGAGTGATTTCGTTATTAACAGTAACACGAAATCGAGGGGTTGACGTTCTTCGTAACGAAGCATTGATATTTTTTTGTTCGCGAGAAGCCAAAAAAGTAAAGTGCTCGATCGCGTTTGCATCTAGATTAGGCAAGATCAGGCTTGATTGGCGTTAAACGATTGATGAAACGCACATCGAAAGAATAATCTTTTCGCAATTTTAATTTTTTTTTGTTCTTTTTTTTGTTTTTTTCTTTTTTTGTTTCTCTTCGTTTATAATCGCGGTATCGATCGATCATTGCGGACGAGCGCGCGCACGCGACCTAAAAGCAAGGCAAGTCTGGTCGCGTCTTCATCGTCCATAAATCGAATCGAGAGCGAGTACCTTGGAAGCGAAGCGAACATACGTTAGAAAACGTAATGCGTTCTGGGTTTATCTGAACGGCGGCCGAGCGGATTACGGAAACCGTTCGTCAAGGTTATCGCGTCGTAAAGATCGATCGATTTTTACGAAGGAAAGCAGCAGCATCGTCGACTATATCGCTGCGCTGGCAGAAAACGAAAAGAACCTTATGACTTTCCTTCCGTCTACTCTTCGATAATCTTGATATCGCGTGTCCGCTACCTTCCGAACATTACGAATCTTTCCAAAACGCACGGAGCTTCCACTCTGTGAGGTATGCCGATATAAGAGAAAAAAAACGAAAAAAGAAAAAAAAAGAAAAAAAAAGAAAAAAAATGGGAAGAATTCTCCTCGGTTTCTCTATATTTTTTGCTTTGAAAATAATTAATTATACACGTGCTCGATTCATTCATTCAGACTGTTAAAAAGTATTTGACTTTAGATATAAGTTAATTCGAATGAAATTAAATTAAAGATTTAATTTAGCAAAGATTCAAGGTATGAGCCCAGTGAATACTTTATAATTTTTAAGCCGAATTAAAAGTGCTCGTTAACACGAATAGAAAAAATCAATCTCGTCGGAGTTTACAAGGGAATTTTTATTTTGATCTTTCGAATGATTTACCTAGCTGCGTGACACAAGGATGTAAAAGCGTGCGTGGAGAAATGAAAAGGTGAACACGTAGAACACCTTTTGCTAGATATCAAAGTGAGAATATGATAAGAGACAATTACTGCTAATCTTTTATTTACCACCTCTCGTGTGACGAATGGGAGCAAACGAGTAACCCGTTCTTTTTTTCTTTTTTTTTCTTTTCAAATTCGAGCATCATACTTTTTTAACACTCGACGAATTATTATTATTTTTTTATTATATACCGCGTAAAATAACGCGAAACTTTGAAGGGCACGACGAGTCATAAATAGGTCAACGAGTAAAAGCTAAAGCGTTAAATCGCCGCGAAGATGGACGATCGTAAATCAGGTAGAGATACGCGCGACGTCTAGACGAACGTACGCTTTCGAATTCCTTCGTAGCCGTGGGGGCCTCCGAGAGCTGAAGCGTCTGAAATAAATGACAAATCGCGTGCGAGCGCACGCTTTGTCAGGCAAGGTTGCATATAGAGGTATGGGGTTGTTCTTGAGAGGACAAGGCAAAGAGGGACGACTGGTAGGTTGGAAAAGGAGGCAAAGTAACCAGCAACCGCGTTACACCAAACCCCGAGCCAGATAAGAAGCACGAAAATCACCACTGTTAGTAAGTAGGAGGCCTTGCAAATAGTACGTTCGCGTGTTTACAGCTCTGCAAAGTCAAGTCCGTGAATGTTCTCGCTTTCTCTCTCTCTCTCTCTCTCTTTCTCTCTTTCTCTCTTTCTTTCTTTCTCCCTCTCTCTCTCTCTCTCTCTATCTATCTATCTATCTATCTATCTTTTTCTTTTTCTATTTCTCTTTTTCTCTCTCTTTCATTATCATCGAAAATTCATATTTCAAATTCATTTCTGTTAATCGAAAGACGATTATTATTGAGTATCTATTTATTTCAAGATTTATCTTTTATGGTGGTACAACAACAACAACAACAACAATTTTGAATATTCAACATAGGTTGTACTTATCGACAATGTAATTTTCAAGTATATCGTTGGTACGTGTTCGAGAGCATATGTGTTTGAGAGAGTCGATAGGCGAGCACGTTTTCTGACTTTCGTTTGCCTTGTTACTTCGATATTCCACGTGATATTACTTTTTTTTTTTTTTGTATCTTTTCCCTTCTACTTTCTAACCCACTTTGTTAGTTCCTACGTTTTCTCTCTCTCTGTCTCTCTTTTTCTCTCTCTCTCTCTCTCCCTCTCTCCCTCTCTTTCCTTCTCTTTTTGTCTCTATTGCGTTTCCAACTCTCGATGATACTCTGCCCACGATAACCAAAGTGGTGGCTTGAGAATGAACAAGCGCACGAGAGAGTTCGAATAGGAGAGTTTCGAGTTACGTGACACGTACGAAAATTACGTATGGTAAGTCGAGAGGAGAATCTCGATTAGAGGAAGGAGGATGAGAGTTAGCCACTCAACAACAACGCGTCCTGCAACAGACTTGGCCAATATATTTAATCAAAAAAAAAAAAAAAAGAAAAAAAAAGAAAAAAAAAGAAAAGAAAAGAAAAAGAAAAAAAGAAGCAAGCCGTGACTTTCTCGCGTTAGATCGAGCGAGGAAATACGAAAGTGTTGAGAAAATCGATTGATTGAGTTACAGAAAAACAAAATTAAGATGTTACGATGAGAGGTATTTTATACAGATAAGAAGGAGGTAGTGACCAGATGAGATGTTATTCGAAATTAAGAAGAAGTTGTTGCCGAAGAAAAAACGTAGACTGAAGAAACATCAAGAAAACATCAGAGAGTCATTGAAGAACATCACTTCGAGTTGAAAGTGCAACGTAGTTCAAGAGAAACTCATTTGTCTTTTTTCTTTTCTCTCTCTCTCTCTCTCTCTCTCTCTCTTCCTCTCTCCCTTTTTCTCTTTCTCTTTCTCTCTCTCTCTCTTTCTCTCTCACTTTTTCTCTTTCTCTCTCATTCTTTCTCTGAGCGAGTGAGATGCGCGAAAAAAGCGAGAGCGATTTGATCAGCTAGCAATCAATTAGTACGTGATAGATACTGGCAGAAAAGAAGCAAAAATGTGCACGGAGTGACAATAGCCAATGAGTGAATGAATTAGTGAGTGAATGAGTGAATGTAAAAATAAGAGAGAGAGAGAGAGAGAAAGAGAGAAAGAGATAATGAACGAGAGTGAGTGAGTGAATGAGTAGGTGAGTGAATGAGTGAGAGAATGAGTGAGAGAATGAAAAAGAGAGAGAGAGAGAGAGAGAGAGAGAGAGAAAGAGAGAGAGAGAGAGAGAGAACAGGGGAGAGATTATTCGATCCGTCCATTCATTTAGATGGAATTCTTCATCGAAGGAATACCTATTGCAAACTATTTTTTATCTTGCTTCTCGGTTTGGTGTATAAGCGGCGTTTGGATACCTTGCTGAGTGGGATGCCTATTGTGGTTGCTAGGTGCCATCATGTGCATCTGGTGTGCCCCGACCGGCGACCTCAGCGACAAATTGTTCAGGTTCACGTTTATCGAAAGATTCGTATTGTTACAGGCCGCAGTCAGATTGTTGTGATTGTTCGGCGGTGACGTTGTGGTACCCACGTTAGAGGCAGCATGAGGCGATAGTCCTGAGCTGTCCGTTGTTGGAGCCGAAGGATTTGAGGATGTGTTGTGCGAGGCAAATTCCTTTCCACCGTTTCCACCAGGGCCAACTCCACCACCGCTCGTACCGGATGACCCGGAACTTCCTGTCACCGTCTTCGAACATCTCAAGCACTTTGGTAGCCATGAATGACGTCGGATGAACTTTCTATACTCCTTTCTTACCTATAATAGGAAAGGTACACTTCTTTTTTATGTTCTTTGCGAAAAAAAAAGAAACAAAAGCCTGACCTTTTTGTGATTGGTCATAGCATTTTTTATTTTTCAATTTTTCAATTTTTCAATATTTCAATATTATCTGTTGCGTTATTATGAATGACAATTATCGTTGAAGCTCTATTTAATTTTTTACATTATTCTTCTTTTTATATTCTTTTACCTTTTCGTTTTGAACGCAGTGGAATACAAAGATGAAAAGACCCTGAAGGCTGTTGAGTACAGTAAAGATGTATGCCATTACCACTGATTCTTGATTCAAATAAAGGAGTCCAAAAGTCCAGGTTAATCCTAGTAGAAATACTAGGACGATGGCGCCGCGTAACCAAGCTCTGACGAGAAATAAACAAAAAGTGAGTTATATCGTCGAAAAAATTTTTACAATGAAATATAATCTTTTTTTCTTTTTTTTTTTTGCAATGTCGACCTTTAAAGAGAGATAAGGATGCGAAAGTGTCGACGGTTCGTTCGACAAATTTGAACGTTGCGTTTATCGAACGTTTTTCAAGTGAATAGAAAACAATTATTTTCTATTTGAATGTAAAATTATTATATTTTTACGCAACGAATCTTTCTTTGCGCACTCGAATCGAACCGTATCGAATCTCTTCGAGTTTCATCGACACAATTTATTCTTTCTAAACATTCACGACAAGAGCGTGTAACTACACAAGAAGGCCGAGAAGATAATTAGAAGAGATTGTACTTTGTCTAAGTTCACGTTTATATCTACTTTCAAATCAGGCGTGATACTTTAAACTAACTAAGAATAATACAGCATGCATGTGGATTATCGTGTGCATTCGAAGGAAAGGTGAGATGCATCGTTTCGATTCGACGATGATACGTATCATTTTGATTTTTTATTTTGCATAAAGAAGAACTTTGTTTTCTTTCTCTTTCTTTCTTACTTTTTTTTTTTTAAACATCATGAGACCCGTTTCGTGCTTGTGATACCAATGAACTTCACGATATATCGTAATTTTGGTGTGACGACTATGAGACTATACTACCACAACTACTAATTTTGTTAAATTAATTGGGATACCAAAGTAAGAATCGATTGATTCGATTCGACATAAAATCGGAAAATTAATTCGTTGTAAAGTTAGAAAGTAGTGGGAAAGAGGGAGGTTAAGAGAGGGTATTAGTAATAATGTTAATAATAAGAAAAGTGAGTAATAATAAAAATGGTAAATATCTTACAAGTGCGCTTGCAATTTGTTGGGAAGAGCATTCTCTTCCTTTCCACTACCAACCAACCACGCCATGCAGAAGAATGTAGAACAGTGTAGACAGAAGTGGGTAGAAGATTTAATACAAAAAAATGAAACAAGACAGCAGTTAGGTGATTGTTCCGGCACCATTGATATCGATTGATTATAATTAAAAAATTTCTTTCATCATCATCATCTGCAAACACTCGATTCGTATTACTAAGTCTTATTGACTTTAATAAATGTCAAACTGATCACGAGTATTTACTTATGTACATATTGTTTCAACCATTAAGAGGATTATCTTGCAGTGCTCCTTTTAACATGAATACATTATTTAAATGTAAACGATATAAGATGCAAATTGTATACTATAAAAAGAAAAATTTATCGTAATGTCTCGTTCATAATAATTCGAATCGAGCTTGCAAGAAATTTTAAAATACCATCACCGATGTGTCAAATAATTTTATTTTTTATTCTACGAAAAGCTTTTCTGCGTGTTTTCACGTCTCTTGTTTCGATTAATTTATCTTATCTCGCTTTCACGATTTTTTTCGTCTCTCTTTCATTATATCTCTTAACAGCTTCATCGAATCACAAATTTATTTGTCATTCGTTCCAAGAAGTTACGAGCGAAGAGAGACCGATCATTATTGATCAGAATTACGTTGATAAGGTTTTAAACGTTGACAATAATGCGTTTGCTAACTAACACCAATTTTGTGACTTAAAGAAGAAAAAAAGTTAGAAAACGTAATGTATACAATGTATATCTATATACATGTATAGATATATATATATATATATTTATATTTATATATATTTATATCATGAACGAGTAATTTAGGATTTACAGCAATACAGTGGCGTGTCGAACGAACGAAATCTGCGGTCATTCCAACATAGAACTCAAACCAAAACCAATAAAAACTTAGCATGGCCGCAAGAATAATGCGTGACAACGAGATTCACTTCGGGAGATCTCCTTAAGCAATGAAAGCTTTGCGAATATGAACCGAAAGCACCAAACAGACATTTCGACTCTACGCTCGACGAGGGGATTTAATCTCGATCATGTTAATGACGGACGTAATCTCAATTTTTTTTATACTTTATGTACAATCCGTTTGTACGATAAATAATCAATGACAGCTCGAAGATAGTTTGCGCTTACCTTGCGCTAGCTAGACGAGAATGTTCTTTACTCTTCATGGCTACCGTCGTATTTGCGTGTCGGCACATCATGTATATCGCCATCGACAGGAATACGAGATTCGCCTATTACGAAAAAACAAAGGATTATATAATCGTTAGATTAGAGTTAAATGAGTTTTTGTTTGAACTTAGAAGTTTGATTTCTAATTGACGTTGAATATGTATCATCACGCTGATGGAATCGTTAAGAACGAGTTACCAATTGCGACATCCAATCTGTTTTACATAATTACCAAGATTACGAGTATTACGGGCCCCACAAAGCTGAAGATGAAGTAGTTGTCCGCTCGAAGCCAACAGTATCGATCGGTGCCGTAACTGAATGGATCGATTATACAGGATATCGCAACTACTAGTAACGGTGCCCCATAAGCAACAAGATAATACCATCGTAGTCTAGACTTTTCCGCTTCGAAAACTTCGATCAGCATAACATACAATTGAAATCCTATTGAGGAAATAGAATGAAGGAAATCAAATTAATATTGATCGATTTATTTATAAAAAAAAAAAAAAAAAGAAAATTCTTTTGGATTAAATCCCATTATTATCATACCTTCGAGGAACATCCAGGCGAACGCACATAGGAAAAAAAAGTGTAATAAACCAGCAACAATACCACAGACGATCCTTTGATTCGTTTGTCCGATACCACAAACAAACAAAACTTCAGCTATTAACAGGCAGACGCACAGGTTCTTATGTATTGTCGTTCTGTCCGACTGAGAAGAAAATCATTTAAAATTAGACATTCGAGATTTGTTGTAGAATGAAAAGATTTATACTATTGTATAATATGATTATTGCAATCATACCTTGAGTCCACGAAACAATTGAAAGGTAAGTATCGCTAACACCAGACAGACAACAGATATGATGCAGCCTATGTATGTAATGATTTGTAAAGCGACTTGATGAGCGATGTCAAGTCTAACTGCATGAACGTCCATTAGAACGGCGAAATTTGTTAAGTGATTGCACTCGCATACTGTGTGCGTGTCGTTACTCTTTCTTATTTGACAGCCTTCTTCTGACCAACCACTGAAGGAAAAAAGTATTATTAAAGGATTATCTTAATTATTTGCTTTTCATGATTTCTGGATTGTAAATCTTTACCTCAAAATATAATCCCAAAAGACGCAAGTAGGATTGGTGACGTTTTCCAATGTCAAATGCCTGAAGTATATCCTTACTGGTTCCGATAACTGTATATGTCGACCTTTTCCTAATGAAGCAGAAATAATCTTACTGTTCAATAACCTAGTCGTGTTTCTTTTCGGCAACGATTGCGAGTCATCGTTTGTAACGACGGACGGCAATTCAGCTTGCGGTTGAAGAATTTCTTCGAGTCTATTGAAGGCCATGAAGACTAGTCGAACGATCCCAGCTTCGCTGTTTTCCAAAAGAGCACCTCTGGTTAGTTCGACGTGTGCCGTGGATGCTGTCCATCTTCCCTCCAAGATATTATTTGGAAAGACCTCGAGATCATTACCGATATTGCGTGTATCCAAAACGCGAACTTCCATTACTATTGCAAAAAAGAAGGTTCGTAAATTATTAATAAAAGAAAATAATGAAATGTAACGAATACTGAATGAGAGATTATTTAATTGTGGAAATGACTCACGTATATTTCTACAATCATGAGTGATCGTTTTCTCTTGGGTCAAAGTATCAGCCAATAGAAATGCATTTTCTTCAAGACCTATTAACAAAGAGGTCGCTACTCTCATTTGTTCCTGATGACTGAGATCCTTCCAAGAAGCCATCTGTGCTTCGTTCAAAAGATTACTGCCTGTTCTTACAACACCTTGCAAGAGTTCCGTAACGCTGACTTCCCTTTGATTGGGATCCTGATAGGTCCTAATATCTTGTGCCATCTTTTCGGCCATATTCTTTATGATCTTGGTTGTGATCATCATGTCACCACCATAAAGACCACGACTATTATTCGTTACTTGTGAAAGTTCTCGACTGATTCCCAAAATGACGTCACCATCAGTTACTCTATTTTCCAAGGACGTTAACCAAACAGAACGACATTCGCTCAAGTCTGGAGTGTCTCGATGCCAGACCGCAGAATCACCTTTGGCAAGACATCTCCAACGAGCAAGTCCATTGGCACCACCTGGACAACTTTGGACGGCAACGTCTCCAGCTCGAGTAGCGTTCCATGAAAGATTTCGTGCTATTACCGGTGGACAGGCCTGTCGTCCATAATCGTACCATTGCCCGTTCGAACTGGACTCTGGATAATAAGTGCTGGGTACTGAAAATAGAAAGAAAGACCATGAAGATTGTGAACTCAAGTTTTATATTAATTTTAATGGAATGGGAGGAAGTAAAAAAATTGATGTATTTACCGGTTGGTCTTCGACTTGTTCTCCATGGAGCAAATGTCGATGTAGTTGTTGGCTGCATTGTTTCAGGCGCGATAGGAGGAATCGCTGCTCCATTCGCTACGACACCTTTCTCTGGAAGAACAGAATCTTGGTCTTCTTTGATATCCATTTCGTCGAAGGACCTCGTCGAGGTTGGACTGAAAAACAAATCGTTTATTTCAATGGTGGATAACGAAATATATAATGATATCTTATCGTTATGAATTATGAAAACGAAAATGTAGATGATGATGAAAATGAAAAGATTGATATATATATATATATATATATAGAGAGGTTCGAAAACTGACCTTGGCGGAGTGGTTATTGGCAAAGCTGGTGTAGATGGTGCCGGTGGTGGTTGCGGTGGCTGTTGAACCGCCGGTGTCGTAATCCTCGAGGGAGGTCTCACGGTTGGCTTAGCCGTGCTCCAAACGCTCGGTTGCGAAGTTATGAACCACGGAGGACTCGGTCGGGATGTCGTCGTTGTTGTAGTCGCTGAAAATGTTTCGGTGGATATCTTTTAACGAGGCAGTAATGGAAAAAGAAAAGAGAGAGAGAGAAAGAGAAAACCTATGTTCCCGAAAGAAAAAAAAAAAAACGATGTCGTAAGAAGATTTGCAAGACACATTTTGTCTACCTGTCAATGAATTTATCAAATATCAGAAAGTTTATATAATTGAAAAAGGAAAATGATTCGAATGGATCGTGGACGTGAGGATAGAAAATTGTTTTGACTTGATTTTAAGACAAGTAACTTTATCAAGCTTTTTTTATCAGTGATTTTTGCTATTTCTCTGATTCTTATCAACTATGAAGAAAAAAAGAAAAATTATATATAGATTATTGATATGTAGAATTTACGAAAGAATTTGAGCCTATCTTTTTGAGAATAATTAAATCGATTTTTCTCAAAATATCCAATAAGTTATGTTACGGAGTCTCGATTTCACATTAAATTTTTCAAAACAAATCAATTTTATAAAACAAAAGACCATTAATCATGTATACATGTAGTAGTAATTGAAAAATTTACATAAATTGATACTGTTTACATTTCTATTTCGTTTAAACAGAAGATATAATTACGATCGAATCGTTTCATTAAGAGAAAAGTTAATTTTCATTGTACACACATGATATCTAAATTTGGAATGTAAATTCATAGAGTGCCAGAATTTTCCTGTTCGAAGAAAGGGTAGAAAACAGAGTAGAGGCGAGAGAACGTTACTTATGTTATGCTAACGCGGTGGTTCACTGTTACCATTTGTTTGCGTGTCTTGCGTCATGTGCAACTCGAGTCTCTTCAACGCGGTTGCAACGGAAACGTTCACTGCAAGTCTGACACCAACAAAAACGATCTGTTAGCACGTAATACATATTCGTTAGCAAACTGTATTTCCGGACAGCTCTTTCTCAATCTAGATTTAGTACCGTTGCTTGGTATTCCCTGCTATCTCCGTAGACGATAAAAAATGATGGATTCCTATTAAAATTTGTTCTTACCTTCATTATGATCATCTAAATATTATTTAATATTAATTACAAATTTGAATTTACAATAATTCTCGTTAATGATTCGATCGTAAAAATCTGACAATGTTAATATTTTCTGAAGAACTGACATTTAGGTAGATCAAAAAATGGGCTACGAATAGATTGACCGGATGTTGAACTCGAGACCCATATTTTATATGCAGTGGTACGCAAACTGTTTACACTTTTGATCCCTCTTTTATTAGGCAGAAATCTTATGAGTTCCTTTAAAATATTTTAACGCAAATATATTAATAAATATAGTAATATCATTTTATTTTTATTTTGAAAGTAAACAACAATTTCGTACCATGATTTTTATAGGACTCTTTAAAAACTCGAGTCTTATAGCTTGCGCACCACTGCTCTAAAACGCTAACTGACTTCATTTCTTCATAGCCTTCTTAATTTGAACATAACGCGCGCGCATGTTATAACCCTTTCAAACATAAATTAGGGAGATGGATAATCGTCGATAGAAAAATTTTACTTACCAGAGACACAACGATAATGTGCCTCAAGATATTTGTGCGTGTTGGGACAAGGATCACCGAATTGCGAGGTTGATGCAACGATGCTGCAGTTTTGTTGGTCGTTACACCTGAAGAGGTTTTTGCCGAAAGGACCAACGGTTAACAAAAGGAATAAATTCGACACAAGTTTACCACGTGTGCTGCCATGGATTTTTCGATTCTTCTTGATTATTTGTTTTTTTTTTCTTTTCCATTTTTACTTCGAGTCGACGTCGCGGGAACAAGGGGAAAATAATAGGAGGAAAATTTGCTTTCCCGCTTACTGCGTATCGATTTGCGTCAGATTTTTAATAGATTTTCGATGAACGCTGCTGCTTCGCGTTATCGCGCGCGCGAAAAAAAAAGAAAAAAAAAAAGAAGAGAAAGAATTTATTGGATTTCAACCAACCTAGACAATGGTACTGCGCCTCGACGTACTTTCCAGTTCCGGGACAAGGATCCTCCTCGAATATCTCACTGCGTACATTCAGCGCGCAGGAATTACGATGATTGCACCTGGGATGCGTCGCGTTAATCAAAAGAATGTTATTCCAGATAATAATAATCATTTGATCATCACGATTCGTTTTATTCTCGCAAGAAATTGATAACCGATAACGAGAATCAAATGTAACATTTTCGCACTCAGTCAAACGTGATTCTATTTCTTATTGTTCTGCGTACGATTCTCGTATATTTACTTTCGAATAAAAGTCACGTTAGCATGAAACACGTTTATAAATAATCTTCAGGACGCAATCAACGAAATGTGGAGAAAAAAGTTGTTAGTAATGAGGAGCGTTTTTGCAACAGTTTTTAGAACACAAATGACAGGTGGTGTTTAAGGTAAGACAGACGAGGATTTTAGTCCCAAATGCCGACAGAAACACATACGTGCGTGTAATAAATATACGTCTCAGCTGTATGCCATAAATATCCATGGAACTTTCAGCGTCCCCGTGGAAATTCCATATAAACAGGAAACAAACGAATGTTTTCTTTTTTTTTTTTCTTTTTCTTTTTCTTTTTTTAATGATACATTCGATATATTTATCTATGAGACGTTCATGATACAGACATGATACGATGAATTTTTAATTATTTTCTTTTTTTGTGTTGAACGCGAGTAAAAAGAGAAAAGAAAAAAGTCGATAACCTCTCTTGGTTTATTGTTACATTTTGAATGAAAAGAACTATTCTGGACTCTCTGTTAACGGATTTTCACTTAGTTTTTTTATAATTCACGATCGTAAGCACCTCTGTTTTTGTAAGGACGCACATTCGAGGGTTTAGCGTAAGAGTGAGTACGCATCGTCACCGTTGAATGACGTCGACGAAACTCTGTTTGCAGGTGCAAAGTCTGTAAATTCGTGTACGTGTATATGTGTGTGCGTGTAAGCGTGTGCTATCCGTTATCGCTCTCTAGGACGGCCGCTATTACGGAGGATTAAGCGCCCTCGTTGGCTACTGCTTTTGCACGCGGAAATGTCGTGATTCGAAAACAGCGTTTACTATGCCGAGCTTTTCCATGGATTTTTTTGCCGCGAGATTCGATTAAAATCACTGAGCTATTCTATTCCGAGTATATTGGTGATACGTAAAAAAATAATCATGCAGCTGTAATAGTTAATCTGACATATGAAAATTATCAATGCGCTCGTTCGACATGTATAATTTCGTATCGCAGAAAATGTACGGAATCAAGAATGGTATCAATTTTAATCATTGAAGGTACATCAAAATACGAATGTTTATCAATGATTTATTATTTGCATTGCTCGAAAGAGATGATAAATATTGGAAAAATATTTGGGTGTCAATTACGTTGAAAATTTATCATTCACATTTAAAAAGTATATATTTTAATACATACTACAGTTAACGTTATCTGTTTTATCACGAAAGTAATTGGATGTTATAAATAAAATATGAATATTTGACGAATGGAATAAAAAAAATGTTTGTTAGTCATCGTTAAACGTTAACTACGAGAATTTTACGATTCCGATAAGGGACACGAAAAACGGAACGCGTATACGAATTCGTTCTTCGAATTCTTCCGATAAATTCTAACTCAAAGTTTATTTCAAATTCCACGATAGGTAGGATCTCTAACTCGCTAACAACGAGTCTAGGGACACTGTTAAAGCCGGCAAGTTTGAACGTGCGTACATAACTAGGTATGTAACGCGGATACGCGTAGCACTTTCGCAAAGGAGTTGCATTTAACCGTCACAGACACGAAAGTACGTCGTAGTAAGCAAAACTTGGACCGCTTAGCATTACCGTAGAATAAGCAGTACGATTCTCTCACCGACAAACGATCGTTGTTTCCAACAATAAGATTCCGACTCTTCCTGTGTATATATACGTAAGTATATATATATATATATATATATATATATATATAAACATATATACATATATATATATATAAATACATATATATATACATGTATATACAAACGTACATACATATATCTTGTAGACTCGTTTGTTAGTGGTGAAGATGAGGAAGAGCTCAGGTTCTTCTTCGAGGAGAAGCTCGAAGGAGAAGCTTGGAAGAGGATAGAAGGCTGCTACTGCAACATTCTAAGTAAGAAACTTGTCATTCGCACTGTTACCACGCGTTTCTAATGCCGTAGAATATCCTTGAATTCTCAGTAATCCCGGTTAATCGTTTGCATCGCGCACATACTTCAACCGACACGTCTAAAATATTTGTAATTCGCACAGATGCTTTAATAATGATACGTTTAAGAGAGTTACCGAAGAAAGAAAGTAATTTTTGTCTGATCATTTTCTGTCTGTTTCTATTATTTGCGATGTTAATGTGTTCTGTTATGATGAAATTTATAAGAAGAGAGAAAGATTGAGAATAGATAGGAAGATAGAGAGAGAGAAAAAAAAAGAATAACTCAAACGTATATACGAAAATTCGTATATAAATCATCCCTTTGCATCCTGGACATCGACGAGAGGAAATTGAAGGATCCATGGCAACACACGTGAAACTTGCTTTATTTCAATGCTTATACTTCTAAGTATAGATATACCTGGAATAAACGAGAGAGGAGATTTTTTATTTATACGATTAAAATTTGAAAAAAATAGAAGATGAAAATATTTTCAGGTGCCTTGACTCGAATGATTTGTTTGTTAAGATTAAAAAAAAAAAAAAAGAAAAAGAAATTCTTACAAAATTTCTATTTTCATTAAGATCTCCTCTTTCGTATGCTCACGAAAAAACACAGCCACGATCGTAAAGTAAGGGGACGTATCGAACGAGAAAAAAGATGGGAATAATAATAATAATAATAACAATAATAATAATAAAAAAAGAAGGAATACAAAAAAGAGGATAAAATGCGCATTGCAACGAATCCGCTTATTGGCCAACGGAAAGCGTTACAATGGCGGCTACGAGAGGAGTTGCGATCGTGGCTGTATGTCGTGTGCGTAGCGAAATACACATACTTTTCATTCTTCTCTGAAAACATTACGTTGTTAAGCATGCAAATGGACGTCTGGGTGGTAGCAGGTGGAGCAAGGATAACGCGAGGGGGACGGTAGAGCTTGGACGCTCGTATAATACTCGTATATACAGAATGTCTTGTGATCGGACGATTCGACGACACGAACAATGGAAATCGCATCGATCCATAATATATTTTTCAAATTTATTATATATGTATGTGCGTGTATATATATATATATATATATATATATATATATATAAAATTGAACCATACAATCGGTCGGAATTTGAGCTCGGAATTTAAATTTTGTATTTTGTATTTTGAATCACTAAACTGATCAAACCCGTCGTGGATTTCATTTTTTTGTAACTTATAATTTGTTTTAAATGCAATTTATTTTAATTAAAAAAAAAAAAAAAAAAAAAGAGAGAGAAAAGAAATTTATATGTACGTATGTATTGTATTGTACCTTTATCGAGGAAAAATTGTAGGAACGTCGAATCGTCGATCGCGATAAACTCAGTGCCATTCCCTTCGATACGAAGTAGACATTTTTACGGGTATTATTTGCATTTCCCTCCCTACTTTTCCCTTTCTAGGAGGCTCGCTCGAATCCGCTCTAGTTTGGCAGTGAGAAATATTCGTCGGACTTGCGTTCCGCATACTCGTGATTGGAATACTTTTAAGTACCTAACCGGGAGTTCGCTCACCCAAAGTCTTTTCCTCTCTTAATCCGCCGAGGGATTGAAAGAGTTTTGTCGATGGAACTTGGTGTACAGTTTGTATCTATGTTTCCCCTTTACCCATACCTACATGCTTATTTATTTCTCGGTTCATTTGAATCTCTTTTACCATTGGCAATGAAAAGGTAGAAACCCGAGGAGTGACACGACAGATGTGTGTCATCGAAACTCATAGAAAGATTCATTAAAAGGAAACCATTTTGAAATGAATAGTCACCACGAAACTACCTATCTTCTAGTTTTCTCGGATAAATTCATTGAGTGTGAATTTACTCTTTTCTTCTATGTCTCCTTGAGTTCAATATCCTTCAAGAAAGATCGTTCTTGTTATCGCGTTGTCGAGGAAAGAACGGGTGAAAGAAAGAGAGATAGAAGAGTTATAGAGTTTTAGGACTATAAGAGAAAGAGAGTGCGAGAGAAAGAGGTGAGAACGTCTTACTGGAAAGTACGAACGATAAAATACGAACTGAAAAGTTTTTCCGTAGAAGGAGCGAGTGCCACGATCATTTCATTAGTCAGTTAGCAGTGACTCCTCCTCTTGCCTCCTCGTCTCGCGGGAGAAAGACCGAAACTTGTTTATCGGTAGAACGAAAGTTTCGTTCGCAGGTCGTCTCGAGAACGTGAAGCTCACTTTTCTCAGTTCTCTTTTTCTTCCTCTTGTTTCTTGTAATACGACGTCGTAACAAAGTTGACGAAGAAATCAGTTATTATTTTTCTTTTCCGACATAAGAAGAAATCAATGTGATCTCCGTTGATCATTTATCGAAAAGGTCGAATAAGGTCGACTCCTATGAACGATTTCTTCTTTAATACATTCTCGACGTGATACTGATAAATATTCCGTGGAATTTTTATTTGGCATTATTAATTGCTGGCGCGACGAAGAAAAATTTTGCCGGAATATTCGTTTAACGAAAAATTAAGAGAGATAACACGTCAGAATTTTTATCTTAATAATTATATTAATATTTAATGATATTTGTTGATTACTTTTATATCGAATTTTGTATGGATCTCATTATTATACAATGAGAGATTTTAAAATAACATAAGAAAATTCGCGAAAATATTTCGAGGAACGAAGTTAATTAAAAGTCCCAATTATATTGACTCAAAATTAAAGATAAAGACTTTCCATTGGTATTGGATACATTAATATTTATCAACGTAATATAAATTTTGTTGATACTATTTTACAATCACTTTGCATTTCGTATTTTATTGAAAGTACTATCATGATCTTTAGGCGACTTGGCATGAAAATGGAAAGCACCCACGTAGAAACAGGTGCGATCATTAAATTCGAACGTTGAATCACGGATGCAAGAGAAAGCAGAGTTTCGTAGGGGCCCCGCATTCAATTTCATTAATCGTTTCGGCAAAGCTCTCGCGTTTTCTCTTTAATCGTAATCTCAAGTGTCTGCAACTTGGCTGCTTTCTCTTCTTCTCACCCCGTTCCATCTCTCGAGCTCGCTGTTTAGTAGCTTTGCGCTTTGTCCCAAATCGTAGCCGACAGACGGTTAATCTGCAATTGGTTTTGGCTAGGCGGTACGATTAAACGGAATTCCCAAATGATTTTGGTTTGTACTTTATTCTCATCAAAGACTCTCTTTCCTCTACCGTAAGGCATGCTTGTAAATATCGGTGTGAAAGCTGCCGCGGATTCGCCGTGTCTCCACGATTCGCTTGAATAATAAATTTATAATTTGCAAAGGAAGAACCTTCGATATAAACGCGATCGTTTTTCTTCTACAAATTAGAGATTAAAGAGAAATATTAACGCGCTTTGAAAAGCGTTTAGTGTCACGGCTCAACTCTTTGCGGTCCATACATATTTAATATGTTTATACGAATGTAAAATTTCACTCGATCGATGTTATATCCGAAAATTAACATAATATTTTTTTTATAAAGAACGATGCAAATGCTTTTGCTATTATATACGTCATTAATGAAATATCATACATGATTCAATATAGACCACAACGAGTTTTATTGAAAGACCACGTATCATCGAAATATTATGATGTTAAAAATAATGAGATTGAATTTCCGATTGGTTATTAAGTTTTCTTGTTGTACGAGCGTATATAGATATTATTACTTGTTTTACGTAGCGGTCAGCGTTAAATATTACTTGCTCCACTTGCTTGATCAATCCTTTTCTTTATCGAAAGCATCAAATAAGTTATCTGCGAAGAAAGCAAAAGATCCAAGCATATCTACTAATGTTATTTATTTTTATGCATAAAGTTAGTATTGCGAGAGGAATTTGATGAATGAAATCCCAGCATGCGACAAATCGAATCGAACCGATTGTATGAGAAGCCCAAACGAAACCTTATTATTATTATACAAGCATGCGAGTTATTAAAATTATAGGATAGAATTATTTGAAGCGGCGTAGAAGAGTGTTCGTAATCGATTGCGTTATCGAAAAGTAAAAGAAAAGAAAAAAAAAAAAAAGAAATTATTTCCTAATGCTCGAGAAGTATGATTAATGAATAAATAAAATAAAAAAAAAAAAAAAAAAGAGAAGAAAAGAAAAAAAAAGTCGAAAAAGAAAAAACTGGGCGCGAAAAGCATAAGTTTGATTCTCGAGGAGACGTTGTGTGAGAGAACTCGCGTAACAAATCAGATGATTTTTTTTTTTTTTTACTAATATAACATAATTATAAATATTCTCACGTTATGAATCTTAACAAAAGATGATATATTAATTAAAGAAGTGTTGACAAAGAAAACGAATAAAGGTAAGAATGAAATGAGGAAAAGAATAAAAAGCGAAGAACGCATTTCGATGGGTCGTACGATTGGCCAATTCGTTGGACCACTCGAATCCCTCTCATTCGCTTTTCGTTTCTCTCCTTCTTCTCCTTCCTCTTTCGTCAGAATTTCTGTTCAGTTATTTCCTTGCTCTTTGCTCCGTACCCCCGGACGTGTGGATTTGGAAAATGGAAAGGACGAAAAAAAAAAAGAAAAAAAAAAATAAAATAAATGAAAATAAAAAGTAAAGAAAAGGAGGAAAGGACAATAAAAGACTTACTCGTTGTTGAGAACACGGAAAGTTTTGGGTGACATGCAATTGACACTCCAGTCGGTATTCCCATGTTCGTTGCATATCGTTATCGAGAACCTCCCATAGTTGGCTCTTATCAGGTGGATCAGCTTTCCCTCGCCACACTCGATCCATAGCGTTTTGCCCTCGCAGGCGTACGCGGTGTCGTACCTCTCTGCAACAAAAATTCAATTTTCAACTAAGTTTACGTGCGTCCTCGTTAAGCCCTTAAACGAGTAGTCGAATCGACGGAAAGACGAATAGGATAACGTGAAGAAAGTTCAAAAGGGAAGATATATATATATATATAGAGAGAGAGAGAGAGAGAAAGAGAGAGAATATAATAATGCCGAGTGTCCTTTAACAAGTTGAAAGGATGACGTCGAAGGAGCGAACGCGTTCTTGAGATTTCGTCGTGGTATAAGGAAGAGAAATACTGATTTTCTGTAAGTGTACGTGCGCGCATGGCGTGTGGGTGTATGTGTATATACAAGTTTATTCGATCGAAACGGCCATCTCGTAAAACTTAATGGAATTAAGATAAAGAGATCATCCTTCATCTTACTATCTATGTGTCTCTCTCTCTCTCTCTTTCTCCCTTTCTCTCTCTTTATTTATCTATCTATCTTTTACTTGAAACTTAGATATATATCGTCGACGGAGACAACGAAGAGGCGTTGAGAGTAACTCGATTGCCCCTTCATTCCGCGACAACGATCGCAAGGGTTCCAAAGCCGAGAGACGACCGCCTGCGGCTTTGTGTCCAAGTAGTACCTTTCTCCTTCACTTCCTCCTTCTTCTTCTTATCCTTTCACCCTTTCTCTCACTTTCTTACTTTCTTTATTTCTTTCTCTCTCTTTGTCTCTCTCTCTCTCTCTCTCTCTCGTTCTCTTTCTCCCTCTCTTTTATTCACTTCCATTCCTTTCATGGCAACACCACGCTACGAGGAATTTGGTCCACGAAACGGTCGACCTCGCGGAGATTATTTTGAAAGGGAATTAGGCGATTTACACCCTCGCATTTAGTCTTCATTCTTTGCGAATCCTTTTCGGTCGACGTCGTTCGTCATAATGTACGAAAATTTCTACAACAATTGATGCAAATTATCCTTCCTTAATGAATTTAATTTTATAATAGAATAGACAGTAGTTCTTAAATTATTCTATTTCAAGGATGATTATATTAATTCTTTTTAATAATAACAATATCATTTGAGAAATATCAATCGATAAATATTAAGCCAGATTAAGATTATTTTATCGTATATATATATATAGAGTTTGTTTCGTAAGATTTTTCGTAAGGTATTTAAGAATAATCCAGTGATAATATCATTTTTTTTTTCTTTTTTTTTTTTATCCTATTACCAAGAGTATTCATTAAGACGAAACAAAATGGAGAAAGCCATGGTTAGGGATTTGAAGCGTGATAGAGGTAGGAGTGAAGAAGATGAGAGAGAAGGAAAGAGGATGAGGGTGGGGCAGAAGAAGGAGGAAGAAGATGGAAAGAAAAATTCAAGAAGGACGAAACGTGCTGGCGGTAGACCGGGGGCAAGGACGAGCGAAGAACGTACAGGCCACGAAACGGCGCGTGGGGAGAACCGAAGAGCGGAGGGCAACAGGGAGGAAGGGACGAGCGGTGCCGAGGCTGTAATAACTCTGTCCGTGAAAGTCGTGAGTTTATTAGTTCCATACCAACGCGCCACAATGCCGCTTTAGAGCGCGGTTCGGACTCGCCAAGAGCGAACGACGAACACGTAATACGGCTAGTAAATCAGTAGAGTCAATGCGACGGAATTTGCATTTAAATTTTTGAATAAGACGAAAAAAAAATAATGGACAGTTATAGATAAATAAATCTATTGAAATGTTTATAACAGGAACATTGAAAATTAACAGGACATTGGAAATTTAAGAAATATAAATATGATAGTTAACATAATTTAAAATAATTTTATTGGAGATATATAAACTCCATGATATAACTTAATTATCATGGAATTGATGATCTTGTATATAAATTTAAAAAGGGAACAAAATCAAACACGAGTTTAACAAGAAGATCTTATTTCCCTTCGGATGTTTACATTTTCAAATTCGTAGTAAATTTGCGGTGATAAAGCACTGCTTTAAAAGTAAATAGGAGAAAGAGAGAGAGTGAGAGAGAGAGAGAGAGAGAGAGAGAGAAAGAGAGAAAGAGAGATAGAATTTAGTGTGGTAAACGAAACAAGTTGGGCTAACTTTGTACGATTCCAGTGGGTCGACCGCACGAATTCGAATGCCAGGTGGTTTCGCGGAAGATACACTTTTCTAATCTGAAGGTTTGTTGTCGGAGATGCAACTACTCGAATAAGCTGGTGTTTTCGCGAGAGAGAGAGAGAGAGAGAGAGAGGGAGGGAGAGAGAGAGAGAGAGAAATGAAAGAGAAGAGCTCAGTGGAAGGCTGCCGGAGAATCATTCGCCCCACGGCGAAAACGCTTGTCTTGAGTTGTCCGGAGTAGGAAAGAGAATTGCAGTTTACCATTAATGACTTGGAGTAATAATATATCGGAGGGCCAGCGAGTGAAGCCTCCCGCTGCCATGGCGGCCAACTTGAAAGGGCCGAGCTAACAGCGGGATGTCGACGGCTCCGATGCGGCTCTTGGAGACTTGGAAGCTTTCTCGGAGGCACTCTCATGGAGTACGAAGCAAGTGCACACAGATACTATATAAACATAGACGAGAGACTCAAAACCCATATCATTTGAAATTCTCTGCTTTTCTTTATTCTATCTGCTTCCGTCTTTTCTTAGCCTTGAAGGTTAGCCACTTTCTTCGCTAGGAATATAGAATTCTTTATAACGTATTGCATAAGCAGCCCGCATGTATGTCAAGAGATATATCATTTGTTTATTCAAACAAATTTCTTATCATCATGTTATCTATCAGGGAACAATATATAAATAATTTGTCTATTTTATTAAATCGGTTAATTGTTAAATTATGCAACATTTTATTAATAGAAACTGTTCTGTTTGATTTTTTAAAATGATTTTTACATTTTCACTAATAAATATAAAGGTATATGACATGGTCAGATTATCTTCAGTGCCAGTCTCGGAACGTTTTCTTCGCACGGTAAGGCCGCAACTTTGCAAAGCGCTCCCGGGACGAATAAATCAAAGTCCCCCTTGGAGACCAGTAAGTTTGTAGCTTCGTTTCAACCATCCTCTGTATGGATTGGAATACCTCTGGTCTGTGGACTTCAGCGTTCTCGACCGGGAGCCGTTTACCTGCCCGCAGGATTTCTAATTCGGGTTAATCCTTTCTCGTCGTTCCGTCTAATATACATAGTTTAGAAGAGTAATGCTATCAGAGGAGAATGATTGCTATTTTTTTTTTATCTTTCTCTTTGTCATTCTTTGATCAAAACGGATATTTGATCAAAACGAGGACTTTATACTCGATAAATTTACGTTTGATTAAATTCTATAAAGTCTTTTAATTCGTTTAATTTCACGAATGTGTTATTAAAGTTAGAAAGCTTTTGCATTAACGAAAGAAGATGTTTCGATAGTCGTACAAAACATTATATCGTATTTCGTACAAAAAGAATAGAACATTGATCCTTACATTGACAATCAAAATTTTTAAGCTCGTTTTGTAAATGAAATACTCACGTATGCTTTTGTGAAATATAGTTTGCAAGTTTTAAATGTTTATATGCACGATTAGTTTCTTTAGATTATCACAAATGAAAATAAATACATATGTGTTTGTATGCATTGTTATAGATAGGTGAAGATTTTTTTGAAAATGAACTATCCAATAATGAATATTAATATTAGGACTGAATTTTGCAATTACAAATAGAATCATTGATTTGACGAAATTTCTAATGACGATTAGATTATATGGCGAGTTAAGCAATAATGGTTGAAGAATCAAAACATGGTGTATTATATTTTATTTAATGAAAGTAATTAGAAGATGTACGGGATGCCAATTATTGGTTGGCAAACGATAGTCAATTCTTGAATTCTGAAATTTCCTTTTAGAATTCATTTCGAAAAGTTATTTGGAGATACATATATCGTAAGATGACTATTGTCTATGAGAAATATAATCGTGATAACTTTACGTTTACATAGAATGTAGAAAAATCAATAACATCAGATCAATTTATTCCTCATTTTTTTTCTTCCTCTTTCCTTTTTTTGCGATAATCTTTTAACCTGGCAATTGTAAAAGTCGACGTTTTTTTTTCTTAACTATTTGAGTAACTTCGAAAAAAATTTTGTCAAAAGGTAACAAGTTGCTTGATAGTGCTTGTCTAACATATGTCAATAAACTTAATCAAGCAGATAATCAATTGCGTAATGTTTACGTATTATGTAACATTAAAATGATTGAGAATATGATACGAATCGTAAAAGTTGTCTATGTTTTAAAAAACGTTTATCTCGATATCGTTTTTCGTACAATACAATTACGTGGTTAAAGATAATACTAAGTAATCAAAGATCGTTGTTATCTGTTTGGACGAGCGATCGTGTTTCGTGCGTTTATCTCGTTCGTCTTAACTAAGAAGTTTTGCGATAAACTTGATTGTTCATTAATAACAATAAAGATAAAACGAGTTAAATTACGTTTCTTAACGTATAATGTTAAAAGGTGGGAGAATATTAAGGGATCAACGAATAATAAAAAATCATTTTAAATCGTTAACTTTGTAAAATTATAATTCTTATATATATATAAAAAGGTATGTTATTTTATCATTGAAGGGAGAAAATAATCAATACAATTCATTTGGCAGTACGATAATTTCTAGGAGAATTCCTATTTTTCGATGCTCATTTTTATTTTTATCGATGGAAAGTCCAAAAATAGTTAATGCGACGAAACGACAAAAAGACTTTGAAGAGAAAAAAAATACCAATCGTTATTCATAGTGGAGCAGTCACGAGAAACATATTTGTATGAAAGATAAAGATTGTCAGAGAGAAATAGTGAGAGAATGTGGGAAGGAGCGAGTTACGCGAAACGTTCTCGGCCATTCTGTCGATGAAGAAAAATATCCTGCTCGCGTATGGCATATAACGTTCGATCGATGGCAGACACCATAGAAATATTTCGCGAAATTTGTCCGAGCGTCGTCATTCTTGTTTTTTTCTTTGTTTGTTTGTTTTTCTTTT